TCTCTCTCTCTCTCTCTCTCTCTCTCTCTCTCTCCACCTCACGTCTCTCACCTGACTCTAGCACCTCCACTTACTCTCATTAATTACACAGGTAAGGACAGGTGAGAGGTCGATGAGGATGTGCTTAGTAGATCACTCTCTCCTGTGCATGGTGGGCCTTTTTACAGCCGTGATACATAGAAGATACAGGCCCTTAGAGCCGTGATACATAGAGGATACAGGCCCTTATAGCCGTGATACATAGAGGATACAGGCCCCTATAGCCGTGATACATAGAGGATACAGGCCCTTACAGCCGTGATACATAGAGGATACAGGCCCTTATAGCCGTGATACATAGAGGATACAGGCCCTTATAGCCGTGATACATAGAGGATACAGGCCCTTATAGCCGTGATACATAGACGATACAGGCCCTTACAGCCGTGATACATAGAGGATACAGGCCCTTATAGCCGTGTTACATAGAGGATACAGGCCCTTACAGCCGTGATACATAGAGGATACATAGAGGATGCAAGCCCTTACGGTCATGATACATACACATATAGGGAGATACATAACATAAAGGGTATACATTTGACGGTATGTGTTACTGAAGGTTTATAGATTAAAGACGACGGAGGAGGAAGAGAAGAACGAAGAAGAGGAGGAGAAGGAAGAGGAGAAGGAGGAGGGAGGAAGAGGAGGAGAAGGAAAGTAGAAACAAACGAAAATAAGGAAAAGAAGCAGAGAGAGAGCGAGAGAGAGAGAGAGAGGTGTGTGTTACGTAAGCTCTTTAAATACTGTAAGTTAACAGAGGTGTGGTTCCTGGCCTTATCTACCTGGTAATTCATATTTTTTATATAATCTATTTTATTTTTTGTCTTCTTCTGTCTATCTGTCGGTGTGTGTGTGTGTGTGTGTGTGTGCTATTCTGTATAACTACTTACTTACTTACTGTATGTATGTATGTATGTACGTATGTATGTATGTATGTAGGAAGAAGAACGAAATGTAAAAAGAGAAGGAAGAAGAAGAGTTAAAATACAAGAAGAGGAGCAAGAAAATAAAGAGGAAGAGGGAAAGAAAAAGGAGGAGAAAGAGGAGGTAGATTAGGGGATGAATAAAGAAGACGAGTAGAAAGAATAGAAGGAAGAAGAGGAGGAGGAAGGGGTGTGACAGACGACCACACCCAAGCTGGAGCAAGGCCGTGGTGTCCCTCAAGGTCGTATTTGGAACCACCCCAGTTGCTGCTGCTCTCGCGATACTGCCACACTTTCTATCTTGTTTCATCTATATTAAATTTATTTTAAAACATTTCTATACTTCCATAGACTCGAAATTATATATTCTTTTGGGTCTTAAGTCATTTATTTAATTCTACAGTATCTATTTCAAGCTGTAGACGCATTTATTGAGGTGAGATTTTGTTGTTTTGTTGAGTTAACGAGCAATATTCCAGACCGTTCACTTCCTGGTGTGTGTAATGCTCGTAATTATCGTTCGCTATGGATTGTTTTCTTTGTTTACCTTCTTTAATTTTACTTTCGTACAATGTGAGGTTTTTTTTTCGTATTTGGATGAAGATGCAGAGTCGATGGGTGTTGGCCGGGTGAATCGCTCCCTAACCCAGTTTTTGTGAAGTTGGTCTTGAAATTGTAGGTGTTTGGGCGTGGTCGGCGGCCCATCTTCCCTGCGAACACTTCTTATAGAGGCTATGTTACCTCTGGGGACGACGCTGGGGAGCACATGGTCGGGATAAACAGTTCTTTGTAGGGCAGCGGACGGGTGAAAATCCTAAAGCTGTCGCAGTTCCTGTTTTTATAATCTGAGAACGTCCCTCTATCATGACCCTGCTGCAGGCTAGACCTACATTACACAACACTCGGCCTAACGTACACCCACAGCAAGCAACAATTCCTCATTATATGGGAATGACAAGAGAAACATCCACCCTTGCACAGTCTACAGTCAGAATAACAGAACTGAAGATTGAGTTTGTTGTCTTAGTTCCTCTATTCTCCGAGGTCTTTTGTATTTTCTGGTAGGTGAAGTGTAGCAGACAAATGTAAGACTCCCCAAATTAGTGTCAATATGTGTAACACCACTAAGACTCTGTGTTGGAAGGGGGTCGTGTGGTGTGGCGTGGTGTGGTGTGGTGTGGTGTGGTGTGGCGTGGTGTGGTGTGGTGTGGTGTGGTGTGGAGTTGACCGTGTAGGGACTCTAGGCACGTAGGTGTCGGTGGGGTGTGGTCCACTAAGATCCTGGTGTGGGTCCTGGTTCTTCTCATATCAGTGTTGCAGATTCCAATGTCTTCCTTCAGGTCTTGGTTATGGTCTTTGTTGTGGTCTTGGCCTTAGTCCTGGTGGGTCTTAGTCTGTCTCCGTCACATGGCCTTAATCTTAAACTCAGACAGTCCTCAGCCCTTCGCCCTCAAATATCAACAGCATGAGAGTAACTTATGACAGTGAGGCGATTGAGTCTCTCCAAGCTAGCGACCCCCCTGTTCAGGACACCAGGTCAACTCCTCCTGTTGTGTCGTGACCTCACAACACACAACAAATTTTTCGAAAATAAACAAGATAAGTAGGACAATACTTTTTTGTTATCTATTGAAGTTACAAATCAAGACAACAATGTCTCTCTCTCTCTCTCTCTCTCTCTCTCTCTCTCTCTCTCTCTCTCTCGTGAGTCAGAGAGGTGAGGAATCTTCTTTGGGATGAGCTTCTTCGAGACAAGTTTTTCTCCCTCACTGACGGTGCGGTGCGGGGAGGGTAGGAGGAGTGCCGCGTCTCATCTCCCTCACCCAATACCTCTCTTTCAGGAGGAGAGAGAGAGAGAGAGAGAGAGAGAGAGAGAGAGAGAGAGAGAGAGAGAGACTACCATTCATGTCTCATTTCACTCAGTTTCTCATCCTCTGACTCTCTCTCTCTCCCTCTCCCTCCCACACTCACCATCCTTAATCCCACACGCTAGGAAGAACACCTCACAACGTGTACATATATAGCTCCACCACTCACTTCTCCCCCTCCCTGTTTTACCTTGTGTTATTATCCTCCTTCTTTCTATTCTTCGATCCTCCTCTCTTTGTCTTCTTCCCCTTCTCTCTATTCTCTCTTTTGTTATCCTTCTCCTCCTCTCTAGTCTTCTATCCTCCTCCTCCTCTCTATCATTCTATTCTCCTCTCTTCCTCTTTCTATCCTTCTATCCTCCTCCTCTCTACTCTTCTTTTCCCCTCTCCTGCTCCCTATCCCTATCCTCTTCCTCCTCCTCTCTATCCTCCTCCTCCTCTCTACCCTTCGCCAAATCCCTCACCGTGGCACTGAGACTCTCACTGGCACTAATCCTCCCGTCTCTGGCTCCCGTCACTCCCCTCACCGTGGCACTGGACAGATTATCTCTCTAATGACCTCTATAATATTTTTCGTAAATTATACAAAACGGGAAAAAAATTGGACGGTTTTTGACTTACTTTCCTTCCTTTATGACTTTTTACCTATCTACTTACCTACCTGACCTTTCTATCTAATTAACTAACTACTTACCTGTCTACCTGTCCACCTTCCTTACTTACCTATGAACCTCCCTACTTCCATCAATACTTCCTTTTCTCCCTGCTTCCCTCTCTACCTCCCTCCCTAGTTACGACCCTCCGCTCCCTCCCTCCTTCACCTACCACACTATCCAGTTCATCTCTACAGGTAGCTCCCCTCACTAAACCTACTCCAGGTATATATACAGTAAGTCTATATAGTCAGGTAATGATAAGTTTGATCCTTTCCTTAAAAGTAAATGATGGACTATTCACTTCTCTAAAGAAATTCATGTAATGGTGCTGTTATGTGATGCTGTTATCTGTTGTCCCTTGTACTGGAGTTATATATGCCGCTGTTATATAACTCTGGATGCTATAAACCTTTCATATTGATATCCTAAGTTCGGCACAGGAGGGAAGGATTCCATCTCGAGCAATTTTCCAGACGTGGGATTGAAGGATGGAGGAGTAGGCACAGATAACAGACCTATTTACCGTAATATTTTCATCTACCTTTTAAATAATTCCTTTGATACCAGAAACCCGTAACACGTGTACTCCTACCTGCTCTGTGTGTGTGTGTGTGTGTGTGTGTGTGTGTGTGTATGTGTGTGTACTGTGTGTGTGTGTGTGTGTGTGTGTGTGTGTGTGTGTGTGTGTGTGTGTGTGTGTGTGTGTGTGTGTGTGTGTGTATTTGAGTGTATGGGTATCTCCAGTAGTTCGGTTGGGTGGGTAGAGTAGGTGGGGTGGGTAGGGTGTGGTAGTAGTGGTAGTTGTGGTGTGGTCAGGTGGTGGCAGGTGAGTATACTAACCTTCAGGAGACAGGCCACACCCTTACGGTACCTCGTCCACATCCTCCCAATCATTTTCTTTCTCCCGGGTCTCATCTTTCATTCTCTCCCTCTCTCTATTTCCCCTTCTCTAACTCTTCTTCTCCTTCTCTCTCTTTCTTTCCTTATATTAAACTGTTTTTCTCCTTCTGTCTCTCCCTCTTTATATTTTATCATTTATCTCCTTCTCTTCTCCCTTTCCTCTCTCTCTCTCTCTCTCTCTCTCTCTCCATCTACTCTTATCTTTCTTTTCTTTCTCTGTATCTCCTTACCCTCTCTCCACCTTTCATATTATTACTCTCTTCTTTATCTACGTCTTTATCACATCTAAGCATTTATCATTTACTCTACAATCATAGATGAATTCCTAACTTCATTGATTGTAAGTTTAGAAAATGACAACAGTACATTTTTCTGGCATACCGCAGGGGAGTACTTTGGGACCACCTCTGTTTATAATCTAATTTGTTTACATATTTTATTTAGTTTATAGAGAGTCTTGGAGTTTTGGAGGGAAAAATCAACGTCCTACAATCCACCTCAACCCCTGGGGCCTCACCATCCACATCTACCCTGGAGGCTCACTAGGACTGGGGCAGGAGGGGCGGGGTTGGAACCGATGTCCCTGGTGAAGGCTACATGGGCGGGGCTCCTGCCTATATAAACCCGGTTCCCTCATCACCACCTCACCATTCTCCTTACAGCCTTTACAGAGGAAGGACCTGGACCAACTCTCCTGTAACTCAACCAAGATGATGAAGCTTGTGAGTGATTTAGTGATTTATTGTGATTTATTTTTTCCTTTAGCGGTGATTTTGTTTTTGTGTCGTTGGTTAATATGAAGTAATTAACATATTGGTGATTTTATGTTTAACTAATGCAGTGATTTATATATTTACTAGGGTAGTGGTGATTTATATTTTACTAAGGGCAGTGGTTAGTTGATAGGTTAAGGGAGGCATATAATGATGACTCTATCAAAATATAACCTCAGTATATCAGTCGTATATGAGTGGTAGGGGTGATGTGTGGCTCACTGATGGTCACAATATAAACATAAGAACTTCCCCATCCATCGTGATGAGTTGATCAGGATAATATTGTCTCAGCTGACGAGTGTAAACATTGTATTACAGGTCGTCCTCGCTCTGGCACTGACAGCCGCTAGTGCCGGCACCATCTACTCAGCTGGCCTGCCCTACGCTGGCCTGCCCTACTCTGGCCTGCCCTACGCTGGCCTGCCCTACTCTGGCCTGCCCTACGCTGGCCTGCCCTACTCTGGCCTGCCCTACGCTGGCCTGCCCTACTCTGGCCTGCCACTGACTGGTGCTCAGCCTTACTCTGGTCTGCCTGTTGCTCACGCCTCACCCGTCACCTACGCTGCCGCTGCCGCCCCCGCCCTGGTGGCACCCGCACCTTACTCCGTCCACACCCAAAACAAGGTGGAGGTAGCCGTCGAACCTGTCGAGAACCACGGATACGTCATCAAGTACTAAACGCTATGACGACCACACACCGGAAGCTGCACGCCCACGGCACGCCAACACCACGCCCACCAGGCTAAAAACACCATGCCTACGAGGCCGAATAACGCCCATGGGCCCCAACACACCAGATGGGGCCCATAAACCACGCCACCTGGGCCCCAACACGCCAGATGGGGCCCATAAATCACGCCAGCGAGGCCCCAACATGACCACCCAAGGGCCCCAACACGCCCATGTCCCTCGCTAGTGCCCCGCCCACAGACACAGCCGGGCGGGGTAGAGTGAGGGTGAGGGCGATAGACTTCATCAGTCTTCTCCACGCCAGGACCACCTCCTCTGTAAACTCTCTGTAAAAATATATTTATAAAACTCTACTCAACCCCTTTATTCAACTGACCACCTTAATTAATGAGCTACATAATGCTAGTGGCTCACCTGTACCTTCACCTGACCACCTTAATTAATGAGTTACATAATGCTAGTGGCTCACCTGTACCTTCACCTGACCACCTTAATTAATGAGTTACATAATGCTAGTGGCTCACCTGTACCTTCATCTGACCACCCATATCACAGGACATATAAAACCTCTAAACACAGTAAGATGATATTGTACTCAGGGATTAGGTCGACGTACTCAAGTAAGGACTCATGATGGAGGATCTGTGTTCATATTTACCTGGGGACATTTCACACAAGTTACCTGTCATGTAAACTTAAAACAGCTCTTGTTAAAAGCTCTTGTCGAATCCTACCTCATGAGTAGAACAGAAAGGGAGGGAGGAAGAGGAGGAGGAGAAAGAAGAGAGAAGGATGATAAGAAGAAGAAGAATTTGAGTGAATTAGAAGAGTCATAAACCCATAAATAAATAAATAAAAGCAAAATAAAAACAAACTATTTTTTTTATCTTATACAATAAATAAATTATAATACAGAAAGACTCAAACTGAAGCTGAAGCTCCATTGTCGTCACTACTTTGTATAATATGAGTAACAACTCACTGACTCACGCCACACAATAGCTGGTTATCGTGTGTGTGTGTGTGTAATCCTCAAGCCACCACGACCACATGATCAAGGTGAGGCAATACTTTCCATCCAAGATTGCAATACGGCAAGAGAGGGGTAGGGGTAGGGGGGGAGATATATACTTGTAAATACAGATTCAGCAATTGCAAATCTCCAAGAATTTTTGAGATGAAGAATTGAAACGACTATTTTCACCCATCTATCTTCCTCTACCACCATTCACCCTCCACTGCCACCCACCCCTACCACCCACCATCCCCACAAAGACGTACAGGTGTATGAAAAACTTGGCCGATGTGTAATAACGGAGAGTTGTGCTTCACATACTCGGGGAGAGGAGGACGGTAAAGGAGAGTTAACCTTATTTGCTGGTGATGTAAGGTCGTGTTTGGTTTAGTATATAAGCAGGAGGAAGTGAGCCAGTATAATGGATCTTTCTCGACATTTTGAAAAGATTCCTCGAGTGATTTGTTTTTCATTGTACTAATCAAAAACTTTTTCTTACATTGTATTTTTGTTTATTTTAGTCTGAATATTTGTAAACTACAGCGTAGACTCGACAGCCAGGTGAGGTGTACCTTCATTAGGCTCTCACTCGACAGGTAGTAGGTAGTAGGCAGCTACCAAACAGGGAGGTACTCCCTCCTGGGAAGATATTGGAAGCATAACGTGTTGTCTAATGGTAGACCCTGCTGCAGTATGGCATCACGAAAATTGTGACCAAGTCCCAGGTTGCTGATCTGACTTTCTGCCTTATTTACACACAATTGCAGGGTCTCAATTGTTTCTCTTACTATTGACAACTCAACATACATATATTGTTTCTCACTGTTGATTTTTTATTTATTTATTTATGGTTCTTTATTATTATTATCATTATTATTATTATTATTATTATTATTATTATTATTATTATTATTATTATTATTATTATTATTATTATTATTATTATTATTATTATTATTATTACATTTTCGCCCCAAGGCCCCGACATGGGTCTGCGACCTGTGCCTAGGTGGGCTAATACCAGTAAAAAAAGAAAAAGAAAAAAGTAGATATTGGATAACTTTAACTACCATTTTTATAAATATCTGTAGAGCAGGCGCAGGTGAGCCACTAGCATTATGTAACTCATTAATTATGGTGGTCAGGTGAAGGTACAGGTGAGCCACTAGCATTATGTCACTCATTAATTATGGTGGTCAGGTGAAGGTACAGGTGAGCCACTAGCATTATGTAACTCATTAATTATGGTGGTCAGGTGAAGGTACAGGTGAGCCACTAGCATTATGTCACTCATTAATTAAGGTGGTCAGGTGAAGGTACAGGTGAGCCACTAGCATTATGTAACTGTTACTAACCACGCCATCTATTGCCATGATCTACCTACCCAGCACCACGAGCAACGCCATCTAGGGACGAAACCCGAGTATGACTCGTCTTAGTTACCACTCCGGGGTTTCCCTTCTCCATATCCTGGTTGTTGGTCACCTCCTACAAGTCTTCTTCGTCAGCTCCAATTCGAGGAGAGTTCAGTTTACTCTGGGAAGTGACCACAGGATCACCTATCGTGGAAACCTACGGCACAGTGACTACCTACCGTCTTCTACAATACTCAGCCTTACTCGTCAGCCATCTCAGCTCCGCACTTAGGTATTTGTAATCTTATATTGCCTCCCCCACGTCCACCTTGCTTCAAATTATTGTATGTTGTATAAATATGTATACACTGTTAATGTTTAGGTTAAGTATGGTTAAGGGTAAATTATAGAAAGCTGAATATTTTGTTAAGGAATTTATGGTACTTTATTATACACAACAAAAACTCGCATCCTTTGTCTACCCTTTTATAGTCCGATTGTCTTTGTTTTTTTATTGTTGTTGCCTGTTGGGATCTGGGTAGACTTTTAACTATATTCTAAATCCCCAACTCGTAACATAACTCATTAATTAAGGTGGTCAGGTGAAGGTACAGGTGGGCCACTAGCAATATGTAACTCATTAATTAAGGTGGTCAGGTGAAGGTACAGGTGAGCCACTAGCATTATGTCACTCATTAATTAAGGTGGTCAGGTGAAGGTACAGGTGAGCCACTAGCATTATGTAACCAATTAATTAAGGTGGTCAGGTGAAGGTACAGGTGAGCCACTAGCATTATGTAACTCATTAATTAAGGTGGTCAGGTGAAGGTACAGGTGAGCCACTAGCATTATGTAACCATTAATTAAGGTGGTCAGGTGAAGGTACAGGTGAGCCACTAGCATTATGTAACTCATTAATTAAGGTGGTCAGGTGAAGGTACAGGTGAGCCACTAGCATTATGTAACTCATTAATTAAGGTGGTCAGGTGAAGGTACAGGTGAGCCACTAGCATTATGTAACTCATTAATTAAGGTGGTCAGGTGAAGGTACAGGTGAGCCACTAGCATTATGTAGCTCATTAATTAAGGTGGTCAGTTGAATAAAGGGGTTGAGTAGAGTTTTATAAATATATTTTTACAGAGAGTTTACAGAGGAGGTGGTCCTGGCGTGGAGAAGACTGATGAAGTCTATCGCCCTCACCCTCACTCTACCCCGCCCGGCTGTGTCTGTGGGCGGGGCACTAGCGAGGGACATGGGCGTGTTGGGGCCCTTGGGTGGTCATGTTGGGGCCTCGCTGGCGTGATTTATGGGCCCCATCTGGCGTGTTGGGGCCCAGGTGGCGTGGTTTATGGGCCCCATCTGGTGTGTTGGGGCCCATGGGCGTTATTCGGCCTCGTAGGCATGGTGTTTTTAGCCTGGTGGGCGTGGTGTTGGCGTGCCGTGGGCGTGCAGCTTCCGGTGTGTGGTCGTCATAGCGTTTAGTACTTGATGACGTATCCGTGGTTCTCGACAGGTTCGACGGCTACCTCCACCTTGTTTTGGGTGTGGACGGAGTAAGGTGCGGGTGCCACCAGGGCGGGGGCGGCAGCGGCAGCGTAGGTGACGGGTGAGGCGTGAGCAACAGGCAGACCAGAGTAAGGCTGAGCACCAGTCAGTGGCAGGCCAGCGTAGGGCAGGCCAGCGTAGGGCAGGCCAGCGTAGGGCAGGCCAGAGTAGGGCAGGCCAGAGTAGGGCAGGCCAGCGTAGGGCAGGCCTGCTGAGTAGATGGTGCCAGCACTAGCGGCTGTCAGTGCCAGAGCGAGGACGACCTGTAATACAATGTTTACACTCGTCAGCTTACTAATGTTTACTATCCTCATGTGATTGAATTCTTGCTCTAATTTGTTGACATTTGGTTCATATTTATCAGGTGATATTAATAGCGGACAGTAAATTCCTGTGACTTATTCTTTGCTTTTCGCTAATTTAATATTATTCATGTCTGCAAATGACACAAACAGTTAACTAATCCCTAAAAATTATCATTTGGTGAGTTGTTTCAAAATCTATTTATAAAGCCATTTTAACAGAATTACTATATGATTTTCGCAAAGTTTTGTGTATAAACTCTTGAATTTAGAAACTATGTGACTTCATTAACAATATCGAATCTGAAAATCCTCCCTATAGATTTTCCAGAGAGGTCCAGAAATCACATACTTTATTACACGAACTATTTATACACAAACATAGATTCCTGAAGCAAATCTCGGATCTCACTTTCGAACAAATGCAACACACTGGATCCCCTTTAGACGCTCCATTTTTTGACGTGAAAGTTCTCTAGCAAGCTTCGTGTAAATATGGCTGAGTGTAAACGCGCATCTCACTGTTCAAAACATATCTAACACGCTGAATCCCCCCTAACGAATCTCGAAAGAGAATCTGAATTCACATTTGCCACTAGAGAAAACATTTATACGCGAAATTCCTAAAAAAAAAAAAAAAAAACTCCAGCGAACTTCGTTTACATAATCGATTCCCGAATCTCACTTTAAAAACAAAACCCCCCCAAAACAAATGCAATACTTTGAATCCTCCTTAGAGTATCAGAACTCACAAGCTTCATCATCTTGGTGGTCTAGTGGAATCGGATCCTCTGTAACAGTAGTAGAGAAGAGAGTGGTACTGTATGGAGGGTTGGCTCGTCTTATATAGTGTGTAGTGAGTGACCACACCCTCCAACCTTCACCAGGCTGGGTGGGGCTGCTTCACATAGCTACAGTAGCTGGCTGGTGGTAAAACTCCTGTCTGAGAGAGAGAGAGAGAGAGAGAGAGAGAGAGAATTGCAATTGACACAAACTTTCCACAATTACGTTACCAACATTATTAGTTATCAATTCATTACGAAAATAAATAAGGCTCCTTGAGTACGATGCCTTAACCACTTGAGCACGATGCCTTAACCTCTTGAGTACGGTAATTAAATCCATTGAGTACGATAATTTAACCTCTTCGGTAGTAATGTCAGCTTTATCGCATTTAATGGGTTGTCATCGTAATTAAGGTAATCTTTTTATCGTACTCAAGGGGTTAAATCATCGTACTCAGCGAGCTAGTTCATCGTCCTCAAGGAGTTAAAATTGTACTCAAAGGGTTAAATTTCTATAAAAAACAGTAAACAATGATAAACACATTTTCTAATTAATAAATAACGTCGATCAGGGAACTGTTCATAGGGTACGACAACTTTCCCACTATGAGGTACAAAGGCTGAACACCATAATGCAGTTAATGTCCGCCGCTCTTCGTTACTGTGTCTAGTATAATCAAATCACAAATGAAACTTAGTGCAATATAGGTTAAGGAGTAATTCAATCTGCTTCACGTCCATCTTGATGAAAACGGTAACCCAATAGCAAAGGTATTTATATTATCGTGCGCCCGCCAGTACTGAACAACTGTCGTAGAAGGTGTTGCCGGGGATACTTGAACGCGAGCCCAAGTTGTCGTACAGTCTTGAGATCCGGCTGGGGTGACTTAAGAAGGGTTTTAACCAGTGTGACCCAACCAACTATTGCAGGTTGTCTTCGGGTACTCCAGTTTCCTCCTGTACTCACACTGGACAATAAAGGTCATAAAGAACAGCCATTCCTTTGACCATTCCAGAAGCCGACAGTGAGCTTTCTGTAGTTCTTCTCGCTCTAGTTCTTAATTTTCCTGAATAAATTGGCATCGTCCGCAAACATTTGTCAGGAGGAGTGCATAGCTTCTGGCATGTCATTTTTGAAACGAACAAACAACAACGGGCCCAATACACTGCCCTGTGGTACACACGGCGATTTCGTACCATTAATCACCAGACACGGGTTGTAGTCATGAAGAAAGTCTCCTAGCCACGCTAAGACACTTCCCCGAATTTTCAGCATCTTATGAAGTACGCTGATGAAAGCCTTCGTAAAGTCCAGATATATATTTCCGATAATACCACCGCATTCCAGGATCTGGGTCCAAACATCCAGCACCTTAAGTATTTGCGTCAAGGCAAAAAGCCATATTGACAGTCAATTACAAGGTTATTACGAAGTATATATTCCACAATAGCATCTATTATAATACTCTATAGTACTTTGCACACTATGATGGTCAAGATTAACGGCCTATACTGTTTGGATATACTGTAGGACTCACGTAAGCCATTTTTCAGTCGCTGGGAATAGTTTGTCCGTTCAAGCATCTGTAGAACAGGATTTAACTATAACAATTTGTTCCTGATATTCTTTTTCGAGAACATAATGTACGTCAGCGCTGTGTCGAATCGTCTTGCCTCCAATGCAAGGAGATTGTTAGCGCCAACACCCCTGATTTTTATGTATTGTTTTCTTATGTAAATGTAAAACAGCTGTGAACAAGATGAGATATATTCCATCAGAACTACCTAATATTAATTGCTACTATAGTCCCATAACATATTTGTAGCTACACGCATGTAAACACTACAGAAATGTGAAAAAATACAGACAAGTCCCCCATAAAATATGTATTAAAGAAAATTGTAAAGGGTACCAGGGTAACTTCGCTAAACTGTTGACTCCATTGTAACTTTGTCTGCCTCCAGCTAGGGCGTAAAACAGTGATTTTAGGGGTTCAAAATTGGCATAAAGATTTTTTTGTGGAACACACACACACACACACGGACACACAATAGTTGAAAATAGTCCACACCTGAATCAACGCAGAGTATTGCCTGATTTATCCAGTTATAAGTGTGTTGTACTCAAGTGTCTAGAGAGGCTGAATTCCACTGCTGACGATGTGCTCCATACAACTACTCTAAACGACTGGCCGATGACCACTGACTCTTTCCACCAGAATTTGACTGGCGGTTACAACGTCATCCCCAAAATAAAACACAAACGCTTCTCTTTACAGCAATATTCAAATTCATTCACAAGCAAAAATTAGGATACAAAATATATTTATAAAAAGTATAATAACAATAAATGTCCGCAAAACAATTATTGAAAACATTCAAAATGTAAATAACTATACACCCGAACAATACAACGAACACCACAACATTGCATAATACAAGATACAGTTATAAATAGTCTGTATAACTTTCTTACATTGTTTGACCTTATCTATCTAATGGTCATCCACTAGAAGGTTGAGGGAGAACAGTGGCTGGTACTGTATAAGATTTCGCCATTGTTCCTGGCCGTTTTGTCTTGACGTTTATTTTTAGCCTATTACATTTTCCTTTTGACCGATATTTCTCACAAAGTTACGGCTGCTATTATTATTATTATTATTATATCCAAACTATTTTATAAACTAAACACAATAAAAGAAAAAAGAAAATAAAACCAGTTGACAATATTGTATTTTTATTTCAATATACAACTACAAGAAGCAGAATTAAGGACAGAGATCAATAAATTAGCCTTTTTTTTTATCCACTTTGAATCCTAAAGTTGACCTACCGATAGCCTCGTCTCCTCCCGTCGAATAAAACCTTTGAAATCCACCATGCGCGCGCACCCTGTTTACACACGACCCTGTCTCAAACACACTAACATTTTATGACGTATTTTCACTCTATTACTTCACAAAGACACTAGACATACCAGCTTAAACTCTCCATGTAAGTACCAAAAAATATCTAACTTATTTTTATCAACGAACTTTTGACATTTTAGTTAAAAAAAAGGCCTATTTACTGTTGTTTTAATACCCTAGCAACCGATCGGCTTGTCTGACCTCTCACGGGTGCTAGGGATAAAAAGAAGTAGGTAGAAGATTAATTATATCAGTGGGTGAACTTTAAATCCCCGAAGTCCCATTTTAAAATAATACAGGTGGTTTTACAGGTATATGTGGGATTAAGGATTATTATAGGATTTATAATGAGGCTATAATTTGTGACGGTGTTCAAGGATTAAATGATGAGAGAGAGAGAGAGAGAGAGTAATCTAGACTAAAGTTTCCATATAGTGAGGTTGATCAGGTGGAGAGAGGGATGGTGTAGCCTCTAGGTAGTTTCGACTGGAATTTGTGAGGAGGTAATCCAGGGTAATATCTGATGTAGGGGCGGTAAGGGCTAGGGTAAGGAGGAACTCTAGTAGAGGAGGGGCGAGGTAGTACTCCAGTAGATGAGATGAAGTGAGGTAGGACCCTTCTGGGAGGGGCGAAGGGTGAAGGTAACCCTCCTGTAGGCGGGGAGAAAGGAGGAAGTGGTGTGCCCCAGGGAGGAGAAATGGGAAGAGAGGGTGTTCGTCTTGGAGGGAAGGACAACGATGGTAGGAAAGGGTTCAGTATAGGTCTCTGTTCCTTTTTAAGTTCAATTGTAGAGTCGTCTCCTTCAGAGGTACCCATCAAAACGTTCTCTTCTGCAGGGGATTCTTCTTCAGGTGACTTCATTTCTCCTACCCGGTCATGGTCAGCCATCATTACAGGGAGGAGACTTTCTTCAGACAGGTTCTTAAGAGGACCGTCTGTCTCTTCTGTCACGTCGATGGGGAACTGTATAGGCACCGTCTTGTTATAAGGAACTTCTGTCTCCCTCACGACTACGACGAGAGCTCTTGCAGGTGGGACGTCAGTCGTCAGCGCCTCCTCTGGTGTGGTGAGGTTGGTCGAATGTTGAGGCGTGGTCTTAGTGTTGCTGGGGTCATCTCTGGTGGTCTGGGGGCTAGCTGAGTCGTCGGCAGGTGATGTTTCTTCAACAGCAGCTTCAGTCACTACCGTTGCTTCAACAGCAGCTTCAGTCACTACCGTTGCTTCAACAGCAGCTTCAGTCACTTCCGTTGCTTCAACAGCAGCTTCAGTCACTACCGTTTCTTCAACAGCAGCTTCAGTCACTCTCGTTGCTTCAACAGCAGCTTCAGTCACTACCGTTGCTTCAACAGCAGCTTCAGTCACTACCGTTTCTTCAACAGCAGCTTCAGTCACTCCCGTTGCTTCAACAGCAGCTTCAGCAGCTTCAGTCACTGTTTCTTCAACAGCAGCTTCAGTCACTACCGTTGCTTCAACAGCAGCTTCAGTCACTACCGTTGCTTCAACAGCAGCTTCAGTCACTTCCGTTGCTTCAACAGCAGCTTCAGTCACTACCGTTTCTTCAACAGCAGCTTCAGTCACTCTCGTTGCTTCAACAGCAGCTTCAGTCACTCCCGTTGCTTCAACAGCAGCTTCAGTCACTACCGTTTCTTCAACAGCAGCTTCAGTCACTCCCGTTGCTTCAACAGCAGTTTCAGTCGCTACCGTTGCTTCAGCAGCAGCTTCAGTCACTAGACTCACTACCGTTGTTTCAGTAATTACTGCTTCATTTACAGGCGCCTTTGAAGCCTTGGTACTTGCTAGGCTCTCCTCGGGAGCTTCTGGAACGACCGAGTCCTCGAGAGAAACTTTTGTGTATGTCATCTCCTGAACCACAGCTTCCACTACTACAGGAGGAATTTCAGTGATGGGTTCCTCGTCATCGTCTCTCTCTCCTCCAGGCATCACTGTGACAACCTCCTCACCATCGTTCCTCTCCTGTGTGTCCTCATCGTCAGAATAATCCAAGTACTGACGAGGCATTTCTGTGATGAACTCCCCCACAGCAGGTGACTCTGTGTTGGTCGTATCTTCGTCAGGAGGTGTCTGGTCAGATGGTACACCTTCTTCGTTAAGTTCCTCCTCTGGCGGGGTATCCTTGGGGAACTGTATCTCGTTTATTTCTTCGTCCTCTTCGGTGACTCCGGCCGGAAGGGGAGTGTCGACGTCTTCAGCTGTTGTATGGAAGAAGAATCCTCCATCTTCAGGTTCTGTCGTTGAGGTGCCATTAGTGAGGACTTTCTCGCCCTCTTTCTCCTCCTCCTCTTCCTCTACCACCACCGTTAATATCTCCTCTTCCTCCTCCTCCGCAGGGTCAACGGGTCCCCCATCAGTAGTCACAACAGGAGCCTCTGTGAGAGTTTCAACGGACGACTCCTCTGGTTCATCAACTACAACAACAGAATCCTCAACGGGGATTTCGGTGGATGTTTCAACAGACGAGTCAACAGATTCCTCAATAGCCACGCTAACAGAAGCCTCAACAGGAGCCTCACCAACGGGAGTTTCTTCATTCCCCTCAACGCCTTCATCTTCACTTGCTCCAACGGCGACATCAACAGGAGCGTCAGCATCCTCCTCGTTTTTCTGAACGGGTTTGATGTCACCACCAGTTATGACGTCATTTTCAGGCTTTACTCCATGAACAGGCATGACGTCACCAAACACGGTGTCATCAACAGGCATGATGTCATCATACATGGCGTCATCTCCAGGCATGACGTCATCATACATGGCGTCATCTCCAGGCATGGCGTCATCCTCAGCTTCTACGTCATCAACGGGGGTAAGGTTAGCCTCGGGTTCTACGTCATCTCCAGGCATGACGTCATCATACATGGCGTCATCTCCAGGCATGGCGTCTTCCTCAGCTTCTACGTCATCAACGGGGGTAACGTTAGCCTCGGGTTCTACGTCATCAACGGGGGTAACGTTAGCCTCGGGTTCTACGTCATCTCCAGGCATGACGTCATCCTCAGGTTCAACGCCATCAAAATTTGTGACGTCATAGATCCTTGGGTCAAAGTAGTGAGGGTCCCAGAAAAAGAACGGCAGGTTGTAGGCCCCCGGCAAGACGCTCCTGGTGACTATGATGCCGTTCACGCCAGCCCTGTACACGATCACGTTCCCAGCCCCGAGCGGCGACAGCCGTCTGGAGGAGGAGGGAGGCCAAGGTAACCTGTACTCTCCCCTGACATCTTCGCCAGGGGTGCCGTACTCTCGTCTGGCGTGAGTACCTGCGGTGTACTCTAGGATGATTCCCGGGCGGCCCGACACCTCCACCACTAATGTCGCTGCCACCACCAACACCGCCTCCTGCAAGATGAATACCTGGGGTTAGTGTTGACCAGTGCCACTACTACTACCATTACTACCACTATTACTACTACCACTACCACCTACTCACCACCATTGTTCTTGGACCATTATGATGTATAACAAACACACAAACTGGCCCTCGCTCACTGAAGGACAAAAGGCAAGTGTCTTGTTTATCATTATCAAACAGACTTTAGTGTTATGAGACTTTGCCGGCTCGCTAACCCCTCCCGAGAGACGGTCATCCAGCACTGGTTAGAGAGGAGAGCATCCCCTCCCCCCACCCTCTCTCTCTATCACTCCAAAAAAAGTATCTTCACGGATGGAGTCGATAAATTTCAGAATGAACACTGCGACTCCTGTTGTCTCGGTAGGGTTGTCAAAAGCTTTCGTCCGTTGTCATATTGTTTCACACATACGTGATAAAAAATTTAAAACTAAGACATGGTAAACGGGTTCCTCCTTAAATAACTGTCTAAAATCTGAATAAAATTGTATAGATATGTACATACCAAGATATGTGAACACGCCTGACACCAGGACTCTTGTTACCATTCATTGTACCATTTATTCACATGTCTGTATTACTACATATTATTATAGCATGTCTGATGTCCATGCTTATGTCTAATGCCTATGTTCATTTACTATGTCCCGATGTACTATGTCTGTACCGCGCTAGTCGAGTAATTAGAAGACCTCATTTATTGTCCTAGGAATGTCTAGCAACTCCCCTTGCCTGGCTAGCTAATTTCCCTCAGATCGGCCTCGGCCTACCTACGGTCCGGGGTCCCTAGTAATCGCTCCTGTATCGGTTGGCTATCACGCCCAGCCTTGTACCACTTATTGAATATACCTACTGCTCGTGCCCTGGAGTTTCAAGAACCTTGTCTAGGATTACATCCACCACACCACATGGCGCAGTTTGAGTAGCTCCAACACGACAGTTTACAAGCCTCAAGAGCCGGCCCCGTCTGTTTCCCGGCCTCGTCTGTTTCCCGCCCAGAAGATATACTCCACAGTGCCCCTGGATTTAAAGTGCTTTGTGACCTTGTGAAGTGCCCTAAGTGAAGTGCAGTGCCTTTCATGTCTCTTTGCTATGTTTCTGCGGCCCTACAGGTAGCAGACACGCCTCCAGCCCAGTTTCCAAGACAGCACTTCCGGCATACACCCCCCATCCACGGAGGCTCGCAAGCCACTGCCCGCGTCCCCTTACCACCAGCATCTCGCCCGGGCGCGCGGAGGAATACACCGCCGCCAGCCGCCTCCTCTCACTTCACAAATATTACAGTCAGTACTCTTTTACTTGCCAGCCAGTTCCCGCACTTAAGCAAATCCATTGGCGAAAATATAGCACTTCACCTTATTCTCCTTGTCTTTCCCATCGCAACAATACCAAGCACGAGATGTCTGACCACGACGATTTGCTGGGAAATTTATATGAGGATTATGAGGAAGACGACGCCTCACAGACCCTCCCACCCCCCCTCACGCCTCACACGCCGGGCGCGCCAAATTCAAAGGATGGGAGCCAGGATATACGTCAGTTAATCCACTTCCTACAAGTTTCTCAAGAGAAGGAAGCCCAAAGACGTCAATTAGAGGAGGAAAAACGACGTCAAGAGGAATTGTCAAGACAGTCAGAGGAATCAGCTTACCGCCTTCAACTTCAACAACAACACCAAGCTGATAACCGCAAATTCCTGGACCTATTGGAATTGCTGGCAACGAGGACGACTTCACCAGCTGCCACAACCAATTCGCCAGCTTCAGCCTCTTCATCTATCCTTCAGACAACGCCTCCTCACACGTCACCTATCTCCCCTAGGTATGCCTCAGTGTCTTCTCAACCACCTGTTCCAGTCTCAACTCTCGTCGACCTCTCCGTGCCTCCTCCACCGCCTGCCGTCTCGAGTACACCCCTGCACAGCAAGTCTTCAGTTCCCAGTCCCCCACCTCTTCAATCTGACGCAACATATCAAGTATACCGTCAATGGCGACGTCGTTTCGAAGACTTTGCTGTTATGTCTGACCTCTACCGAATGCCCCCTCATAAACAACTCATCCAATTAAGATCGTGCATTTCCCTCGATGTTCAACGCCTCCTAGAGCACACGCTAGCCATCCCCCCTGACTCCCCCAGGTCAGTGACAGAGGTTTTAAACGCCTTGCAGAGTCATTTCCGTGGCCTCCGCAATGAAGCTTTGCGTCGTAGGGAACTGCTATCCTGCAAACAAGCTTCTGGGGAATCATTCTCAGACTTCTATGCACGACTTAAGGACCTAGCAACCGAGGTGGACCTATGTACAGGCGATCCTGTAACCTGTGCTGAGATCCAGCTCAAGATGATCTTGCTGATGGGTGTACGTGACGAGGACCTGCTTCAGAAACTCCTCACCCTCGACGCCGCCTCTTCCCTCACCGACTTCGTCACCTGTTGCAGGTCGTATGAGGCCACAAGAGAGGCTGCCTCAGCTATACACTCATCGCCATCTCAAGTCCACGCCGTCTCCACCTACAAGAGGAATCAACGCCAGATGCAGACGACGTCCTCTCCACAGCCCCCGTCACAGTCACCAGTTTCTTCTCCCGAATCCTGCAGAAACTGTCAGCACCAGCATGGTCCAGGAAAGTGCCCTGCGGCTGATAGTACATGTCGAAACTGTGGGTTTCAAGGCCATTGGCCCCGCACACCTCGATGTCCTGCCAACAAGGCCTCATGCAACGCTTGCAACAAGCAAGGACACTTCGCCAAGTGTTGCAGGTCCACCAAGAAGCCTCCATCTCCAGGTCAAAACGTCTCTTCACAGCCCGACAGAACGTCCACACCACCGTCTCCCAAGAATAACAAAGGATGCCGACGCGTGGATGATACCTCGAGTGACAGGTCCCCCAAGCCCGTCAATGTTCGTCTGTCCTACGGTACCAACTCTTCCAACCTCCTGATGATACCTGACACGGGCGCGGACATCACGGTGATTGGACCAACACACCTGGACGCCCTCAACATCCCCAGGAGTAGCCTGTCACCCACAGCCATGAACGACGTGCTCACAGCGGACGGGTCCCCGATGTCTCCACCTTTGGGTTGCTTCAAGGCAACACTACAGCTCGGTCCCAAGTCTTGCCTTGCCACAGTCCACGTCCATGAGGGCATCCAAACCCCTCTCTTGTCATGTGGCCATTGTCAGGACTTGGCCATCGTCTCATCCGAGTTCCCAAAGCCCATCCTCGCTGTGACACACCTCAACAGGTGTGCAGAGATACCTGTTTCAGCCATGACCACACCTGCTGCCGCCCGGGAGTTCTTTTTTCGTCAGTTCAGCGACGTCCTTGTCTCCAAGCCCGACCTCCAGAAGACGCCGCTCAAGAAGATGACAGGCCCCCCGATGAGAATCCACCTCAAGCCTGGCGCGACGCCTTTCGCCATCCACACACCCAGGCCTATCCCCTTTGCCATACGGGACAAGGTGAAGGCGGAGCTCGATTCTCTGGTGCAGCAGGGGATCATCAGACACGCCGGTGAGGAGCCCTCCGAGTGGTGCCACCCTATGGTCTTGGCACCCAAGCCTGTAGGTGTTCGCATCACAGTGGACCTCACCCATCTCAACTCGCAGGTCTCCCGTCCCGCCCATCCATCGCCTACGCCCATCCAAGCAGTCCGCAGCGTCACCCCGTCTGCAAAGTTCTTTACCACGGCGGATGCACTACATGGGTACTGGCAAGTCGACCTGGCGGAAGAAGATCGCCACCTCACTACATTCATCACGCCCCACGGCCGCTTCCAACACTGCCGCGGACCCATGGGCTTCGCAGCAACGGGGGATGCGTACTGCCTCCGTGGGGATATGGCTCTGCAGGGTGTCACCAACTGCGTGAAGGTCGTAGATGACATCCTGCTCTTCGACGATGATCTCCCGGCCCACTTGAACCGAGTTCATCTGATGCTCACAAGATGTCGTGCCCATGGTATCACCCTGAACAAAGATAAATTTGTGGTCGCCGCCTCCCAAGTTAACTACTGCGGCTACAACATCTCGCCAGAGGGGATCTCAGCTGATGAGGAGAAGGTCAAGGCCATCAGGGACTTCCCTACTCCAGCGAACCTGACCGACCTTCGCTCATTTATGGGCCTGGTAAATCAGCTGGCCGACTTCTCCCCTAAAATCGCCACATCAGCCCAACCTCTACGCCCCCTCATGAGCCCCAAGCGCTCTTTCCTCTGGACTCCTGACCACGACCTAGCGTTCAGGAATGTTAAGAAGGCGTTGCTGTCACCACCAGTCCTGGCACCCTTCGACCCGTCCTTACCAGTGGTCCTCCAGACCGACGCCTCCCGTCTATACGGCCTCGGATATGCCCTCCTTCAAGACCACGGCCAGGGTAGACTGTGCTTAGTTCAGTGTGGCTCCAGGTTTTTGACGGACACGGAGACCAGATACGCCACCATTGAACTAGAGATGCTGGCAGTCGCCTGGGCTATGGCCAAGTGCCGCCTTTACCTGTTCGGCCTTGGGCATTTCACCCTCATGACGGACCATCGCCCGCTCATACCCATTCTTAATCACTACACGTTGGACGCCATCGAAAATCCTCGCCTCCAACGTCTCAAAGAGAAGACCGCCCCTTACGTCTTTACAGCTGTGTGGCGCGCCGGGAAGCTTCTGTGCATACCAGACGCCCTCTCCCGAGCCCCTGTTAGTCGCCCCACACCTGAAGATGAAGTCGACTGTACCATGGCCGCTGCTCACGTTCGGTCTTTAGTGACACACACAGCCACTTCTCTTGCTGACAAGACGACGACGACGCCCTCCATCGAAGACGATAGGACTCTCCAGGAGCTTCGCATCGCCGCCGCTCAAGACCCGGCATACGTCCAACTCCTCGACTACGTCTCCGCTGGATTCCCCACCAACCGCTACGACATTCACGCCTCCGCCCTCCCCTTCTGGAAGCTAAGGGATAGCCTCTATGCGGACGGAGAGCTGGTGTTGTACGGCCCCAGGATCGTCGTTCCCGCTGCCCTCCGCCGGCGCACCTTATCCCGCCTCCATGACAGCCACCGCGGCGTTGAAGCCACCAGGCGCAGAGCCCGTCAGACCGTCTTCTGGCCTGGTATTGACGCCGATATTAAGAGCACGGTTGAGGCCTGTGAGCCTTGCCAGCAACTCCAACCCAGCCAGCAACAAGAGCCGTACCTGTGCAATGACCTCCCAAAGCGGCCCTTTGAGTCCGTGTCCGCCGACTTCTTTAATGTGGCCGGAAAGTCTTTCCTGGTGGTCGCCGACAGGCTCTCTGGATGGCCCGTGGTAGTTCCCTGTGGTCGGGACACCACCTCTTCCAGGGTCATCCGGATGTTTTGTTGCTTCTTCCGGGAAGTCGGAGTGCCTCTCCGCCTCCGAACCGACGGTGGGCCCCCGTTCAATAGCCACGAGTTCAAGAGCTTCGCCGAACGCTGGGGCGTCCACCACATCGTCACCTCCCCTCATTACCCGCAGGCGAATGGCCACGCCGAGGCAGCGGTAAAGTCCGTAAAATACCTCATCCTCAAGACAGCACCGACGGGGAACCTGGACTGCGAGGAGTTCGACAGGGGCCTACTGGAACTCCGTAACACCCCTACCCCTGCCGGACGCTCTCCTGCCCAGGTGTTGTATGGCCGCCCCCTTCGTACTTGTGTGCCTGCCCACCCCCAGTCCTTCTTAGATGAATGGCAGATCAAGGCGGACGAGTGTGACCGCCGTGAGGCTGCCCGGATGGCCCAAGTGACAAGCCACTATGACGCCCAAGCCCGCCCCCTTCCCAGGTTGGCCGTCGGCCAGCAAGTACGAATCCAGGACCCGACGTCACACCGCTGGGACAAGGTTGGGGTCGTCATGGGCCGTGGCGAGCCTCGTTCGTACCAAGTCCGCCTCCCCAGTGGTCGTGTGTGGTGGCGAAACAGACGCCACCTCCGCCCAGTGCCACCCTCTAGTGACGAACCTTCCTCCCCGTCCCCTGTGTCCCCTTGCCCAGACCAGGAACGAAGGTCGTCAGTTGATCCTCCCATTGTCCCTCGCCGCTCCCCCCGACTCATGGAAAAAGAGTCCGTAGCCGCTCGAGATTGCACTACGAGCGTAAAGGGGGAGGGAGGTGTATAGATATGTACATACCAAGATATGTGAACACGCCTGACACCAGGACTCTTGTTACCATTCATTGTACCATTTATTCACATGTCTGTATTACTACATATTATTATAGCATGTCTGATGTCCATGCTTATGTCTAATGCCTATGTTCATTTACTATGTCCCGATGTACTATGTCTGTACCGCGCTAGTCGAGTAATTAGAAGACCTCATTTATTGTCCTAGGAATGTCTAGCAACTCCCCTTGCCTGGCTAGCTAATTTCCCTCAGATCAGTACCTACGGTCTCCCTAGTATCGGTTGGCTATCACGCCCAGCCTTGTACCACTTATTGAATATACCTACTGCTCGTGCCCTGGAGTTTCAAGAACCTTGTCTAGGATTACATCCACCACACTACAAAAATCACAAAATCTAACATCCAATTATTCTTCAAAATCTAAAAAGAAATGAGCTGTAATCAAAATCTAAAACGACAGATCACAACACGGAACGAGTCAATCAGTGAAGCCAGGACACCGAACACCGCAGACAGAAGTCAGGATGAAAGAAGAGGAGGGATGAGGGCGGGAAACGCTCGAAAGGAGACCATTTTACGAGATTATAACCTGGTGTAATAAGATCAAACACTCTCATTCAGTCGTATAATAAACTTCTATCACCATTTTCGTCGTATAGATCATATATACGTAGAAGATGACGGCTCCGTTATGTATGTCTTCTTTGATCCAGATTATCCGATCAATAGGTGGATGGAGGAGGGTCGCTTGGTAAATATGGCGGCTGTAGTTCTGTGTACACTTAGGGGTTTCAGATTTCTGTTCACGTCTCTGGTTCTCAAAGGACCATAAGATTCAATGTCTCTGGTTCTCAAAGGTTCATAGTCTCAGTGTGTGTCTAAACTGGAAATGGGAGGACATATCTAACTGATTCACTTAAGCTTTGACAAATTAATGGATTCTCAAAAGTTCCTAAGTTAAATTTTCTCTTCAAGGAGATATATGAGAACGGGTCTAACTGGCTCTATTAAGTTACACAAGATAAGCTGGTTGGTCACACACACACACACACACACACACACACAGAGAGAGAGAGCGCCAAAACAAGGAAAAAACCACATCAAACTCATACTGTCTCTAAATATTAACATACCCATTATCCCAAGTACGCTAATTAAGCTCGTTCATCAACAATAACATATTGATAAATAGAACACTATGTTATACTACTACACTTAGAAAATAAAGTAAAATTAGAGAATTATCGAGAAATGTTTTGTGGCGCTAAACACAAACGTCAAGGAAAGGTTATAAGTTTAATTGCTTTGTTATTTCTGGATGTTATATTAGTCTTGTAGGTAAATACATACAGTTGGCTGCATTCTTACATTACAAATCAGAAAAAAAATCACGTAAAGTTAAAAAAAGAGTAAACACGTCGCTTCAACTCACCAGACACCTCATGATCGTCACAACAGAAAACCCGGACTACGGCGTTACGAGGGGTGACCATGGTATTTTATAGATGATATCCTCTGCACCCCTGACCACTAATCTCTCCCCACTTCCCCACAAACCCATACGTTTCCCCATACTTCCCTACCTCCCATATGCCCCCCTAATTCCCCTCCTCCCCCTATAGTGGCTCTTCTTCAGGTTGTTTTCCCTCCCACGGGTAGTTTTGTGGTCGGGCCGTGAAGAGTGAATCTGTGGAATGTTAATGAGGCGGGTGAGAGACAAGGTAGAAAGAAATAGGCCTTCGTGTATGTGTGTGTGACCTTACGTAAGATTTCGTGTTCACTATGTATTTCCTTAGGCCTATGAATATGTAAATAGGCCTGAGAGAGAGAGAGAGAGAGAGCCCCTTAATTATTCAACAAGTATAATACAATAAGCCAAAAAAACTATAATTAAAAAGTTCTATTCAGTTTTTTCTTTTTTTTACCCACAGAATAAATCGCCAACGAAAAAACAAACATAATTAACTCCATATGTCTTGAAAGGACGAAATTTTATATACTTTTTTTAATGTTGGGAAGAATAATTCCTATTGATGGCCACACACACACACACACACACACACGTCAAAACATACACAAACACAGCCAAACACAGTCTCACACGTTCAAACATATGCAAACACCGTCAAACACACTCACATACATCCACAAACACACAAAAACACCACACTTACAGATATAAAACACAACACTGTTCTTACTGATGAAAAACCAAAACAACCCCCCCAAAAAAACAAAACAAACATCAGTACCCAATCGTTCACAGAAGTTATTAATTTACAAAACCAAACATCTATAGATCCATAGTAAACAAAATACTTGAAATACAACTATAATTATGTCCCTCAAACCCGTCATTATGGGGACTCTACCTGCCTCTTAGATCCGCTAGATGTCTCTCTCCTCCCCACCACCACAGAGGCCTTGGTGGGATAAGATGGAGTCACTCAGAGAGAAAACTGACTTAACTTGTCTTGATACTTATCTTCTTTTCCTTAATACTCGATAGTCAGTTGTGTTTTGTTGATATTGATGCTCATTTGTTTTTTGGTAATACTCGATAATATTCTATTTTGTTTATAAATGAAGCTCATTTGTTTTCCCCTTTATTTATACCTAATGTTCACTTGTTATTATTGACACCTGATCAGTTGTTGTTTATGACGTACACACACACACACACACCTTATATCCGGCACCAAACACATCCGTTCTTTTACCAGAGGTGTTGATTGACATGACTACTTGCTCCCGCCTCGCTCACACCAACACCACCCATACATACATATATATATATACATACATACATACATACATACATACATACATACATACATAATCACCTGGGGGATGTGGGGCTTAACATAGATATTGCCTTTTTGCCCCATTAAACAAATCATCTTCATCTGCTCATTTCCTGACAGAGAGAAGTACTGTATATAAGCGAGAGAGAGAGAGAGAGAGAGAGAGAGAGAGTCCACATTATGTCCTGTTTCTCAAAGGTTTGTGAGTTTGAAATAGTAAATTGAAATCTGAGGTTCTTCTTTGACTCGATAGATGACAAAGAAGAAGATCGTGGTAGCTCTTCCTCCACCTCCTTCAGATAACACAACCCGCAGAAGGTGTTGGTAACGCTGGACTCCCTTGCGTGTTGTGACAGAGAGGGGAAGACCTTGGTGACCACCTACTGTAGTGACCGCGCCCTTGGGTCCATCCCAGGTGGGTGAAGGGAGAGAAAAGGGAGAGGAGGAAGGGGAGAGGATGAAGAAGAAAAAGAAGAACAAGAGGAGGAGGAGGAGGAGGAGGAAAGGAGATGAGAAATGGGGGGGAAGAAAAAGAGGAGGAGGAGGAAGAGAAGTAGAGATGAAAAATGGAGAGAAGAAGGGCAGAGGTAAGAGTGGACATTATAAATATTATAATTAATATTACATAAACAACGTCTCCATAATAGCCAAACATCCTCCATGTTCATCGGAGTAGATATCAATTTTCCGCCTGTTTGTGTTTCTGAGTGACGCAAAATACACACAATATCAGCGCCAGGTTAAGGACATCGAGGTCTAACCGACGTAAACAAGCGTCACCAAGCTGGATTATCATGTTGAATTATTTTTTATGGTGTTGATACTTGTAGCTGCCTAAATCAAGTTAATATTATCCTTTTAGAATAAATTAAACTAACTTCACCCGCATACTATTCCTTTGACTAGAGAATTAACATTAACAGGGTTGAAAATTTTGTTGAGTTATGGCTCTCTTAATTGTCTTAATTGTATCATCGAGTATGAAGTTTTGATAATAATCAGAATTAATTATCAAAATATCAACATTTCGACCACAGATCCCTAATGAGCGTGTTGAGGACGACCTATACTGAGAGTTTGAACAAATGAATTTATTTTTACCCCAAAAATTAATTTTGCTCAAAATCTCAGTATAGGTCGTCCTTGACACGCTGATTAAGGATATGTGGTCGAAATGTTGATATTTTGATAATTAAGACGCCAAAGAAAACGTATTTACATGTTAATTTTAGACGATCAAGAGGATAACGTGCCCAAGAGTATATGGTTTTAGCGAGTTAATAATAATAATAATAATAATAATAATAATAATAATAATAATAATAATAATAATAACATCTAAGATATTATTTCAATCACTAATAATATTAAAAAAAAAAAAACAGTAGAAAATAATTTAGGTTTGTTCCTCAGTTGAGTGACGTTTACGGGGTACTTCACGAAAATTTAATAAAGTCCCCAGACAAAAGTATATTAAACTATTTCACTCACTCAACAAAATATTTACAGTATCAGTTCTTCATTTCATTTTGCTTTTAATACAAGGATTTCATAGTTCCTGCGTCTGTGTTTCTCTCCACGCAAGTCGTCACTCTGGCATCAGGTGAGGGGTAGAGGAGGTCATTAGGGAGGTAGGGTTGTGAAAAATGGGAAATGAGTATAAAAGGTTAGCGTTTATTGAAGAGAGGAGGAGAGGGAAGGGGGAGGGTAGGGTAGAAGAAGGAGGATTAGGAAGAAGAAAAAGATGAAGGGAAATGGGAAGAAAAAAAGGAGAAATTCAGAAGGAGGAGATAAAAGGTGTTTGTGTGTGTGTGTGTGTGTGTGTGTGTGTGTGTCTGAATAGGTCGTCGAATAGGAGAACTTCTTGAACATCGTCTCAAAGGTTTCTCTAAGTCTCTTTAATGTCCCATGTCTCCTTTGATTTGACGAAGGAGGGATCTGCTCTTATGATAAAGTATATTTTCAATTTATATATTTATTTATTTTTTTATTTGAAGGGACTGGGGTGGGCTGGGGTGGGGCCGGGTGGAGTGGGATGGGATGGGCTTGGATTTATATTCAAGGATAATATAATTTCTGTTTGTCTCTCTCTCTCTCTCTCTCTCTCTCTCTCTCTCTCTCTTTTGTTGGGTAACTATGCTATTACTGAGGAAGATCAGAGTGTTCATTTTTATGGTAGACGTAGACTTAGAGAGAGAGAGAGAGAGAGAGATTCCAACAGTCATGATAAAGAATAATAGCACGAGCAAAGGTCAATGACAACTCTACAAATAGTCCTTGAAGGCTGATCACAGAACCTTTTCCAACAATGTTATGAACAACTCGGGAGCCTTTCTGAGCCTTAGAAAGCCTTTCTAAAACCCGGGGAGCCTTTGTGAACCTCGCATCAATAACATCAATTGGAAATATTATGTGTGTGTGTGTGGGAGAGAGAGAGGGAGAGAGAGGGAGAGGGAGAGAGAGAGGGAGAGAGAGAGGGAGTTTATGTGTGTGTGGGGTGGGAAGGAAGGGAATAAGCAAGGTGGGAATGACAGGTGGAAACGGCAGATGGCAACGGCAGATATTTTTCTAGTGTTCAGACGCAGAAAGGTGGTTGTGGTGTGGTGAGGAAGGAAGTAGAGGAGGAGGGGAAGGAGGGGTAATGGTGAGGAAATGTGGGAGGGGGGAGTAGAAGGGAGGATAAAAAGTGGTCAGAGAGGAGGGTGAGGGAGGGGAGAAGGAGAGGGAGGAAGAGGGAGGGGGGGTGAGGGAAGGAAGGAGGGAGGGAGGGGTAATGAAGGTAATTTCCTAAACTTGTGTTTATTTTTTTATAATGAAGGATTTTTTTTCATTGCACACACACACACACACACACACACACACACACACACACACACAAGAACAAAAACTAGTCATCTGGAGAATTGGTTTTGTCTCAATTCATCCTACAATGTAAGTCGGGCCTTTCCTCAAAATAACCCCTGGTAACGGCGTGTGTGTGTGTGTGTGTGTGTGTGACTGGATGCAAGAGGAGGGGGGATGAGGAATTTCAGAAGGACCGTAAACTTTGCTTGCAGGGGGGGGGCCGGTTTTCATGTTTGCTCTCTCTCTCATCTGAAGCTTCACTGAAAGCCCTATAGGTTCAGCCCATATCGCCCATATAGACCAGACCCTTTCAGCTGGTCTTGTAAGCTTCTGTATAATGTTGAAGCCCCATCAAAAGCCTCGAGTAATGGTGTAGCAAGGAAGGAATGAGTCACTAGTCGATGGTGAGTCAGGTGTAGCAAGGAAGGAATGAGTCACTAGTCGATGGTGAGTCAGGTGTAGCAAGGAAGGAATGAGTCACTAGTCGATGGCGAGTCAGGTGTAGAAAGGAAGGAATGAGTCACTTGTCGATGGTGATCAGGTGTAGAAAGGAAGGAATGAGTCACTTGTCGATAGTGAGTCAGGTGTAGAAAGGAAGGAATGAGTCACTCGTCGATGGTGAGTCAGGTGTAGAAAGGAAGGAATGAGTCACTCGTCGATGGTGAGTCAGGTGTAGAAAGGAAGGAATGAGTCACTTGTCGATGGTGAGTCGGGTCTGGAAAAAAAGAAAGGAAGGAAGGAATGAGTCACCAATCGTTGGTGAGTCAGTGCGTGGGAAGGGAGGGAAAGAATGAGTCACTGATCGGGCGGGGAGGTGGTTATCTGCAGAACGGTACAGGTAAGGTCACCCTCCCGTTAATTGAGGCCTCCCGTAACACCTGGTCTCACCTGGTCTGAATAATAGCCAGGTAAAGGGGAAACACAGGTAATAATTTAATGGTATCTCAAGTATTGATCTTAAATGGGAGATAATTATACCCCTAGTGTCTATAGTTTCTTGGGTACAGTAGGTTTGTTAGGGTATGTTGGTTCTGGTTTAGTACCCCCTGGAAAAGTGGTGGGATGAGGTTGCGGGTCATCGAGGGGGGGGGGAAGGGAGTGAAGTGAGTGACCCTTAGCTGTTTGGTTAAGTTAGTGTTAGGTTAGATCATGTTTGGTTAGTGTTAGTGTTAATTTGGGATACCCACAGTCATCTCCATAAGACCACAGCAACTTTTCAATATCACCTACCACCACCACCTTAGATTAAACCGCTAGCAGGCAGGGAAATAGTCAGGGAAGAAATTGGTTCCAAAATAGAAAAAAAAATATTATCACGAGAAAGGAACAAGTAGGAGCTATTGTACAGAAGACAGGGTTAAGTTCAACGCTAAATTTGACTTTTATTATTACATTGTTTACCGACTGGTGATGAAAATGCAACTGTTTATTTAATTAAATTATATTTGAAGGTGTTATTCCACATCACAGAAAACGAAATCCTCAGAAAACTTAATCTACAGAAAACGGATTCCAAAGAACACGGGAACTTAAACTGTTTGTGGTGTCAATATAGACGTGGTAGTGTAGCAATGTCACAAGAGAGCCCAGAAGCAGAACAAATCGTCTGGTGGTAAAGTTAATGACTCAACTGACAAAGGTTTTCTGTGTTAAAATAACATAGAACCAAACCGTTATTATCTTGATGTTTGTTTGGTGATGCCGTAAAATGTTCGTAGTGGTACCAATGTTTACTCTCCCGTCTGGTTCATATTTACACCCTGAACATCGAGGAGGAACTACGTAAATAGTGTCAAGTTATTACTCCAATGCCCTGATGGTTCATGTCCTTAATCCTTACATGGATAATCCTAAAATTGTGATTAATCCTCAACTGATTCACTCTATCTATCATCCTTAACATGTTCAGGGATTGTAGAGCTTCATGTGAGAGAGAGAGAGAGAGAGAGAGACACACACACACACACACACACACACACACACACACACACACACAAGCAAAGACACAAAGACAATAAAGAAAAACAAAATACAGAAGGACAGACAGAGAATCAGAGGACGTGGGCAGAAAACGTAAACAGACAAGAGAAATTTACAAGATTTAAACAAACAAATGAGTCGCTGAAAACGTACCAATACTCAGAATAGAAAGTTGAGGTTGAGGGAAGTACATGAGAGAGTAGTTAGTGGCGACCTCTATTCAATCCTCTACTTTTATGGTAATTTGGAGGGGAGGGGAGATGACTTGAGTGGGGCGGGAGGGGGAGGTGGGGTGTGTTGGACAGGTTCTCATTAGTTAAGGTAACATCAGCGCCTCTACCTATTACCTGTGTGTCGTGTAAGACTCTTCCGTATGAACGTTCCTTCCGGTGTACAGGTGACCTTGATGATCTCACCTGTCCACTCTCTCTCTCTCTCTCTCTCTCTCTCTCCTTCCATCTCTTTAATCCCTATTTTCTCCTATCCATTTATTATACGTTCTCCTCTTCTTTATTCTCTCTATTCCTCTTTATCATACATTCTCTCTTATCCACCTAGTCCACTTTTCTCCATCTATCTCTCTCTCTCTCTCTTTTCCCTTCTTCCTTGAAATAGAAACAGTCTATTTTACCATAAGAAAATAGTAAATACAACTAAAACAATAATTACTGTAATATGACTCAACCAATTACAGTTATATGATGGGAATTATTATACGGAAATTAATATAATCTACAATACATTTTATATTTGGTGTTGGGAAATAAACGAAAGAAAATTGGGAACGGTTTTGTGATTAATAATGGCAATATATTTTAGTTATCATTATCAAACTCTTGCTTACTTACTATTGCTTATTTGAGAGATAAATAAACAGACAGACACGGACAGACAGACAGACAGGTAAAATATATGATAATAATGAGAGCTAAATGTTAAAGAAAATGGTTCCTGGGTTCCTCATTGATAAAAAAAATCCTGAAATGGGAAAAAAAAATACATCAAGGGTCATTTCTTAAAACAAAGGTGTGCTGCTGGTAAAGACAACGTCACAATGGCCCTTTACACACAACAAGAAACTTAAAGAAAATGGAACACTGGTTAGGGTAGGTTAGGGTAAGTTAGGGTAGGTTAGGGTAAGTTAGGTTAAGTTAGGTTAAGTTAGGGTAGGTTAGGGTAAGTTAGGTTAAGTTAGGTTAAGTTAGGGTAGGTTAGGTTAAGTTAGGTTAAGTTAGGGTAGGTTAGGGTAAGTTAGGTTAAGTTAGGTTAAGTTAAATAAAACGAGAGAAGGGGTTTTATTATACAGTTTATGTATATTTCCCCAACTCCGTCAAAACGTTTGTTTAAAATTTTCATTGGTGACGCAAGCTGGGCCATTCCCTGATTGTTTCTCTCGTAACTGGTTTTTATTCCTTCCCATAAATCTTAGTGTAAGTCTTAGAAAAACAAAACAAAACCAAAAACACATAAATTTTCTGAACCATATTACATTTTTTTTCACATTATTTAACTTTTATATTATTGATTTTTTTGTATACAATACGTCGTTCAAGGTTTATGTTTGGGTGTTTGTAGGAGAATATAATGTATATGCAGAAGGAACCTGAGGCAAGGTGAGCGAACGTTATAGGAACTGAGCGATGTTGCTTTGAGATACTTCAGTGTCTTATAAAACGGAGGACTTGAGAGCGGGTTACCTCACTCAACTTGACGCAGGCGCAGGAACAACACACACCAACCATGATCTCCATACAGGTAAGAAAAAGCAATAATTATCTCTCTTTCTCTCTATTTCTCTATCATCTCTGTTTATTCCACGTCTAAAATATATATCAGCGGGAAGTATATTCATTTGACCTTAGACTATATATATTTCCTGGTCTAACGCGGCCTTGTTCTTGAGTACGAAACTCAACGAAAGTGAAATCTGGGTTGAATGTGTCCACGGGATTAAGTTATCATAAATTACCTTCATATTCTCGTCTGTGCATTAACCAATAACTTGAGAAATATGTGTGAAACAATAACAATTACAGATATTTATTATTCATATATTCATTTATTCATAATTATCAATATTACGTATGAAAAAATAGAACCAAAATTGATAATATTTTCAGAATCCTCACAAACAAGCAGCCATCTTCTCAACAGTGTATAATTGTTTTAAGGTCATTCAGTTGTAAAGCAAATTATAAATAACTGACATAATAACTAAAATAACCGTTATTGTCATTGATACACTTTTTATTACAGGTGTTTTAGTGTTTGTTGATGATTATAGTGATTATAGGTGTTTGTTTATAGCCAGACCTCTTAAGTTACCTTAATTTTCGTTATTGCAATTACCTGAGTTAATTAACATATCGGGTAACTTCCAATAACCGTGATTATTGTTGACATCGTTATTGATGGTAATTTGTTATTGTTATTATTGTTTTGATCACATTTAATAACCATGATTGCTGTGATTGCAAATGCTGGTGTCTTGTGATTGTTATTATCGTTATTATCACACTAAATAACCGTGATTATTGTGATTGCAATTATTGGTGATTTATAATAACCATATAAAACAAATAACTTAACAATCCTTAGTAAAATCACCTCATAACATTTACTAATGAGTTATTAACAGGTAAATTAGTCCTTCAGGTGAGAAAACACGTAATTCGATCTAAATTCTCTTTACCTAATTAAGGTTAGGTTAGGTGGAGCTTGGGGTTAGGTTAGGTTAGGGAATTGAGACATAACGCCTCACCTTGTCGCTTCATTGCAACATGAGAAAAATGTAAATAGAATCACTCAACCGAACTAGAACATACAGCCAATGACAGACAGACAGACACACACAGACACACACAGACACACACTTACACACACTGACACTCCATGTACTCTGACCCATATGCTCACCTGTCTATGTGATGGACCTAGTTGCAGTACAGACAGACAGACAGACAGACAGAGGGTTCAACAACATTACGCCAGAGTCCAGACAACATGGTGCTTAACTCATAAGTCTTTTCTGTCTTTGTGTTCCATTAAGAGGAAGAGTGAGTCAGCCATTCCTTCTGGTGCGTGGGGAAGGGAGGGGGTGGGAGGGGGTGGTTCTGAGGGAGGATGGGAAGGGAAGGGGGTTTCTTGGGGGAGGGAAGGAAGTGGAGGGAGGGGAGAGGTTGTTTTGGGGGAAAGGTGAGAGGGGACGTGGTTTCTGGAGAGGGAAAAGAGAGGGTGGTTTCTGGGGAGGGAAGGAAGTGCAGGGGGTGGTTTCTGGGGGGAGGGAAAATAGGGGAGAGGTCTAAATTCTCAGTTGTATCACAGGTAACCAGAACTCCTCACCTGGACGTAACTACCTGAGGTCTGAAGTCTCCAATGATACTAACGAGATTAACCTAAACTCACACAGACTCCACCTGTGTTATATATTACTTGAGGTAATTACAGGTGTGCTCAGGTGTCTAGTGCTGGGGGTCGGTGAGGCAGGTATGAGAACTTCTGGTGTAGGAAGGTTCTGTAGGTATATTTTTTTGTCGTAATATCAGTTTGTGTATAAAATAAAGGAGGGAAAGGAGAGAGGGAGGGAGGGAGGGAGGGAGGAGGAGAAATGGGGTGGGAAGGAAAGAGGGAGTAAGGAAGGAAGAACCTTCCAGCCCGGAGCCATGGATTGAGGAGAAAAGGGGGAAAGAGGGAGGAAGGGGGACAGAAGGAGGGAAAGAAGAAGGGAAGGAGAGACGGAGGGGGAGTGAGAGGGAGGGAGGGAGGGAGGGGACGGAGGGAGGGCAACTCAAGGATAACATCAACAGGCTTGAGCTGAAGTCCCTAGCTGTTGACATTTTGTTTCAGGGCCCTTCACTCCTTCGTGTGCCCCCCCCTCTCTCTCTCTCTCTCTCTTTCTCTCTCTGTCTCTCTGTCTCTCTCTCTCTCTCTATCTATGTCTCTCTCTCTCTCTCTGTTTTGATTTACGAGAACAAGAACAAGTCGAGAACAAGTCATGAATAGGTCAAGAACAGGTCAAGAACATATCAAGAACAGGTCGAGAACAGGTTGGGAGTTTGATTATGTTATGACCTGTTGTTAGGGGGGGGGTTGATGGGTGTCTTGTTTACATAGTTAGGTACTAATTATCTCTTTACCTGTAATGAGTTATATTTTTACCTACCATTCATTAATTATGTACACCTGTAATTAACTACTATACCTTTCTACTACCTACCACCATTCCTCTTTCATCTACCACCATCCATATATGTCTGTATCTTCGCTTCTCTGTCATTTCTTCTTGTTATTATTATCAAGAGAATATGCGTAATAAAGAAAAGAATTTATCGCGCGTACGTGTGTTTGTTTTTATGCTTTAGATCAAGGTTGTGTGTGTGACAAACAAGTCTGGTTAACTGTTGCGGTTTGATGGAGAGAGAGAGAGAGAGAGAGAGAGAGAGAGAGACAACTAGAGTTCTATAAAACATGTGGCTACCATTTAGGGGATTTTCCCGCCCCTCCTCCCGCCCCTCCCACCGCCCCTCCTCCCGCCCCTCCCCAACACACCTGCAAGGGAACTCCCCCAGAATCCTCCCAGGTATCGTCTTCACTCGAGTCCAGTGCTGAAACTCCCCGAGGGCACAACAAGACTCGTTTTCCTCTGGACTTTACCTGTTGCGTTATTAGTTCGAGGCTAAATGTGTAATCGTGTTCAAATTGTTGCTTTAACCTGTGTATTTATTTGTGTCTGTATCTGTGTTTGTAGATACCTGTAGATGTCCAGTCCCCTTCACTAGTGCGTTTACAGGGGCTTGTCATATCAACATTCCAAAAAATCATTATCATTGAAGTATTTGTTTTAATATTGTTTTAATTTGATTCCATAGTTTGTTTCCTATTGTGAGTTTCCTTCTGTCGACACTGCACAAAACCTGACAAGCCCCTGTAAACGCACTAGTGAAGGGGACTGTACCTGTATTTGTGTGTCTGTTTATCTGCCTAACTGTCTCTATATTTCCATCTCTTTTTCTGTTTGTATGTCTGTCTGTCTACCTGTGTGTGTGTGTGTGTGTGTACATTATCTACTACTTTCCTTCATAAGCAACTAAGTCTTTTTTTTCTGACCTATATTCAGCTCCATTTATTGGTTCCGTGTACAGTGGAGCGAAGAAAATGGAGCACTTACGTCATTTCTCTCTTATATACCGTATCTTCGGACCGTTAGGGGAGGGATTCGATCGTGATTGGTCGAGAAATACATGACGGTTGGGATTTGAATGTGGTAACTCGACTCTCATTGGTGGCTAAGATTAGGATCAGCCAATGAACGTGTGGTAAAAATATTGTAAACAGAGCTGCTCCTTATTGATTGGTTAAAGTGTATCAAGGAGAGCCAATGAATGAAAGAGATTTAATATTATATATCACGTATTTGATGTTCATTGTGATTTTCTGTCTTTGTCTGTCTGTCTGTCTGTCTGTCTGTCTGTCTGTCTGTCTGTCTGTCTGTCTGTCTCCTTATCATATACCGTGTAAGGAGGGGGGATTGGAGGGGAGGAGGGAGGGAGTGGAGGAATACGAGAGGAGGGATGGTAGGGGAAGGGGAGTGAGAGGACAACTGAGTGGGGGAGTGGGAGGAGGGAGTGAGAGGACGACTGAGTGGGGGAGTGAGAGGGGAACTTAGTGGAGGAGTGGAGAACGACTGAGTGGGGGAGGAGAGGACAACTGAGTGGGGGAGGAGGAGGGAGTGAGAGGACGACTGAGTGGGGGAGTGAGAGGGGAACTTAGTGGAGGGAATGGGAGGTGGGAGTGAGAGGAATGTGAATGGGAGTAGAGGGAGGGATGTGAACGCAAGGGTGTGGCGAGGTCACCAGAAATAAAAAGACAATGACGATGGAAGATTAGTGGTGGTGGATTGAGAGAGGGAGGGAGAGGGGGAGGGAGGAGAGGGGAAGGAGGAGAGAGAGGGAGAGAGGAGAGGAAGAGAGTGGGGAGGGAGAGGGGAAGGAAGGAGAGAGAGGGAGAGAGGAGAAGGAAGGAGTGGAGGGAGGGAGAGAGAGAGAGGTAAGAGGGAGAGAGGGAAGGAAGGAGGGAGGGAGGGAGAAAAATGCGATGAAGGAGGGTTAGAATGTGAGGGAATGAAGGAAAGAGAGATGGAGAGTAAATTACAAGTCATTGTTCTTTCTTTCCTTCTTTCTCACAAACACCTAATGTTCCTTCCAGCTAAACAAGTGATAATCAAGTTACAGAATAAATAACTAAACCAGTGGTGGCCTTGTTAAACCGGTAGCGTCGTCTGTGAGGAGGGGGGGGGGGAAGAAAAGGGGGTAATGATAGTATTGAAGGAGGAAGAGGAGGTGGAGGAGAAGGAGGAAGAGAAGAATAAGAGTTGGGAGGAGGAGGCGATAATGATAGTTTTTAGTTTAACATATTTATTGAAAAGGCCTGGAGTACAGTTTGCTTATTCTGAGTAATTCAGTCAGGTCTTGACACTGAGGGTGGTATCACTTCTCACTGCCACGCAGGACAGAGGTTCATACACAAAGGAATAGATCATATTCATTAACAGTATAGAGGTCAGATTCATGTGGGTTGATGTCACTGTTTACTGCCATGCAGGGGAGAGGAGAAGGAATAGAAGAAGAAGAAGTCTCAGTGTTAATTTTTTTCCTCCTAATTGGTTAACTACTAAATAAACGCATCTAGTTAAGGTCGAGTCAGAGTTTAACCCTTACGACACTTTAATAAGAATATATACCAAGGTGTTTGTGTTCTGTCTGTTAAAATATGATAAACTATAAACACAGACTGACAGACCTTGAAAATCCAGGAGTGTGGCTGACTGTGGTGGAGGGAGCAGTCCGTGTGTTGATTTTGGACGAGGTGGGTGGGTGATGCGGGGGTCCTGAACAAACACAGAGACGTGCTTGTTGGTGTCTTCCTCGAACTCCTGACGAGGGGAGATATATTCCGCAAGTAGTCTCTGTCTCTTTTACCGTCTCTCTCTCTCTCACCCTCCTAGATGTTAACTCTGGGGTATTAACATGTTAGGAGTTAATGCACAGAGCACATTTATAGATTTCATCACACCTTAATGTTTGCAGTCTCCTCTACATGCTTCGATTTTGTTTTTTTCTTATGTAGGTTTCAGTGTTTATACTTCCCTTCATTTAAGGATTTATAGTCATTCAGGATCTAAGAGGTTCAGATCCACCGAAACGACAATAATGTAGAGTTGGAATATCTCTCCTCGTTATCATATACCTTCGTTCTTTTATAGATTTCATGGGATTTATAGTCTCTAAGGCTATCAGATCTCCTTCATTTAGATTACGACGCATTGTTTTGTTTACGTCACACAGACACTCCAGAACACCTACGCATTACGATGTTCACTTTTAGACGCACCAGAGCTACGACACTACGATGCATTATGACATTTACAAGAGTTGAAGGCTGTTACTTGCGATCAATAATGCATCATCACTAGGAAAGAAAAGTCATAGTGTAACATTTTTACCTTCTGTGTTTTTATTTCTTTCCTTCTAGTTCAATTTATTTAGGATATTAGAGGGCTAGATATTGAAGTAGATAGATAAGTCGATAGGTAAAGGGGTGATAGATAGTTAGGAGGAGGAGGAGGGGGAGGAGGGGGAAGTTAGGAGTACGGGAGGGGTGGAGAGGGAGGGGAGGAGGAGTAAGGGGTAGATTAACGACCCTCCCCCCCCAAACCCAAACTATTAGGGGTAATGGGGGGTGAGGGAGGGGGAAGGGGTGATGAGGAGGGGGGGAGGGGATTAATCTAAGTAGGGCAAACAATTAGCATGTTGACACTAAGTGTTAATTTGACCAAAGTGTTAATTAGCCTGTGATAATAATTAGTTATGTGATCAGTAGCAGAGAGAGAGAGAGAGAGAGAGAGAGAGTAAAATATTTAAATCGCCATTGTGTATTATTTTATCTAGTTAATTTATTGGTGGTGTGTAATTGGCATGTGTTTTGATACAATACACTACACTACATTACACTACACTTGGTCAAACTTAAGAACACAATCAAAGCATAATTGAACCAACACCATCAATGTAATGTGTATTGTTTATTTTTCCTGTATTAATTAGTGTGTTACCTGTCTCTCCCTCCTGCAGGTGTTAGCGTGCGTGGTGATGGTGATGGGGATGACTCAGGGAGCTTCACTGAGCAATCCCAAGGCCAGTCTCTCTATCAAGGACAAGCTGGCCCTCGACCTGCCTCTCAAATACGTATCGGAGAGCACCAAGGCCCCCACCAAGCTAGAACTCGTTAAGGTGTCGTTTCCCTCTACGACCACTACCACGACGACGACCACCCCAGAGCCCCAGAGAAACACAGAACGACCACAGTATATCGACGCCACCGTCTTCAGGCATCAGTTCACCAGACCGAACACGGAGACAGAGCCCCCGCAGCCCCTGGTAGACGGGAGGTCCTTTGATTACGAGGCTCACTTCAGGCTGTGGGACGACCTCAGCTCCTTCGCCGGGGAGATGGGGCCTTTGGGGGGTGACCTACGCGGGGAGGAGTACATCGTGGGGTTCAGGCCGCCAGGGTTCTAAAAAATGTTGGAACGTAAACTTTTTTCTGATAGTTTTAAGAATCATCTCTACCTCCCTCCCTCTTTCCCTCTCTCCCTCTCTCCTTCCCACCCTCTCTCCATCCCTCCCCCCCCCACTAGGCGCTCTGTTATTTTTTGAGCGCCTGACAGCTCTCAAACACCGGTGTTGTGACTGTCTAATGGCTACCCCAAAGGCGCTTTATTCTTATGACCGCCGAACACAGCGAGCAGTGACAGTCTGATAAGCCAGGTTGTGATTGGTTGGAGTGCGTGACGTCACATTTGTAAATAGATCAGCTTTTCCTACGACAATAACAGAGAACACTAATCAAACTTAACCTAAGCTAACCCAACCTAATCTAACCTAATCTAATCTAACCTAACCTAAACTAACCTAACCTAACCATCAGTCAATTTTGTTAGCTCGAAGTACAATCTGCATGGGAAAAATGACGTTATTCTTTCCAGCCAATCCGAGCATGGCTGACGGGCGCTCTCTAGCCAAAACGACATGTGTTCATAGGTGTGTGTGTGTGTTAGTCTCACAGTATTCTCTAGTTTATTAAGAGGTCATAACAGGGGTTCAAACTTCACATACCCCCACACCCACACACACACCACCCACACACACCACACACACTCACCCACCCACACACACACCCACACACACACCCACACCCACACCCACCCACACACCCACACCCACCCACACACCCACACCCACACTACCACATGAACTATGACCCCTATCCTCCCTCATTAACTAACTCACGCTCTTATATGACAGAGATTAACAAAAGACCCTCAGAAGACTCACAGCATAAGTGCAATATATACAATGTGTGATATAGATGCTGTAAGTCTCTCGTTAAATTGTCTCTTTTACCTACTGTATTAAACAACTACAGAATTATATAAAGACATGTGAAAGTATATAATTAAAATACATAACTACGTAAAAATACAGAATGCAAAATAATTAATCTGTTGTGTGAAGTGATCTATGTTGTGTAATTCTGATATACAGGATTATGTAGGAATATTATGTAATTAATGTAGGTTATGTAATTAATCAGTTACGTCATCGAGAAATGTTAAATTAGTTTTAAATAAAAGTGAATTTTTTTTACTAATGAAGAAAATGGGTTAAATGTAATTAATTCTTTATTGGAAGAATTGATTTTGTTATTGGTTGTATTACGTCATTATAATGCCCATGTGACCTGACATGACCTGACCTTAAATCAGTCTTTTTTATATATAATTATGAAGGACATGGATAAGTAAATGGTTTTATTTTTGGATTAATTCAACTATCAGAAAATAGTGTGTGTGTGTGTGTGTGTGTGTGTGTGTGTGTGTGTGTGTGTGTGTGTGTGTGTGTGTGTGTGTGTCATTCTCATATATTTCGAGCTCATATATTGATTTTTATATATGTCTTATTTCAAATGTGAATAAAAAAAAACTATACAAGGTTTTAGTTTCCATAACAATTTACATAAATATTTATTCATAAGAATCCAAGCAAAAAAGTTGGAAAATCCTTGTAAAACTTAAGTAAATAGTAGTAGTAGTAGTAGTAGTAGTAGTAGTATCCGAACAGAAGCAGCAGCCCAGAAGTTATGTTACAGCCTGGATGAAATGTCGACTGTCCTCTCTCTCCTTAGGTCGGCTTTGCTTTGCCTATGGGGAACGAGAGCATCGGCCCCAAAGCCGACAACAGTTGCAGATATTGACTATGAGGCTACAGTCACTGAATGCCGCATAGATCTGCGGCTCAACTAACTCAACACAGCTAGGACAGCTACTTATGTATTAGGATATTTAATATTAAGGTAATAAAATGGCGGCGAAGGTGTGGCTATAGGGGGAGGCTGGAGACCACGATAAAATAATGTACTAGTAGTAGTAATAGTAAGTCACTATACATATCCCTCCCACACACCAGGAAAATGGCGGAATTAAACAACGTGTATTTTGGCCAACTTTTTCCTCTCTGTGGACTACTGACGGTGACGTGGTAGGAGGTGGAACTGACTAAACAGCACAAAATCACCTCAGTTACCTGTCTGACGCGGTTGATTGAGTACCACTGTTATTCTGGTCTTTCTGTGTGACGTATTTGAGTCAACAACAACACCAGAATGCTCCTGTACCCTCGATATAACCACCTCCTTCACCGCCTCCTTCACCTCCTCCTTCACCTCATCCTTCTGCTGCATGTGGGTGCTATGGTTGGTAGTGGTGGTGGTGGTGGTGATGCTGTCGACGATGAGGTTCAAGGACAAGGCGTCGATTCCCGTGAGTATCAAAGTAGTTGGTGTTTGTTATTGTTGGTATGTATGTATGTATGTTAATGTGTAATATATGTATGAATGTATGTAATTTATTGTTTCCTTCATAATACACAAGATTTTATTCAGTTCATTATATTGTATTTAAATTAACTCCGGTCTTCATTGCCACCATATTCCTCTTCTTCCTCCTCCTTCTCCTCCTTCTCCTACTCTTCTTCCTCTTCCTCTCTATTGCTCGAAAACAAGTAATATTCTAACACAAATTCCCTCCCACATTCTCCACATCCTTCTTCAAACTCCTCCAAAACACGTCAGAATCGAGGTCCCACTTCCTCACTAACTCGTTCACCTCCCCCTTCTACCCCCTCAGGAGTAAGACTACTGATAGTGGCGTCAGGAGGACGTGTTGACGTCAAGGATGGACACCGCCGCCTCTTCCGGGCCGCCAAGGGCATCGGCCTCCCTGTCCAGGTGAGAGAGAGAGAGAGTTAAGTATTTTGTCTTCCCAAGGTTTTCTACCTTTAATAACCTTGTGACTAATTTGCGAGTCTGGTTAACTACCGTAGTGTGTGTGTGAACAAGACAGACAGACAACCAAAACAAGACTCTCCTTCGTTACAGATGGTCACAGTGAAGGACCCGTCTCTAGAGACATCCCGTATCCTACAAGTCATCAGGCAGCATCCTTACAAGCCTGACGACATCCTTGTACTAACCAACAGGTAACCCACATCTCACCTGTCCTTAATTATCACCATTTTCTAAGACTAATGGCATCTTGTAAGCAAAATCATCGAAAAAAAATACCCTGATTTAAATTGATTTTGTATAAGATAATAATTAACTTAAAGTGATGAGGGTTAAGTTAGGTTAGGTTAGGTTAGGTTAGGTTAGTAGAGTTGCCGTTTGTTTACGTTCTCTGTTGTTGTGTTCCCCCCACGAGGCACGCACCTGTGTTGACGATGATTTAAGATGGCGGTAACCTGTGTCGTCTCAGTTTGATTACATAGCGATCACGATACCATTGGTGGCCTCGTCAGGGAAGGTCAGGGAAGGTCAGGGAGGTGAGGGGAGGTGAGGGAAGGATCGAAGCCAATAGACTGTGTGTAGGATTCTGTTATTATTCTCCCTCACTGTCTCTCACCCCTCCTCCCCCCCTATCCAGAGTATATTTTTTCAACCTGGCCTCTGACTTAATTCCTTCTCAGTGATCAGTACCTTCCTGCCGCTGCCCCTCACGTCTTAGCTTGGAGGATCCTGGGGGAGGCGCTGAAGCAGGAGGCTGAGGTATTGATCCCTATTCTCTTCAGCCCCCTCATCCTCAACCCGGAGCTCGAGAAGGAGTATCACAAAGTCGAGGTGAGTATTAGTGGTGGTCGAGGCTGAGTGTGTGTGTGTGTGTGTTGGGGGGAGGGTAGAATTCATAGGTTTTTCTTCTTATTTTTGTTTATATCTCTGTATCTCTTCGTCCGTTCGTGTGTTTATCATCCATGTGTGCCTTCTATTAATTATCCGTCCGTCAATCTGTCCGTGCGTCAAATATATCTCTGTTTGGTACGTGGATATAAACAGTCACGTACATGTATAGAGAGGTAGAGTAATTTCTAAGTACTTCCGGATTTAGTTGATAGAAGTGCTGTGATAACCAACACAGCAGCGCCTCATTCAGGTTTTCTTCTACAGGAGGAACTTAGGAAATTGAAAGACAACAAGACCAGAGAGTCATCAGTGAAAGGCCGCACCGCAGAGGACCTCGTGCTACTGAAGAACCTCTTACACCAGCAGGATATACTGAAGGTGAAGGGTAAACAGTACCAGAGAAAAGTTCGACCTGACACAAAGAACTTCAGAGCTTATGGTATGTTGGTGAGGGAGGGAGAGAGAGTGGTGGAGGGTGAGGGAGGGAGAGAGTGGTGGAGGGTGAGGGAGGGAGAGAGTGGTGGAGGGTGAGGGATGGAGAGAGTGGTGGAGGGTGAGGGGAGGGTGAGGGGAGGAAGAGTTTTGTTGGGAAGAATGTAATAATTTTGTGATGATTTCCGGGAGGTTAAGTTTACAATAGATATAAATTATTTTCAGCATTTGCCGGTTTAGTAGCGTCAATAGAGGACCTCCTGGTGGCTGCTACTGCTGGTTTTGATGGCGACGCTGCTGCTGCTATTGTTGTTGCTGCTGCTCCTGACGCTGTTATTAATGCTACTGACACCTCTAGTACTGCTGCTGCTACTGGTACTGTCACTGCTACTAAAATCATCGAAGCTGTCAGTCCTGATGGTGAGGAAGCGGCCACTACAACGATGACTAAACACGTCGCGGCCACAACTGTTGCTGGTGCTACTACTCGTGACAGGAGGGGGCCGGGGTCCCTGGCTCACTTGTGGCACTCCCTGGCCCTGGACGTGGCACTGAGGTACTCCCTAGGTGTGGCATTAGACCATCAGCACATCGTCTTCCAAGATGCAGCCACCACTAGTCCAGGTGAGGTCCATTGTGCTGATTACCACAGGTGAGACTGTTACTGTGCCCTCTTTTGTTTTGTGACGCACGAGATGATTCTGACGCGAGGGAAACAATTTCACTGGGAGACAATTTTGATGCAGCATTACTCGACTTCAAAAGTAAGATAGTTTTACCACCTTTATCTATCCACGATCTTTGAGAGTGGTTTAGGGACGAGAATAGAACAGTTCTAAGTTGTTTCTCTATCCCGAGTCTATCCTGCAGAGTGGCTCGGGTTCAGTGATGGAACAACTCAACCACCTTCTTCTGTCTCCTATCCTCTCACCTCTAGCCTTCACCTGTCCTCCTGTAGAGTGGTTCGGCTATGAAGCTGACGGATCCCTGAAGTTAGAGATCCAGGGGCTGAAGTTGGCGTCCTTGATCTATGCTGCCCCAGGAACGATGCCCTTACAGCTCGCCAACATCGTCGCCAGGGAGGTCGGTGTCAAGCTCCCCTGCCCTCAGTGTCTTGACGAACCCTTGAAGACTGAGAGATTAACAGTGAGTATAATGAAAATGGGTGACGAGAGTGTATTGGTTGTGTCAGACTGAAGGACAAACACAAGAAGAATGATAGACAGAATGTATTAGGGAAAAATGTGCTTAAATATTTACCATAATGTATAAAACAAACATTTTGTCGAAAAGTGTGTATATATTTATATTCTAAGTAGGTAGATTATTGATGGATACTAAGCAATAGATAATAATATATAAACAAATAAATGAAAACAAAAGAGTTTATGCTAAATTTATTACCGTTTTTTTTGATGAAAGTATATTTTAAGGGATAACTATAACAATATATCTCGGTGTTAAAACCCGTCTTATTACATCAGTAACTCTCAAAATAATTCACCTACTATAGTGTCACGATATAAATCGTCCCCTTCAGAGTAGTGAGGCCCCCAGGGTGATGGTAACGGTGGTGGTGGAGCGACCTACTCCCTTCTTCAGGGTGTTCCTCAGTCGCCTCAAGGATCTCAGTTACCCCAAGCAAAAGATCTTCCTCAGCTTCTACGTCACTCCGGCAGCTGAGCAACACCTGGAGACGGTATGTGGGAGATTTGAGAGAGAAAGAAAGAAAGAGAGAGAGAGCTGCTACACTATACTGTAACACTATACCATTACACCATTGCACCACTGTACCACTGCCCCTACAGGTGGAGGAGTTCCTGGAGGAGGTAGTGGACCAGTACCTCGAGGGCGCCCTGCTGGACCCACACGCAGGGCCTAACGTGGCTAAGAGTTATCAGTTCTTGTGGTAAGTCCTGTATCTGTCTGTCTGTCTCGTGTGTCTGTCTGTCTGTCTGTCTCTCTCTCACCTCCCTCACCTCTATCCTTTTCTCACCTCCTCCAGGAACACGGCCAGGAAGGAGGGCATGGACTACCTCTTCTTCCTTGATCCCATCGCCCACCTGACACACCCAGACGCTGTCCAACACCTGATTACAAGGAACAGGTAACAGTACGTCATCACACTCCCTCCCCCACACACTCCCACACCCCCACACCCCCATAACTCCCTCTATATAAGCCTAAGGGGTCATGAGGTGTTATAAGCCTAGATTGGTTATTATATCATATGTTATTAAATGTTATATGAAGTTATTATGAATGTTTTTCTGGTTATTCATTATTATACAGTCAAAATGAATGTGAATACCAGAGAGAGAGAGAGAGAGAGAGAGAGAGAGAGAGAGAGAGAGAGAGAGAGATATATACCTACTCTCACCTTTACAGAAGCGTGGTGGGACCTCTGTTGACTTCCCAGGATGGACTGCATCACAACATCTATAGTGGAGAGGACAGGATGCTGAACCTAGGCCATACTGGGGAAAGATACGTCAAGCGCCTTAAAAAGGACGATGCGTGAGTAGAGAGAGAGAGAGAGAGAGAGAGAGATTAAGTGACATCGATGCATTGACTTAATCTTCCTCTCTGACAACCTCCCCATCCTACCACTCTTATCATTCGTTCTCCTGATATCACTACCTCATCCTTCAACATCTCGACATCCCTCTCCTTACTGACGTCTCTTCCTTCTTCACCAGATTCCTTGACTTCAGCGCGGGTCTCCTTCAGGTAGAGCAGGTAGAGTCGGCCCTCCTTCTCTCCAGGGACGTCCTCTCTTCCGCCCGGGTCAACTTTACTTCCTACGGGGAGAACTTTACCCAAGGATTCGTCAGCCATCTCCTAGAGCAGGTGAGAGAGAGAGAGAGAGAGAGAGAGAGAGAGAGAGAGAGAGAGAGAGAGAGAGAGAGAACACCTCGTATCAATTTCCTTATCATTGGGAAAATCTTGAGCGGAAGCAGTTACTTGCTTGGCTTCGTTGAGGGTTGAGGAAGGGAAGGGTGCGTCCGGGGGGGGGAGGAAATGTTGGGGACTGAGGAGGAGGGTAGTGTCGTGGTAGGGGAAGGAGGGAGGGAGGGAGGGAGAGGACAGGCTTAGGAACCTCTGCCAAACACGTATCGGTATACACACGTCTCGTCTAGCCTCCCCTTGATGCCAAAATTTCGAATGTTTAGTTTTTATTAGAATCTACTAAGTTAATTTATCCTGTGTTTATATATGACGTGAATATATGACTGTCTCGAATTATCATAAGTGACGTGTAGCTATAAGGAATGTGTTGTCGAGCTGCATTTGTTTTTGCAGTTTTTGTTGATATCCAGGATTCATAAGTGACATGGAAAAGTTAGTGAGGTAGTATAAGGTCGCGGGCTCTTTGTTTGGAAATGCCGATTGTCATTTGTTTGGAAGGATGTTATGTTACTGGTCTTAATTTGTAATTTTTGTTTTTAGTTTTTGCTAAATTGGTTTTATCATTATGAGTCTTCTCTTTTCTCTTCCACTTTCTCGAAAACGAACTCCTTTCCTCGATTGACAAACTTTAGTCCCACCCAGTCGTCCACCACGACAACACAGCCTTCACACTCCCATATTCCTCCGCCTCAGGGCTTCATCCCCTACGCCACCAACGAGGAGATCTACGGCAAACTCCTCAACGACAAGAACTACACGAGCGACATCTGGAGTCTGGAGAAAAACGACGAGGAGTACTACGACCTCTACGTGAGTAAGTCGCCCTTGTCGTCCGAGGAGGCTGAGTCGTCCTCCGCGGAGTGTAGGAATGTCGGGAGGTTCTTGGTGTTTAACGATGTGTTTGCTGGCGACCTGTTGCAGGAGGCGCAGAAGACGCCCTGGCAAGACTTATCTGACGAGGTTAGTGAGTGTTTACACGTGATGACGAAGATAAATAAACTTTCTCTTTCATTATCCCTCACCATCAAAGTACTTTCTCTCACTTTCTCTCTCATTATCCCTCACCATCAAAGTACTTTATATCACTTTCTCTCTCATTATCCCTCACCATCAAAGTACTTTCTCTCACTTTCTCTCTCATTATCCCTCACCATCAAAGTACTTTCTCTCACTTTCTCTCTCATTATCCCTCACCATCAAAGTACTTTCTCTCACTTTCTCTCTCATTATCCCTCACCATCAAAGTACTTTTTCTCACTTTCTCTCTCATTATCCCTCACCATCAAAGTACTTTCTCTCACTTTCTCTCTCATTATCCCTCACCATCAAAGTACTTTCTCTCACTTTCTCTCTCATTATCCCTCACCATCAAAGTACTTTATATCACTTTCTCTCTCATTATATCCTATTCTTTCTATATTATCTGAACCTGCAGCTGAAGTTCCCTACGTCAGGTTATAAAAGACCTTGTTTTTATCCCTACAGGAGGAGAAGGCCCAGGTGTTGGTTCCTCCTACAGGTGAACTGACGAAGCAGATGAACGTCCTCACTCAGTCAGTCATTAGGAGTGTATTCAAGAATAAGTATATACAGGTGTGTGTGTGTGCGTGTGTGTTTGTGTGTCAAGTTCGTAAAAGGAAAAGATTAAGTGTAAGTGTAAATTTGTAAAACACATCATAAACTGTAAATCAATCCTCCTTGACTCGTTATAAAAAAATAACTCAAAACATGAATGAGAGTTCTAGATAAACATAGAATCAAAATAAACAAACTGTGAGAGATCTATGAAGACCTGGTTCCTCCTCCTTCAGATACCGGAGTCAGGTGGTCGTGTGAGCTTGGTGAAGGGGCCGGGGCACTACCTTCCTGATGGCAAGTTCGTGGCCCTCCTCTGTCTGCAGGCCATGACGGAGGTAGAGTAAAGCAGTGTTTCGGGTGTCTTATGCCCAAATTGACTTGAGTTCTGTGTTTGTGTTGTGGAAATATTATGTTTTGGTTTGGTATGTGTTTCTTCTGTATGCCTAACGCTCGCCCATCTCTTCGTCAGGATTCTCAGCTTGAACTACTGAAGGGAGAGACGAAGTGTAAGCTAAGACTGACTGTAGGGGAGGTGGCGTACTTCAAGAGGACCTACTATCCTAAAATCACTTTCACGGGCCCTACATCCTTCGCTGCCTTGATCCTGTGAGGCGTCCTGCAAGAGGTAGTTGGAGGGGATCCTATGGCAGACTTATAAAGGGAAGGGGGAGTCCTCTGGGGGTATTAGTAAGGCAGAAGGAGCGTCCTATAGGAGTACTTTGTATAGGGGTCCTTAGATGTGAGAATCCTACAGGGGTTCCTACAAGGTTCTACAGGGTTCTATGGTTCTTATTTACTTATTATTATTATTATTATTATTATTATTATTATTATTATTATTATTATTATTATTATTATTATTATTATTATTATTATTATTATTATTATTAGTAGTAGTAGTAGTAGTAGTAGTAGTAGTAAGTGACCTACATATCCTAACTTACATTATGTATTTAGTTGTATATGAGTTACAGTTTGTGTGTAGTTCGTGACAACAAGTAAATGTCTTTGTCTGTGTTCTTTTGTATAACTTAACGCCTTTGTATAGACTAAATATAACATACAATCCAAATGTGCTCTGACTATCGTGCTTATGAGTTGAGTATAGTGCTTGTGAGTTGGCTATAGTGCTTGTGAGTTGGCTATAGTACTTGTGAGTTGGCTATAGTGCTTGTGAGTTGGCTATAGTGCTCGTGAGTTGGCTATAGTACTTGTGAGTTGGTTATAGTGTTTGTGAGTTGGCTATAGTACTTGTGAGTTGGTTATAGTGTTTGTGAGTGAGTTGGCAAGGGTATATGACAAAGATTTCGTAATCCTTTTATATGGCTACACTGTTAAAATTGTCAGGGATAGTCTCTTCATTTGTGAATTGGCCACGCTGACTGAGATAAATGCCTCTTCCTCTCGTGTCACACTGAGGTTCATCTTATGCCTTGTGATCTGGTAACAGTGTCGGACTGTACGATATTTCCGGTCTTGTGTTCGATCTCTTCCCGGGTCGAATCCGTGTTGTTCTGTGACTTCTGTTGCGTCGTGTAGCGTCGTGTAGTATGTCGTGTAGTGTGTCGTGCAGCATCACTGTACTCCTTTCTACTACAGAGGAGTATCACAAATGGACCGGTACAGTTCTTCACAGTGATCAGGGCACAGGAAGAAGTGTTACCAATGCAGGGTGGCCAGGGGTACAGAGGGATGGGGGGGGTGGGGAGGGGGGGGGTTTCTGGCAGTGTGTAGGGTCCTTCTCAGGTGTGGTAATGACGGGGAACCCCCAAGTGGCCACGTGATGAGGCAGGTAAGTCAGCGTAGAGTTTATGTTGATGCCTCACTGCACCCTCACCGGCGGCCTCTCAGCGTCACCAGCCGAAGTATTCAGTATTGGTATCATGAAAGAGTTCGCCACCTCTGGCAGGAGGGTGGCGAACATTCGGCTAGATGCTGAGCTTCCTTAAACTGGTTACTACGGGATGCAGTTCAATGCCAGGCGCTGTTTATTGCTTGTGAGGCGCTGTGTTTTATGGCCCTGGTCTACGAGTCCAGCTCGTCTGTGATCAAGTGTCACGGATGATCGTCTCGCAAATCAGCCAATTATTGGTCTCAGGTTATTTACCTGACATGGAAACTCAGGTGTCATGGCACTGGTGTTCAAAATTAATCATTTTTGTGCCACAGTCATTAGCCTGACAGTCGGTTATCGCATGGCAGTCAGCCAGTGTCAAGACCACCTGCCAATCCAGCTGTCACGCGTGTGTCAGGTATGAGAGGGCGGGAACGGTAATGTTTTGACAGATCACATCTGTCATTTCCCCTGTCAGGAGAAACGTGTGGTGATGGATGATGAGGGAGAGGAGATCCGTCAGTATCTCTCGGTAGTGTCACGCCTTCAAGCAGGGCCGAGGGCCCCTCCTCCTTCACGTAGGGTCGGTAGGCCGCGCCGACACAGTCACTCCCCTCCAAGATTTTTGTGAAACGTGTTCCCTAAAAGTAGCGCGTTAGGTTCGGTATTGTTAGCGAGGTGTCGCAGCAGCTAAACATGGGCCAGGTCCTATGCGGGCCAGCCAGGGTGCCACGCTAAAATTATACCGGAGCGGGGCCGGGCGGCACTGGTGGTGCACCACGACCACCAGCCAGTGTGTGTATCACCCAGCCCACCGATATCACCAGGCAGTCGTACCTCTGCCCCACCAGGGATCACCATCCCTGTATCCTGACGTCACTCCCCTGGCCCCTATGGCCACCCACACGCCCCCCGACGCCCGCCCCAGCACGGGGACTAGGTGGTAGCCGCCCGCGCCTTAGCGTCGTCTGCTATTACCACACACCCACACCCTCGCTGGAGATTAATAACTGGGTAAACATCACGGGCAGGTGTGGGAAACTTGCCTCGGACTGCCAAGCTGTGGGTCACACCCCTCCCCCCCTTCCACTAGGCCACCCGAACAAGGGGGGGAATGCCCGCCTTGCCCACCCCGACCTCACGCCAGTCACCGTCGGGGTTCTGTGTCCTCGCGACCCGACAAATCGAACCTCGAGAAATCTGATCGTATTTGGCAAGAACGATAAAACGGTGATAATTAGTCGTGTGTTTCAGTGATTTTTTAAAGTGAGGTTTTAGTGTTGAGGGCGGAGGGGGCGAGAATAGTGTAGAATGCCGGGTGTTAGAGGCTCCTGTGTGTTTGTACAAGAGGTGTTGAACTGTAGAGGATACGAGCAGTTTACCACAGCGTGCGGGTAACACAGCATCCTGAGTGACCAGTGTGTGTGTTGAAAATAACACCCGCCACACAGGGAGCTCCCTCAAGCCCCACAGTGCGTGGTGTGACGCTGTCGGGGAGGTGGTATTCCCCCGTCGGCGTCTCCCACAGGAGCCATGACGGTCTCCTACCAGTATGACGTGGCATCCTCCACCTCAGGCGGCTTCACCCGCCTCCTCTTCAAGTGGAAGGGTTCCCTGTACAAACTTATATACCGCGAACTCTTCCTCTTCTGCCTGGGCTTCGGCTGCATGAGTTGTATCTACAGATTCGTCTTCTCAGAGTCACAGAAGAGGTAAAGTACCCGGGAGTGTTGTGTTGAGTCCTGACCCTACCAGCCGCCCCAACCTTCCCTCCACAGGCATACAAACCTGTGTGTTGTGTCAGCCCGCGTAGCATCCACTCTTACAGCAGCCACACGAGACAACACCGAGGTTATCGTGTCTAATATGAGTGTTTTCCCGGTGACGTAAACTGTAACACACACGAGAGAAACATTACTGCTCCTCCCTCCCCCTTCACCAACACCCACCTCCCTCCCGCTTCACCAACACCCACCTCCCTCCCCATTCACCCCCCCTTCCTCGCCTTCTTCGTGGTGGAGTTTGTTGGAAGTTTACGGTCAATTTCCTCCTGTCGGTCGGGTGTCAGCTGGGTCACCTCCTGGTCATCTCACCTCACCTCACCTCACCTCACGATACAAGGGGAAATGGTCTTAACTCTCTCTCTCTATTGTTCCTGTCAGCATAGTGTCACCATCTTTCTATACATACATACATACATACATACATACATACATACATACATATATACACAATGACATAACATTCTACTGTCAACAAACACCTTATGACAATTCAAGGATGAGGAGTGAGGAGGGGTGGAGGGTGAGGGTGTGAGGGTGGAGGGGTGAGGGGTGGAGGGTGAGGGGGTGAGGGTGGAGGGGTGAGGGGTGGAGGGTGAGGGGTGGGGGAAGGGAGGTAGGGAAGGTAAGTGTGTGTGGGGGGGGGGTAGGAGAGAGGTGTTATGTCATTGGCATTTATTCAGGGCTGTCATTAACCCGGGCTGTCATTATCCCACCATTCATGACATGCCAAGCCTCATGACACTCCTGAACCTGACAGTGGTATTTATAAGGTCTTGTGTGTGGCGGCATATGACGTATTTTACACACCATAGTAAAGAGTACTCTGTTTACCTGTCTGTCTGTCTGTCTGTTTACCTGTCTGTCTGTCTGTCTGTCTGTTTATTTGTTTTATTTGTTTGTTTTTCGGTGTTCTCCATCTGTTTTTTTCTGTGTTTTCTATCTGTTTGTCTGTCTGTCTGTTTGTTTACCTGTCTGTCTGTCTGTTTGTTTACCTGTCTGTTTGTCGGTCTGTTTACCTCCTTGTTTGTTTCTCTTTTCGCTTGTCTGTCTCTCTGTTTGTGTGTGTCTTAGTGCCAGGTTTCCTATTTTTATGTCTGTAATAATAAAAATATGTGTCTGTCAGTCTGTCTGTCTATCTGTCTGTCTGTCTGTCTGTCTGTCTGTCTGTCTGTCTGTCTGTCTGTCTGTCTGCAACACAATTAAAACATAGATATACATCAACAACTTCATAATTAGTATAGAAGATGACCTTAATTGACCTTAATTGACCTTATGAACACGTGTTAATATAGCCAAGGGGTCAAAGTTCACGTGGGGTCAAAGGTTACACCAGACTGATCACGTGACAGTGTTAGTGGGTCAATAGATAGTGTCAAAGTTTGTGTTTTTCCCTCCCTCCTCCCCTCTACCCTCCTCTATCCCCCTTCTATCCCCCTTCTATCCCCCTCTATCGTCCCTCTATCTCCCCTATCCCCCATCCTCCCTCCATCCCCCTCCCCCCCACCCTCCTCTATCCCTCCCTCCATCCCCTCCCTCCCTATCCCCTCCTCTCCCTCCCTCTATCCCCCCATCCTCTCTATCCCCCTCTACCCTCCCTCTATCCCCCTCCATCCTCCCTCCATCCTCCCTCCACTTCTCGCTCATTTCCATATAGATTTAATCCATTATTTCATTATATTCTTCTCTAAGTTTCCTTCACACAACAATGCAAAAACTCATCCCGAGTATCTTATCTTATTGCAGTGAGATATCGTGTGCAATGAGACTGCAACACACACACACACACACACACACACACTCAGACACACACACTCAGACACACAAGCATCTGCCCCAAACACAAGGTCTTGCAACATGTGGCTGCTATATATATCTACCTGGCTCAGTTGAAAGTTGCAGAAAATATTGCAAGGAGACGCGACAGGTAGGCAGGTACATAGCAGGTGTGGCGGGCACTTGGTCTATTGCCTTACACAGGTGGGTGGCTTAAGGCTCCTTCACTAATTAGGGCGGTGTTAATTAACCACTCAGGTGAGACACTGCTTCTACGGGAGGGGGAGGAGGGTTATTGATGGGGTTGTGCTGGTGGTTGCGGTGGTTAGTGGTGGTGGTAGTGATGTTAATGGTGTTGATAGTGGTAGTTGTGGTTGCTCTCTCTGTCTCTCTCTCTCTCTCTCATTTCCTTCTTGTTATTATCTTGTTTTATTGTATCTTCCCCTGTCATCATTACTCTTATTATAAGGATCATTATTACTGTAGATACCATATAGGAGCACTTAGTAGTTAACTCCTTGGCTGTGGTGGTGAGGAAAGGTTCACACACACACACACACACACACCTTCTTCTTTTCCATCTTCCTCTTTGTCTTACTCCCTCTATTCCTCTTAATTGAGAGAGAGAGAGAGAGAGAGAGAGAGAGAGAGAGAGAGTACACATGCACTTAGAAATACAAGGTCATGCTTCTTGCTGCCAGTTGTCACCATCATTATTATCACTGTCATCTTATGTTATTGCCTTCACTATCATCATCATCATCATCCTCATCATAGGCTGTGGTGTTGTTATATTACTTCTAGTCTCTCTCTCTCTCTCTCTCTCTCTCCCTTTGAGGTTCTTTGTCACCTCGTAAAGCTTATTATAGTTTCGCTCTGTTTATCTTTCTCTGTCTCAATGATTCTCTTTCTCTGCCTCTCTTTGTCTCTCTCACTTTTTTTCTCCCCAGTTTCTCCCTCTTTCTTTATCCCTCTATCCTCCTTACTGCTACTCCGCCTCACACCCCCCACCCACACACACACACACACACGTGGACACACACATGCACGTGGAATTACACACACACACACACACACACACACACACACACGTGGACACATACATGCACGTGGGTTGTTAAATTTACACACACACACACACACACACACACACACACACACACGTGACACACACACACACACACATAATGGCTGCCCCTCGTGTTCGTGGATGGCCGGCCCTTGGGGTCACCTAGACGTGAATTGTTTAAGGTGTAGAAGCTGTCGCCACCACAACAGCCACACCCTGAGTTAATTAACAAGTTGTAAGACCCAGTGATAAGGAAGAATCCAAGAACATCGGACAACTCGCCAACTGCACTGGCTAACCATTACCCCTGAAAGCCTAATGAGAGAGAGAGAGAGAGAGAGAGAGAGAGAGGTAGACAATAACTGGCCAGGCCCCGGGTGCCACACTGTGACCAAGAGAAGTGCCAGGGCCAAGAATGCCAGGAGGGAGGGAGGGAGGGAAGGAGGGAGGGGTGCCACTGATACCTCACCATGGCTCGCCTCGCCTCGCCTCTCCATCTACCTTTCCTTATGTTTTTATCCTCTAATTAAGGAAGTCTTTAACTGCTGTAGAGCCTCGGTGTGTTTTGGGCGCCATCTTGGTTATCTCGTAAGTCTGGGAGGAGATAATGTCTTTTGTTTCCGTAGCGTCTATGTACCAATAATGTCAAATGAAAAACTGTAATACAATGATAAAATTATATAGTTTAAATACCATATATATTATAAACGCTTGGTACCCAATTATACCATTTTCACTTAATCGTCCAATTATCGCGATGATTACGCGACTGTTTACATGTGTTGTGATTGGTCAGTACAAATAACCAATCATAAAAACAAACGATATTATCGTCTGTTTTTCGCTAGATCATTAACACGGGTGTCCGTGACGGGGGCTCTGGGAGAAGCGTCAGTCACCCCTGAGATAGGGAAGAGGTAAGACTGACGCTAATCACTCCTTATTTTTTTTTATTAGTGAGTGAAATGAGGATCTTTCGTCGTTGAACTTAATACCACACGAGAGAATGATAACTACATGTTTAACGAAGTGTTCTGGTCGGTTACAGGTGTGTGTTATACTCAGTGTGTTATTGTATTGTGTATGTATGTCTGTGTTTGGTCGAGAGAAAAACACTTTCGTTCCAATAATACTGTGATTTGTAATGACTCTCCAAGGGTCTAATGGGATAGTTATAAGTGTAGGTTAATCTCTTACATACATACATACATACATACCCCTGTAGATACATACATACATACCCCTGTAGATACATACATACATACCCCTGTAGATACATACATACATACCCCTGTAGATACATACATACATACCCCTGTAGATACATACATACATACCCCTGTAGATACATACATACATGCCAGTAGCCCGAGAAGGTAGACACTCATTAGCGGGACAGTTTACACCTGTTGTGTTTGTCATCACCTTGGCAACTTTTTATCCCCTTCTCTTGACAGCTCGTGACGCCCTCTGTCATTTGTCGTCTGGGTGTTTGTCTGTGTTTATTTATGTATGTATGTATGTATGTATGTATGTATGTATGTATTGTCATTTTTGTATTATTCTTACTATTATTAGACAAATGTTGTGTCGTCACCTCACACCACTAACATTACCCCTCCTTGTTGTGTCGTCACCTCACACCACTAACATTACCCCCCTTGTGTCGTCACCTCACACCACTAACATTACATCCCTTGTCGTCACCTCAGACCACTAGAATTTTCCTTGTTGTGTCGTCACCTTACCCTTGTTGTGTCGTCACCTCACACCTAACAATACCCCCTTGTTGTGTCGTCACCTCACACCACAATACCCCTTGTTGTGTCGTCACCACACCACTAACATTTCTTGTGTCGTCAGCTCATAGGAACAACTTTAAGAAATAAAAGAGTTGAAAGAAAGAGTATTAGCTACAAGTGTCTGGGTTATCTGAGCCAAGGAACGTTTAGTCTCAGTCACTAACACACTGACAGACAGGCTAAGTGGAGTCACCTCGTACGTGTATATTTTGTAAACAATGACTTTGAATTTTGTGAGTGTGTGTGTGTGTATACGTGAGAGAGAGAGAGAGAGAGAGAGAGAGAGAGTCTTTATCAATCTCCTAACTATAAGATATTGACGTGTGTGAAAGAGAGAGAGGGAGAAAGAGAGAGAAAGCCACCATCTGCGCCTTCCATAAGCTTACAACACTTCACCCCCATCAATATAAACACGACAGAAAGCGCGCCAAAACTTGTGTCTTGTTCCCCCAAAACACATGAAGAGGCTACTGTTTTCCCGCGCCTTTGTTTATGATCTTATTTACTTGTTTATCCTTTGTTTATATATCTCCTGTTACCTCTTTGTTTATTGTCTGGCTAAAGCTTCTGAAACTTCTTATTTACGGCTTTAGTATGTGTCAATGTATGCGTCAATAGCCCTAAGCATGTCTTAGTAAGCGTTAGTATGCGTTAATTTGCGTCAATATGCGTCAGGATACATCAATAAGTAGTTGAATTAGTTACATCTGGGAATATTATCTAATTCTATGGAGTCATTTTCATGTCTGTTGTGTTTATCTGTCACCTAAACCATTTACTGAAGGTGACCATCCCGAGGGAAGGAGGGCAGCGGTCTGTATAGGTATCCCTCCATTGTTCTTGAAGCCCAATACTGTTCTCGATTCCACATCTTGAGCTGGTCGACTGTTCCATAGGTCTACCAGCCTCTGTGTGAAGAAGTATTTCCTCATATTTGTCCTACATGATAACTTAACTAGTTCGTAGCTATGTCCCCTGGTGTTGGTGGTACGTGACATCAAAAACAAGTGTCCCGGGTTCATATTTTCTATTTATTTCTTGATTTTCAGTGTTTCAATGAGGCCCTCTGTCTACTTGGATGAGAGAGAGAGAGAGAGAGAGAGAGAGAGAGAGAGAGAGAGAGAGAGAGAGAGGTGCCTCGGAGTGCCAAGGTAAGGTCAACAGTGCCAACATTAGTGATGGTTTAAGGTGTACACTGAATTAAGCTAGGTACACCTTTTTCTCTACCTGTGAGGTACCATTATTCATTATATTATTATTATTATTATTGTATTTTACTTTATGTTGTTTTCCATCATTAGACTGACCTAATCATTATGCTGTATAAACACCAAAGCTCGATAGACCCTCGACTTGTCAAGCGGGACTCGTGGGACTCTTCAGAACATATCGGGACTTGAGAATTCATTGAAACTCAGTGTGCACGCGCGCGTGTGTGTGTGTGTGTGTGTGTGTAGGCATTAACCACTACGTAATTTTAACCTATTCATTATCCGGGTTTATCCACCAAGAACTTGTTTGGCTAACCTACCCCAGTCCCTGAGGTGTAGTGACGTCAACCTACCCCACCATCCTACAGACTCTCTCTATCTCTCTCTCTCTCTCTCTCTCTCTCGCTCTGTTTCTAGAGCTCCACGGCGGTCGAGAGATATAGAGAGATAGAGACAGAGGCAAAGACAAAGACAGAGAGAGAGAAAGAACTGCGCAGGCACATTCTCCAGTGATCAGCGCTGGGTGGGTGGGTGGGTGGATCTCCTTATTGTTGTTCTTGACAATACTCATCCATACACCCATCTACCAATCTCGTGTCTTCCATCCACATCTGTCTGTCTACGTACATGTTTTTCTGTCTGTCTGTACACTAAAGTATATCCTTCTCTGATAAATATCTCTATGTCTATACACACAAAGACGGTGCCAATATAGTGAGCATTATCCGTCATTCATTTAATAATATAAGTTTAAACGTTCGCTTCTTGTTTGTAAACACGACGTGACGTCATCAACGTATTATGCACACTCAGATATGCAGGAAAAAACTGATTTATCTTTTTACGCAAACGCGAACTCTGTCATTCTTGACTCATAGTAAATATTTTGTCTTTGGGTACGCTGTCAGCAGAGAGAGAGAGAGAGAGAGAGAGAGAGAGAGAGTAGATGTTTTATTTAGATGCATTGTCATGAAAAAGAGAGAGATAAAATTATTGAGGTTTGTAAGGGCGCGCGCGCATGTGTGTGTGTGTGTGTGTGTGTGTGTGTGTGTGTGTGTGTGTAAGGACGTGGATGTCTAATAGAGGCGTGTAGTGCAGTAGTAGCAGGTCGTGGGCGCGGGAAGAAGGCATGGTGGGAATGTCAGGCCCGCGCGCCCACTCACTTGGCGGGCGTGTAGATCTCTTCCCTGCCACGCCAGCTGACACGCCCTGGGCCCTCGCCAACCCCAAACGTTGTCTCCACACACCCAAGCCCTTAGTCACGGTCTAGTGTGTCTACCGTAGCCCTTAACCACCCCTCTAGCCCTTAACCCACCCCTCTAGCCCTTACTCCACCCCTCTAGTCCTTAACCCACCCCTCTAGCCCCTAACCCACCCTTCTAGCTCTTAACCTATCCTTACTGTCACTACCTGCCCGCCTCACAGTACCGCCTGTCATACGAGACACCATCTGTCATGTCAAGAAAGCTGCACCACCTGTGTTACCATAATATCCTCTGCCTCACGCTACCTGTCACAAGTCACGCCACCTGTCATACCCGTGAATCTAAACCATCTGTTGCGTTTATTACGGCTCACGTGATGTAAGGAGTTCACCAGCTGTGTCAAGAGCTGCTCCACCTGTCTGTGTTCCCGTAAGGTGATTAGTTAATGAGTTTGTTATTATGTAGATATATAGGTACTTATAAAACATTGACCCGGGTAAGGCATTGACCAGAAGGATCAGAATTCTCCAAATACTTGAGATCCAAAGTCGTTTAAAAACCCTGATGTAAGTTGCCACGATTGATGAAGGTCCACCCAAGAAAACATGGCCGCATCTTTCGCTGGTGACTCGACTTTTACAATTTAGAATTCCTTTGAAAATCCTCCTTGGGGGGGGGTGGTCTTAGGTCACCTCATAACGACTATCTTACCTTGGTAGTTACATAGGTCAGTACTGGAGTAATTTAACTTGTAATTATTAGCCTAAAAGGGTATCTGACTACTAGCTTGTGATGTAATATGTCGATTGAAGTTAAAATGGCGTCGTTAGTGTAATGTGACTCACCTTAAACTGGAAATGTGGTGGACGTGATTAATGGACGACTCTGTGAGGTGTGTGGAGTTGTGGTTTGTTGTTTTTTTTACGTTTTTCTCGTACTTCTGAGAGTTAATTAATTGCCTCCTTCTGTCCTTATCTCTCTGAATATCTTTTTCGTCGTGTGAGATGTCTCCTTTTCCTCCATATCTCTCCGATCTTTCTTTATCTCTCTCTCTCTCTCCCTTTGGCTTGAAATATCCTCTCTTTAAACTCCGTCTTTTTCTTTCTCTCTCTTTCTTAAGATTATCCCCCTATCTCTTTCTGTCATCTCCCTCTCGTGAAACCCAGTTCTCTTTTGTCACCTTTTCTCTTTCTCTTAAAATGTCTGTGTCTTTGTCTCCCTCTTTAAGTCCTGAGATGAAAATTATGGCTACTATCCATTTTAGTCACGTTAAACAGGTTTTGCGATTAATTTTCCCTTTATATAGATATAAAACCAAGCTGCGTGACTTCAAATATACCCAGACACACTTGTAGTTATCATTGGTAGATTTTACTGTACTATATGAGAGTAAAAAAAGTCTGAAAAGTTAGGCAAGTTCTAGCGTTTTCATCTGTAGAAGAAAATGGATTTATACTCAATGATAGAAAACGTTAATGGATAACTTATATAATTTTTGTATATCGCTTACTCGTAACTTATATTCACTAACATTTGTATGATGTAATAGTGTCACAATATGTTATATACACTTATGTTCAGGGTGTTTAATGTTTATTTGATCTATCTTATGTTGGAAGTGAAGTTAGGAAATACAAATTGAAATGTAATATTCAAGAAACTATGAAAACAGAAGACAGATCCCAACAGGTCCTGATGGCGTGTCCTCAAATTGTTCTGAAATATTATCTTGGGATATTTTGCGACCTAAGATTTTCTTTTTTTCAGTTTTCATTAAATACTTTTCCCAGTGCCTTGAAATTAGCCAACGCATCACCTATATTTTTTAAACAAGAAATAAGAATAAGCATTGAAACTATAGGCCAGTATCATTGATAAATATACTTACTAAAATCCTGAAAAAAGAATATAATGAAAGAAGAATTTATTAGATGTGTAAAAAGAAATAGCATGCTTGAAAATTCTCATAAGGTCTTAGAAATAGAGTTACTGAACTGACATGTTGTGTTATTTGGTTGATTTCGTAGATAAACAATATAGTGTGGAGGTTATTTAATGGAGGAAATAGGTGTACAGTGATGTGTTCCAGGTGTGTGTACAGTGATGTGTGTGTGTGTGTGTGTGTGTGTGTGTGCGTGTGTGTATGTACATCAAACTCCTCTCTTACATACAGAAGAAAATTTTTTCGTATATGGACAACCTCTCGGGGTTATGGTTGAGTCATTATAAACAAAAACACACAAAGGTTATTTATACAAGTTGAATATCATTGTTGATGTGGTGGTGGTGGTGGTGCTGTACTTGGGGGACCTCCTTCATCCTGATCTTATGAACTAGTCTTTAAGCCATATTAATCCTTCCATCGTGGTATTTATTCATTTTAAGTGACATATTTTCCATACTAATATTCCCTCGTGGCAAATATTCCAACATGGAGGCGAAATCTTAACGTTGGGTGTTTCTTTTCCCAGGAGGTTCGAGGTGGTGGTGCTGTACTGTGAGACCTACATGAATTATATTCCTCTCTCCTTCATCCTGGGATTCTACGTCTCCTTCGTAGCCTCAAGATGGTGGCAACAATATATGGCTATACCTTGGCCGGACAAGTAAGATATTTCCAACTTTGATATCGTATTTTATTGACTATAGATTCCAAGTCTTTATAACGTCTCTGCCATAGGGAGGTTCCAAATGTTTGTTTGGGTGTTCGGATTCGTTCTGATGTTGGCTATATTAGGTATTAGATTATGTTATGGTTATTCTGATTCTAATTTTGTTTTCAGAATCGATTTTTTTAATATATTGTAGTTTTTAATTTTTTGTTTAAGGTATTTTATTCAATTTAATCAATATGTTCTTTAGAAGTGATTGAAAATAATGTAGCAACGATGGAAATAAAGTAACAGTGATGAAAATAATGTAAAATTGATGGAAATGATGAAAAAGTGATGGAAATAATGTAGAAATGATAGAAAGAGTCTTGTAGCAACTGAAATGATGTAGAAGTAATGGAAATAATATGCTCAACAACAATCGTGTGAGGTGAATACGATGACCAGAATACAAAACACGGAAATAAGAGGACGTGGGAGACAAAAGAGCATCGGGTAGAGAGTTGATCCGGGGGTTTCCAAGATGGTGTGGAATTAGAGAGAGAATCTGAACTTATATATCGGTGGTGGTGGTGATTGGTGGTGATGGTGTTGCTTGGTGGTGATGGCGATTGGTGGTGGTGGTAGTGGTTAGTGGTTATTAGTGATGAGTAGATCGTCACGAGTCACTAGCAGGATGCACTACTAGCAAGAGGCACTACTAAAAGAAGGCACTAGCTGGAGGGACTAGCAGAAGATACCAACAGGAAGCACTTGCAAGCGGAACTAGCAGGAGGCACTAGCAGGAGGCACTACTAGCAGGAGGCACTACTAGCAGAAGACACTACTAGCAGGAGGTACGAGCAGGAGTCACCAGCTGGAGGCACTAGCAGAAGACACCAATAGGAGGCACTAGCAAGAGGAACTAGCAGGTGGCACTAGCAGGAGCCACTAGCAGCAGGAGACGCACGGACCTTACTCACGTGTCAAGTATCGCACCAATGTTTGGCAAGACGCACCCCAAGCTCCGCCACGACGACCACGACTACAACGACTACCACAACAACACTACTACCACAACGACCACGACTACCACGACTACCACGACAACCACAACAACACTACTACCACAATTACCACGACAACATTACTAGCACCAAATCAATACCATCACACCACCACCACCAGCGCCACCAAGCCACCACCACCACCACCACCACCATCACCACCACAAAGACACAGTACACCAGCATGCCATCACGTCTTCCTTAAACCAACGACAAATTCCTGCGGCAGTAAAGACGACCAGAGGCAGCAGCAGGCGGCCTCCACATACACCCTGGCCATTACCGCCTCTTTCATACTGTCTCTGTGGTCATGATCGCGAACGTTCGTCTGGGTGCAAGTTTCCCCTTCCCCACCGCCCGTTTTTGTCTGTGTTGATTTACGATGTATAAAAACTTTCTGAAATGTGTCACTGGAGTACGTGGCGGGAAATGTCTTTGTAGAGTAGGTATTTCATCTGTAGTAAACGCCAGGCGATGCTCATGGCTCGTATTGGCGGAAGAATACTTAACAAGGATATAACACTTCACAACTACCACCCTGTAAACACCCTGGCGGCGAAGGGGAGAAACACACCACGAGGGATTATGGGTAACGTCCTCAGAAATACCAACAGCATATTTGTGGGCAGGAAGAACTCACACACACTGTAGGTATCGTCTCTGGTGTATAATACTGAAGGACGAACGGTACACTGTGGACACGACGAGCCAAGGAACTACTGCAGGTATTAATGGCGGATCATCTCACCTGTGTAACCAAACCACGTCCCTATCATTAATTATAATCATCCATTCATTATCATTCTATCATTCTTTGCAACTAAAACTCACTATCATTTTAAATTGACTAGAAGAATGATTGAAACGAGAATAGTAGTGACGGTAGACGTGGTAGTAGTAAGGTTGGTATTAGAGAAGAAGTAGTAAAGGAGGTTCAGAAGGAGAAGAGGAGGAGGAGGAGGAGATAGGGGACAGGCGGGGGGGAGGGGGGTGAGACAGAGAGGGGATGGGTGTGACTCTGGTAGTGTTGGCACTGTTCTTCCATCAGGGTGCCAGGCTTAGGTCAGGTGGGTTTCTGGCATCACTAATCAACATTCACAACCATCATTCTTCAAGCGCACACACACACACACACACACACACACACACACACACACACACACTAAAAACACAACACCACCACGCCAAACTAAACACCTTTTTAACTAGTTCTCTCAACGCACCACCACCAGTCAACGCCAGTCCCTCCCTCTCAACGCACCACCACCAGTCAACGCCAGTCCCTCCCTCTCAACGCACCACCACCAGTCAACGCCAGTCCCTCCCTCTCAACGCCACAAAGTCAACGCCAGTCAACATCTCCCTATTCACAACGATACAACACCGAACTCTCAACCCTGATGGAAATATTAATTAACATAAACTAAACACAACTGTACCTAAACATCCCTCTCAAGATAAACATATAAACATTATATTTATTCTTTAGCATAAACCACATCACTAGGTTAAGGAGTCATTGATCTACACAGCCCTCAAGACACGTTTAATATCATGGCCTCTCATCTAGGTAGGTAAATTATCCCACTGCCTTATATTTGAGTTAATGGAGGGTAGGGATGAGGGAATAGGGTAGGGATTAGGTGATAGGTAGAGTAGGAAGGTGGGGGTGGGGTGGGGTGGGGTGGGGTGAGGGTGGGGAGGGGTAGGGTGGGGCGGGGTGGGGTAGGGTGGGGTGGTGTTAAAGCGTTTGGGATAATGTTTTTTCGGGGGTTAAGAAGGTGGTGGTGATTGGTTTATGGGATATTGGGTGTGGTTTAGGGAGAGAATGATGGTTTAATTAATTCTTTGAGTTTATGGTTTAGCAGCATTAGCCCCTTCTCCTTATTTATTCTCCTCTTCTTCTTTCTTCTCTTCGCCTTTCTCTGTTTTAGTGTTGGGTCTTGTTTCTGATGTACTTCTGTATCTCGATTTTGATTTATCTCTTAACCTCTCCACTCTCTCAATTTCTGTCTCTCTCTCTTTCTATTTCTGTTTCTCTCTCTCTCTCTTTTCATTTATCTGTCTCTCTCTCCTTCCTTTCCCATCTCTCTCAGTACACATAGACACAACAACATATTCGGCACTGCACTCAACCTCCTTCATTTTCCCAAACTGTATAAGTACTCACATATTTACTGTGTATATTATGGCTATAATGTATGGGTCAAAAGTCAATCCTTTTCCATTCCCTTTACATGATTATTCCCATTCCATTTACAGTAGTCCGTGGTCATAGTTACATTCCATTAAGTTAAAAACCTCTTCCTTTCCATCTCGTCTGTGTTCTGTTCCGCAATTAAAAAAATCTACAGATATTTCCCACATTCTTGTTGAGGGAAGGAGACCCCCCCCCCCTCACATACCTCTCCCTCTGTGTTGAATTCCTTCCTTAATCTTGACCCCTAGAAGGCCCTTCATGTGTCTCCTTGGCTGTCTCTCAACCTCTCACAGGATATTAAAGGAACCCCCCAACTCCCTCCTCTCTCTCTCTCTCTGCAGGATCACCCACAGTATCTTCCTCCAGGATACAAGAATGAATCAACTATCTTATATCACTCAACTTCTTACAGGATACTAAACCTGTATCCTTCAGGCTTTTACAGGATACCTAAAGGACTCTTCTCTCGTCTCCAACAGGCTGCTAAAAGATTCTCTCTCCTTCAGGATCACCCACGTCTTCCACGCCACAATGAATCAATTAACCATCTTCTGCCTTTAAAACTTTATCCTTCAGGTCCCTACAGGATACCTAAATGACTCCTCTTTCTCTTCTCCAACAGGATCATCCACGCCATCGCCCTACACGTCACGGGGTATGATGAGAAGGGCAGGATGATGAGGAGGACCTTGGCTCGGTACATTAATCTCAGCCTCGTGCTCATCCTAAGGTCCATCTCCTCACCGCTCAAGAAAAGGTTTCCAACGTTAGAGCATCTCGTAGAGGCCGGTGGGTGTAGAAAGAGAGAGAGAGAGTATGTGTGAGTGTGTCTGTGAAAGTATATGTAAGTGAGAGAGAGGGATGGGGGAGCATATTTCAATTGTATACTTAACCTCAGTCACGTGATACCTACACCTGCTAGGACGGATATATCTACGAGTAGACTTCCACCCCCCCCTTCCCCTTCCCCATCCCGTCTACACTCCTTCCCTGCCTCATCTCCACACCTCCTCCCCCGCCCCGTTTCCACACCTTGCCTCCCACCCCGTCTCTTCACCTTTCCCCGCCCCGTCTCTTCACCTCTCCCCCGCTCCTGACAGCAGTATATCAAGATCGCTGCCAAGATAGACTAGAATCTCTCCAGTTGATCTCTAGGTCACGCCATCTCGCGGTGGAAATATAAGTTAGCTCTTAATTGTATCCAGCTTGAGACGCAGGGACATGGAGGAGAGAGAGAGAGAGTGAGAGAGAGAGAGAAACAGACAGAGAGACGGACAGACAGACAGACAGACAGACAGATAGAGAGAGTGTGTGTTTTCATTCATACCCGACATTATTATTACCCTTAGCTAGACGAGAAGTATAAGAAGCCTGAAGACGTTTCGAAGATCCATACTTCAGTTGACTCCCCTTAAGAAAAATAAACACATCAGGGCGTTTACTGTTACGTTAAGAGTTAGTGAGACAGGTAAACACTTCATAATGTCTCTCTGACAGGAGTTATAATCGTGTCAGAGGAATTTAGATATACAGGGAGTGGTTTTAGTTCCTCGTATACAGTGAACATCGTATAGCTGGTATCTTTCGACTCATAAGTCAACATTAGGGAAATTTTCACAGGGTTGAGGATCTCACTGGGTCTCTTTCACGTGTTCTGATGTACCAGTGAGATGAAAACATGATGATAAAGCATATAATTACCCAAATAATGAATAAGAATAGAGTGATAAGCATATGGAAGCAGAGGTAACAGGTGTAAATGTTAAAATATGAGATGGCTGGATGAGGAGAGGATAAAATTGTAAGGGACATGTTTTAGACTAAAACATTTGTGTTAATTGAATGTTGTTGTTGTGGATTTACTTTTATTGAATTTATTATTAGTATTATCATTATTACTGAAATATATGTAGATATATTCACGATCCCTTGAGTCCTTGGTCATGTTTTAGTAACACTTAACGTTACTCACTTGAATAAAAGGACAGAGTAGAAAATTTTATTGGAATACTTTTGTAACTTCACTTCCCTTGACAGACATCACTAAAACTTACTCATCATCTTTCTCTCTCTCTACCTATTTTCACCTCTCAACAACAACACTGCGACCTGCTGCATAACACCTTGCCTTCCCTCACAAGAACCACCAACCCATCCACCCCATTATCTCGTTATCTCCTTCACCCCACAGGCTTCATCACTACAACAGAGCTGGGGATATACAAACTGGTGCCCAATAAAGAATTCAACACGTACTGGGTGCCCTGTACGTGGTTTACGGCCCTCCTAAAGGACATCAAAGGCCAAAAAAGAATACCCGATCCTATGGGGGTCAAACACATCATGGAGGTAGAGTCCCCACTTTCTGTCATCTATACTCGTGTTGGCGAATCTATACTCTGTTTTTTTACTGTTTTCCTTCGTCTATATTTTTCTTTTCAGTCTTATTCTTATTCTTGTTCTTGTTCAACATGTTCTTTTAATTCCATTATAAGACGCTTTTATTATCTTGTTTTCAAAGCTTATAGTAAATTTGCTCTCATGTCTTGTGATGTTCTTTTGCTTTGATAAATGGCTGATTTATTTTTTCTAGGTAGTTCTTAAAGTAAATATATTTTGTTTTCTTTTAAATTAGTCTTTTTGTTTATTTTTGCTGGATGTGATCATAGAATCTATTTGCTATGATTTTTTTTTTCATTTTTTTGCTGGATGTAATCTATAGAACTCATAACACAGCTATTTAATTAATAGTTATTATTGTATTTTTGTGTATATTGTTGTAAGTTCTTCCTAAATATTAAGCACATAGTTTACATATCAATAGTATTTTTTTCAAGCACAATTTCCTTCAAATTAATGACAAAAAATGGTATATTTTCTTTCTTTTTTCTCCTTTTCTCTTTCTTTAATTGCATTTTCTTATTTTAAGAGACTTTATTGTAGTTGTCAGTATAAGTTTATCTGCCATAGACAGGAACAAATAAATTCCTTGTCACATAGTTTGCTTTTTTCCTCTCTCATGCTTGATCAAACATTTTATTTTTCTTGTTTTTTCTCTATCTCTTCTTTATTAGAAAAAGTAAAAATTTAAAAGCATTGTTCTAGTGTGCCTATAGATGTTACAGAGCTCCATTTAATATAGAAAAAATATATTAGTTAGTCAATTCCGCAGTTTTTTCTCTTCATCAGATATTTTTTTCCTTTGGTAGAGTCAAGATTGTCCAAAATTGGTTTAAATGCCTATAAACAGATTTGTTCTTTGGGGTAGATTAATTCTTCAAGTTTTATCTATATACAATTCCGTCTGAGTAAAGACCTGTTTATATATATATATATATATATATATATATATATATATATATATATATATATATATATATATATATATATATATATATATATATATATATATATATATATATGTATATATATGAATATATCTTTACCAGAGAAATATATGTTTAGTGTAAATAAATCCAGGAATAAATTTTACAATAGAAAATTTGTTTAGCCTGAGAAGATGTCCATTGAAAAAAAAATACATTAGTTGTGGAGGGGGTGGCTGTTTTGAGTTATTTTGTCTTGGGTGTTAGAAGTTGCCCACACCACTAACACACTAACACCATCTAACAACACACACACACACACACATCTCTAACCAGGGAAGTCAATAGATATTTTTTTGATTAATGATCAGTCGGTTGTTTTAGGGGTTCATTTAATACTACTACAGATTCTAGGTCAAGATCTGCATAATTACGATGAATAAATTCAAAAAAGAGATTGATTATTGACGAGGATTTAAACCTTCCCTCCCGCTGCCAAGTCTCCCTCCTCTCTCGCCCCCCGTGTCGTGAGAATATACGGTATTTTGTGGTCAAATTTCCTCGAGATTTGTCCACAACTTACCATCGTTCACTGTCTCGTAAAATTACTTGTATCTCTTACCAGTTCAACGTGTGATTCATTCGCTCTCTTCAGATCCATTCACACGAAGTTAGTAAATAGTTCCTAGGTTCATTTGTCTTTTTTTTTAGTCTTGTTATATTATTGACATATAATTTGCCTATCCCATAAAAACTAAGCGTTGTTTTTAATACTTGTTATAAATGTGAAAATGTTTTGCTAGTCACACAAAGTTTACGTGTCATTTACGGTTCCTGTTCACGGAAAAAGTAAAAATAGTACCATCAACTTATTTCAGCACCAACACTTAATTTCTCGTAGATTTTGTGACAGTTTCCTTCACAGTTCAAGTATTATGCAGCAGGTTTTCTCTCGGTCTGTTAGTCTTGTGTTACGTCTTCCTGACATTCACGGACCAGATGCCAGCCTCAGTTGACGTGCCAGCTGCTAGTGAACTCTTAAATTCACGGTCAGACGATAAGTTCTTTATAGTTTCCCATAAAATAAGTTACTCGTTTCAAAGAAAACAAATCATTTGCGTTTTCTGTATTTTCATAATACGTCCAACTTTTCCTTTTTCATGTTTTCACTTTATAGCCAAGGGAAGATTTAGTGTAAAAACTTCATCAAATATTTCAATGGTTTGTGCTAACTGTGTAGTGATGACGGGAACGTGTAAAATGACAAGCTTACATTTTGCTTTTGTTTTCTTTCGCTTCTCTTTACCATTTCTTTTAGTTTATCATATATCAACGGTAAAGTGTGAACTCAGAGAGGCTGGCAGGCTAGCAGGCAGACACCCACTTACACCCTGTAGCTATTTTCTAATTGAGTAGTGTGGACGCCCACGAGCTGGTGGGGTAGGTAGGCGGCCTTCATATAGCTCCGGTCAGTATTTATAACCATCCTCCGTATTGAAGCTCAATAAGTAGCAGATATTGACACAGCATCTGAACAAGCTTTTCATATTCAAGGCTAAAAATAAAAGCTGCAGAAATAAAGATATTCCATGCAACTGTAACCAGTCTAGATGCTTTCTGATGTTGCAACTGTTGAGCAGTGAGTGGCTTCAGTCCTTGTGCACTAATGACTGAGTGAGACGCAGGCAGAGAGATAATGAGCCTCTGGACTCCTTCAGTGTACGGCTGACACAACCCTTACTGTAAGGCCCCAACACACACTACCTTTTAAAGTTCTATAAAACACATCATGTTGATTTTTTTGTTAACGCTGGCATGTTTCTGCCGGGAGAGTCATTGGCCCTTGGCACCCGCCGGGCTCGCCTTAAGGATGATGATGATGATGATGATACACTCACAGACTTTCTCCTTTACCCTCGCTAACCGCTAACGATGGTCCAGCCAGCAGTCCCCACAACTTTAGATGTCCTCTCTTTCCAGGAGTTCAATGAGTTCAGACAAAAATGCGGAATGCTCTGGAGCTATGACTGGGTGTCAATCCCTCTAGTGTACACTCAGGTAGGGTAATCACCATACAGCATTCCAAACTTCCATGGGCCATGCCGCATTCCTGCCCTACCGACTTTCCACTTTTATTACAGGAGTTTCTCGAATTTCGAGCCAAATGTGGCTTGCTCTGGTGTTACGATTGGGTGAGCATCCCGCTGGTGTATACTCAGGTACTGTAGGCTCGCTCATTAACCGCTGCCGGCCCTCATATAGGACCCTGTGGTTACCCCGCAAATACTTCGGCCGTCCCCCACCTTGACCACCCGTGTGCCCCTCACGCCCCCTATAACCACATCCATGAACCACTCACAGTGTTGATCTACCTCTTACAGAGCTTCTCGTGGGCTTCTTGTCTCAGTAGACACTTCCCATGCCTCGGTGTGCCTATTGAGGTTATCCTGTACTCCCTGGAGATAAAAAAGTCCCCTAATCCGGAATGCTGAGTCCTGTACTCTCAGGTATTGGATCTAGAATCATGTGCTAGGTCCTCCTGCTTCAGGTGCTGGTCCTACATCACCCACACCTCGGTACTGATGCTCCTGACGCTGGGTCTTAGCAGCCAGTGCAAATGATCCTTGTCGTTACAATTCCAGATAGTTCACATCAACTGGGGTTTCCAGAACCATCGGCTGGAAACTGCAAATTCAAGCCCAGTAGTCGTAATACGAGATGCTAAATCTTGCAGTTCCAAGTTTTTCCATTTTTTGTATTTTGTTGATCTCGGGTCTTGTGGTCCAGCACCTGAACTTGTCAGTATGAGAGGCTTAATCCTGTAGGAACAGTGACCTGGCTTACAGTGATGGAGCAAACCCTTAAAGGTCTTCCAGGCACTTACAAGAGGTGCGTCCTTTCTTTCCTAGCCACGTCCTGTCACCCCAGGCACTGTGTCCTTCAGGAGTTGTGTGCTGTAGACGCAGCCTACCACTGATTGGACAATCTCAATACTGATTATACCGAATGGTTCTCTTCAACTATGGATCAACAACAGTTTCCAAAAGCTCAAAGGCTCCAGGCCATGCAGGGTAAACATCTAAACCAACGTGACACGGTGTCTGACAGTCACCAAGGCTCCTCGTAGCTTTTCTTGAGGTTCACCCCACACGAGACGCCCAGCTGACCTACTCTAACCACCGTAACTGGCCGGCTTAGCTGCAAATAACCTCACTAAAGCGCCGGCTCTCTTGGCTTAGTCTCCCTGGTGGCTGTTGACGTAATCTAGGCAGAGCTGTGCGTCTTTCACTCTGTCACTTCACGAACTGTACTGAGGAGGTTGGATGGGCTGTCAGTCACTCAAACATGAAAAATGCAAAAAAAAAAAAAAAGAGCTATATTGACTATTCATGTTATATTTAAGAGATGGTTTCATGTACATAATAAGATGAATATAATAAATACAAAAGTCATGATGTATATAAAAGTGATTTATTGATGTATACTTTAAGTAAATTTGACTTTAAGGGTTCTTAAACTTAAGTGTATTAATCCTTTTGGTATTTTAGGGCGATTTTATTCCCAGTGTTCATCTGTATTCAAAAAATAATTGGCATATTTTTTTTCACAAACATTTTCAGATGTCTAATCGTCTGATTTCTGAATGTACTGTATAGAGTCAGTCAAAATTCGTTTCACAAATCCACACTGGCTTCAGCATGAACATAAACAGCGCAGACAGACATATAGTACAATCACTGGCTGAAGACTTTAAATGCCAGTGAGGTCAATACATCCTTATTTGGTCATCAACCTAAACATGTGTGTTGACGTCACCTATAGTGTGTGTTTGTGTGTGTGGTACAATGAACATGGTTGGTGTTCAGACCCTGTGTTCTACGTCACTGTTTGTTTACAACGTCAGCTCCAAAGTTGACTGACAGGATTAGAGCGAGAGAGAGAGACGTGTGTCCAGTCCTCTCTCTCCTCGCTCACTGAAATAGTTTTGAGAATATTTTTTTCTTTAAGTTTTCCCTTTTGTTTGTTTTTATTTTTATTTTTTGCATCTGTATATTTTGTTGGTTGGTTGGTTCACATCCTCCAGCATGATCTTATCTCCTTCTCCCTCAGTCCACTCGGTAGTTCCCGTTCAGTAGAGGTGAGGTTACAACACACTTACCCAAAAACACATTCACACACTCAAACAACAAACGCATTTACAATAAGAGAAAAACAAAATTACCAAAACAAAAAAATGGAGCCAGTTTGTATCCCTCCCAAACCCACCTCCCCCCCCAGAGCCTCGGTCGCGTTCTAATACGGCTTCAGACTTCTTGTTGTCGTTACAGGTGGTGACTATAGCCACTTACGCCTTCTTCCTGGCCGCTATAGTGGGACGTCAATTTGTGGAGAAGACGAGTATACCGTACAAGGCAAAGCTAGACCTCTACATCCCGTTCTTCACCCTCCTGCAGTTCTTCTTCTACATGGGGCTCCTGAAGGTGGAGTTCTTGTTCTCGTAGTTCTTTATCCTACGACCAGGTTCTTATGTCTGTGAATAGATAGGTAAATACGTGTTTATATTGGTCCCTTAAGGTGTAAACAGGCAGGTAAACAAACACACAAGTGGCTAGAGTTGTAATTGCTATTATTACCTTGACTACAGGTCGCCGAGCAGCTGATTAATCCTTTCGGAGACGACGATGAAGATTTTGAGCTGAACTGGATCATCGACAGACACATGAAGGTGAGACAAGGATGAGATTAGTGAGACAAGGATGAGACAAGAGTGAGACAAGGATGAGACAAGAGTAAGATTAGTGAGACAAGGATGAGACAAGAGTGAGACAAGGATGAGACAAGAGTAAGATTAGTGAGACAAGGATGAGATTAGTGAGACAAGGGTGAGACAAGAATGAGACGAGAGTAGGTTAAGTTCAGGGGTCGTATTAGTATTTCAAGTTGTCATGATGATATTTGTGTACGTATGTGTGTATGTGTGTGTATACGTCTACGTAAATATGTACATGCATATATGACATCACTCATTTTTTCCTATCTATTTATCTAGTAATCTTTCCTTATCTTTCCTCTCTCTCTCTCTCTTGGTCTTCCCCTACAGGTCTCATACCTCATAGTGGACACCTTGTTACTGAGGACGCCCCCACTGGTTAAGGACATCTTTTATAACGACGAGAGCCCCGTCTTACCCTACACCGAGGCGTCTGCTGAGTTCAAAAAGAGAACGTACAGAGGCTCAGTTGCGAACATGGTGTAAGTGTGGCAGTGCTTTGAGTGCTCCCTTTAACCCCTCTCGTAGATTAGAAAATGTTATTATGTTTAAGCTTTTTTTAATATTTCGCTCGCTTATGAAAAAAATACACACAGAGACACACATAGTTTCGTATTTTTAAAAGTTTTCGTAATGTTTCTGTCTGTCTGTCTGTCTGTCTGTCTGTCTGTCTGTCTGTCTCTCTCTCTCTCTCTCTCTCTCTCTCTCTCTCTCTCTCTCTCTCTCTCTCTCTCTCTCTCTCTCTCTCTCTCTCTCTCTCTCACTATCTATCTATCTATCTATCTCTCTTACTTGTAACTTACAGACAAAAGAAAGCATCTAGGTACGATTGACTCACGGTATAAAATGTCAACAGGTAATCTTAGTGTTTGTGTCTGTTAATTAAGGACGAAGCAGGTAAATGGATATATTCTCAACACCTTATTCACAGAAGAGAGAAATTAAAAATTATGAAGCTTTAAGAATACGAAGCCAAAGTCTTTTCAAAGTGAGAAGAATAAAATTAAAGGTTACGATTGTCTTTTCCTTTTGTCAAGGTGGATGTCAAGGAAGTCAATATTTCTGATCTATTAATTGTCCTCTTCTCATGCTGGTACACTTCATGCTTTTAAAAACAAACAAACAAACAATAGCACAAATCCTTTCTCTTATAACTGTAGCAAACAAACTAAAAACAAAACAAATACCTTTATTTTTTTGTCAATAACGATTTAGTGTCGCAGTAGCTTCAGCGTTTGTTCTGATTTTCCCTTATTTTGGAAACAATTTAATAGACCCAACCCTAACATCTCGTCCCTGTTACACCCATACTCCCCCGTACGGTCTGATTTTTCCCTCCTTTTTTCTTTTTATTTCCCTCTTTTATCCTGCATTATCCCTCTCTCCCTTTCTGATTTATTCACCTTGTTATTATTCTTTCATCTTGATTGACTTTGGTGCCGTTTCTATCGTCATTTCTGCCTTCTCTTCCTTCCATGATCTTCATTTGTTTTACTTATTGATCTCGTCTATACATTCGTTGTGATGTTTATTGTTTCGTTTTGTCTATAGTCTTCCTTATTGTGTTATAGTCGATTCACAACTTCCCTCTTCTCTTTTGTTTAGGTCTCTCTTCTTTTGTTTTATCCTCGTTCGTTTTTTTTATTATATTTTTATTTTATTTTTTGTACGTGTTTTTTCTCATTCTCTCTCATTTCTTCATTCGTTTGTTTCTCATATTATTGGAGAGATTTTTCCGATCTTTTTATATTTCATTTGCATCATTTATCATTTTCTGTCCTATATCCACTTTCATCACCTTTCGCTGTTAGTTACATTTCTTCCATCTCTCTCTCGCGCTCTTTCTCTCTCATATGTTGTTATCTCTTTTCTTGTTCTTTATCTCTTATTCTTTCATTCGCGGTGTTCCTTGTTTCTTCCACTTTCCTCTTCCACCTTTTCATCTTCCCATTCTTCCTCCTTTCTTCCTCCTGTGTCTATCTTCCTTCCTTTTTCCTTGTTTGTTGTCTCTCTCTCTCTCTCTCTCTCTCTCTCTCTCTCTCTCTCTCTTTCCTCTTCCTAATTTTAATCTTTCATTGCCCTCTATCTGTCTTTATCATCTCTCTTTCTCTCCTTCTCCCTCTCCCCTGGCTGGTGACTCCTCTCTCTATCCCTCTCCCTCTGCTCCCTTACTCCCCCTCCTCCCTTCCCCTCTCTCTCACCCTCTCTCTCTCGCTCTTCTCACTCTCCTTCTTTACCCTCCCCTTCCCCTCTCTCTCTCTCCCTCTCTCTCTCGCTCTCCTTCTCGCTCTCCCCCGGCTGGTGGCTCCCCTCACCCCGGTGCTGTCTCTCTCCCTCACGGCAGAATCCCAGAAGATAAACAGAACCTCATCCTCCCGGACATCGAGGAAGAAGGCGAGGAGGAAGAGCGTCGGCCCTCTAGTAACCTCACGTCTCGGCAACCATCTGTCAGGTCTTCCATCAACAACCTCGGAGGTAGGTGTGACGTCATAACCAGGCCACGGCAGGTGTTCCTTGGACGGTGTTCGAGGTAGGTGAAGGTCAGTGGAGTTTTGGAGATAGGAGGAGGTGTGTTCTCTCTCTCTCTATATCTCTCTGGAGGTCTTTTGGCAGTAGATGGAGGTCATGTTTAAGTGAGTTTCAGGAGGTGGGTGACATCTTGGAGGCAAAGAAAGTGCCTCTATCCTTGTAGGTTCCTGAAGGGTTTTGGAGTTAGGCGGTGAGGTGTTTTAAAAGACCTAGGAGTTGTTTTATGTCCTTAGATGTGGATGACATCTTGGAGGCATCAGGAGATGTTTTTTGTCCTTACGTGGCAGGGACTGTCTTGGAGGCTCCAGGACGAAGGTAAAAAAAATTCTTATAATTGATCAGATGCTTCGTGTTCTTGGAGGCCTTTGAAGGTAATCTCTTTCCCTGGATCTGAGGTTCTTGAAGGCAGGTGATGACTTGGAGATCTCACAGTGTTTAAAGATAGGATTTCTCTTCTTCCTCTTCATCTTTCCTCATCGACATCCTGCTCAGGGACACATGGCGGCCTACTTCAGGAACTATACCCTCTGGGGGCTCCTCATCCAAGAGGTCTTTCCTTTCTGCTTGAGTCGTTCTCTCTACCAGGAAACTTACAGGAGGCACTTGAAGGAATTTGTTATCCCCCCAAAAAAAACATTAACATTCAACATTGTATCAGAGTGCAAGGAGGAGTTAAATACGACAGTTATTGTCTTCGTGAGGGGAAGAAGTCGTGCTGTGTCCTCGGTGACTGTCTGTCCGTCTGTCTGTACCAATATGGACATGGGTGAGTGGAAGAGGAGGAGGGGAAGGAGGGGAGGAGCTGTAAGAGAACGAGGAGGAAGAGGTAGTTGAGGAGGGGAAGGGTAGAAGGAGGAGGAGGAAGTAGAGGAGGAAGAACAAATAGAGGATGGGAAGGAAGAAGAGGAGGAGGAGAAGATGGAGGAGGAAAATCGACCCTCTATCAAAAGTCTTGGAAGGGTTTGATATCTCTGCGTCCTCCTGTCTGTCCAATCGAGGAAAATCTCACTAAACTCTACTTGTAAAATAATTCTTTTATAAATAAAGTCCATAAGTATGTTTGGCTTCACTGTCTGTCGTGGTTCTTGACCGCTTGTGTGTCAGAGTGAAGTTTAATGGCGGCTAGATGGATACAAACACAGAACACTAAACTAATAGATATTGGTAAATAAAAGATAGATAATGAGGTAGATTGAAAGATATATATATATATATATATATATATATATATATATATATATATATATATATATATATATATATATATATATATATATATATATATATATATATATATATATATATATATATATATATATATGTATATATATATATATAGATAGATGGATAGAAGGGCGCTGGTACTTAGATATCTGTTTAGCCATGAGTTAGTTTCTTAGTGTCCATGTCTAAACCCGTTACCGAACCCTTGCATTCCGAACCCCGAATCCCGTACCAATAAAATAGTTGTTAATATTTGCCTCAGTGTAGAATGTCACATTAACTTTATAAGAGACTACAGTTCGCTGTAATGCTAAAGTAATAATGTCAAAAGAATTAGCATAGGAAAAATCATTCTTGTCCACCTTGTTATCTTTCTTAGAGGACGACGCTGGAAGGTTTTGGTTAAAGCTTTAGCTTAACACAAAACAGGTTGGTGGCACCGTGTGACAGCGAAGTTCGGAGTGGGGGCCCCGGCCAGCACCCGCCGCCATCACCAACACCATGCTCCTGATGCTCTAACTTGTTCCATGCGTGTATCTGCAGGTGGGGAAGATGGCGGCACTTACCCGGACTTAGAGATTGGCCAGGGTGAGTTGCTGGCCATCCACCGCGCCCTCAGCAAACGAAGCTTCCTGGAAGGTAGCACCAAGCAAACGCCTCCGCCTCCCCCTAGCGCTGCTGCATCCCTCCTCTCTTTTAGTTCTTATCAACGCTTCCCGCTGGAGGGACGCCCCGACTCTTGTCCCTACCAGCCGCTTGTTCAGTAGATGTAGAACCACTGGCTCTGTAGCTGCGATACTTATGATTTTCTTCTCCCTCTTCCAGCAGTTTTGTTTTTGTTCACAGAAGGAGGCAAAGACAAAAAAAAGAGCTTCTATTAGGCAGGAACGAAATATCCTGACTCGGAATATAAGGGAAGAGATTTTTGTTTACTATTACAGCGTACATGATCTCTCTCTTGCCCTGCGTTATTCTTTTGTTTTGGTACAAACTTTAGTCCCAGTATGAGGGCCTCTTGTATCGGAAACTTAGGATGATATATCACCTTATATCTCACTTATGATAACAATGTTTATGTTCAGATACTAGTTCATAATCTTAATGCAATTTAGTAATGCAATCAGGACAAGTTTATTTAAATCGAGTGGCCATAACATCAACCAACTTCCCTGTGAGATTGAGTATATATTTCAAGTCATTAAGTGATTTTCTTTTGTTTTAAATATTGGCCCCTTAGGCTTTTTTAGGAGGTTTTCTCGATAGTTACTAGACGTGCCTCAGTCACCAACTGTTCTTTTTTTTTCATGACGTTTTAGAGTTTTTAAGGTTGGCTGCCAAAATCTTTCATTAAGTTTATCCTACTTTTACAGATGTCTTATACTCCGTTCAATCTCTTCGTCCTCACATCTCTTCCCCCTTCCTCACCTCTCTTCCTTCTTCCTCTCGTGACTCCTCTTCCTACACCACACACTTTCTCTTTTCCTTCACACTCACCACACACTTCTTCCCTTCCTCCTGTCTCCTTCTCCACACTCTCCTTTACTCTCCCTTTTTCCACCTCCCTTATTCTTGTTGCGTTCTTTCACATTTAATTGCCGCTTCACCCATCTCTTCTTCTCGTTCTTCATTTGTCATGTCTGCTTTTCCTGTCTCTTATTCCTTTAACCTTCTCTTTATTTTTACTATATTCTTTACTAACTCACTGCTTCAACTTTCCATTTCGTCATTCATCAGAATCATTGTTTATTTGGTCTTTTCGCTTTTCTCTCCGTCTAGTTTTCTATTGTCTGTCGTCCCCTTACATCATCTTATCCATTCCCTTGCATCCTCTTTTAACTGTCTGGCTCTTCGTTACTTGATTATCTCTACTGCTACTTTTAAAACGTTCTCGTCTGATGCTTAATTCCTTCAACTATGGGGCGTCACCTTTTGATATTTTATTTAGTTAACTACAGATGATTTTATTCAGCTCAGAGGCGACCCCATGAACTAGTGGTTATAGTTTCAGGTCTCAATATTTCACGTTATTTACCACCCAGGCTAATACCTCCTCTTGTGCAGCCTGAGCTGAATAAAATGTTCCTTACTTCATATTTTTCAGCATTTGTTTCCAGGTTGTCTGTTTATTTATCTTCCTGGCTATTTTTTTTCATCTGTTTCGACTAATAATGCTGCGTTTGCCTTCTGTTGGCAGGTTATCAACACTACCAGCCTTCTCGTACACAGCTTCTACAGTCAGTATAACTTCAGCTCCTTCTCCTACATCATCACAACCACCTCCACGATGCTCACAACCCAACTCCTCGTCTTCCACAACACTTGAGAACCACTGATCCAACCCCCAGAACAACCCTCAGTCAACCTAAACCCGTAAAACCTTGAAATCCAAACTCTTACGTTCTTATCCTTCCACAACCAATACCAAGCCAGTCACAGAAGACCTCAATGAATCTTACAAAGAAAGCAAATGCCTTCCAGTTCCCCCCACCTAAGCCCTGACAGACCACAGCCAACCTCTAAGGACATCTTCCCGCTCTCTCAGTCACCGTCTGTCAACTCAGCAAGATTCTTATTTTCGCTGAGGCTTTCTTTCTTTTTTGTTCTGTTTATGTGTTATATACGTCATCATCATCATCTCCAGCATACTGCAACACTAACATTTCTTCTCTCCATCTTGCCTGTACTGTAGTATTTATGTTCTCTCTCCTGGACAGTCTTCCTTTAGAGAAATATTTGTGTCCGAGCCTTGGTGAGGTTTGTGTACTGTAGACCGCCATAGTTCCTCGCTGACTGCATGAGTACTTCTGTAGTGCTAATGTTTAGTTAGCTTTTTCGTTGCTTGATTTTTTATTTAAATTACCTATATATTGTGAGTTACCGTTTTATCTAATACCAAGAACTGACGGCTCATGTTTCTCTCATGCCAATGTAGGAAGATTTACACTGTGTCATAAGCAGACAGTTTCCTGGACTATGTTTATACATTTCTTGTGTCCCCAGAAGATGGCAGATGTTGCCAGATAACTTCACAGGATCTCCAGAAATTATTGTTTATTCAGAATCATTCCAGAGATGTAGATTGTTGTTTTGCTGGTGTTGTTTTAATGTGTTTAGGTACTTCAGCAGCCTGTGTCGCCACTAGGTCTTACTCTCTACACTAAACAACAACTTTCAGTGAGAGATGCTTTCTGTTTCGAAACGTAGGCGAGTGTCATGGTCTTCACACACACACACACAGCTGTCTGGGGTCTAACAGGTATAAGAAATATATCGTGTTGTCTACAGTGCTCTGGTTGTCAGCCATTATGAGTCCCTGGTGGCCCGGGTAGATGAGACTCCCTGATCTCATGACGTAGAAATAAACGCCGTCAGGGTGAACAAGGAGGCGCTGAGTAATAAACGAAACAGTAGATGTAACTGAGAGAGAGCAACGGCACCTTGGGATAGGGAGACATCTTAGCAAAACTATCGTCTTGGCAGTGAAGCAGTGAGTCATGTCGATGATGATGGGAAGGAACCTCAAGAGACACCCAGCTGATTCGGTTGCTATTTCTGAGAGGATTTATCACTTATTTAGATTATTAATTATTTGAAATCAGTGAGATGTTAACCGAATAAATTTTCGGCTATTTACTGCCAGCCCAAGAGACTAATTTACAGCATCAGGAATAATACTTCATCATTCGGTCTCAGTGTTGCGTTGATCGATCTCACGTAAGATTCTTGGTTCCAGAGACTTGATGGTTACTCATAACTGAAGATATAAGAGTAGATATAACTTGTTGATTTAAGATTGTAAGGTAAAACATGAGATAATGGATTTTTTTTAACGAATCTCTTAGTCGTAAACGTATCTTACAAACTTCTGTTAATCCAATACTTAAGCACGAGGAGTCAGTCTGAGTGTTGTTGTGGAAGAAGGCTTAATAGGCATAATATTGAAGTCAATACATACGTAATTTACTTCCTCATAGACATTCAAATTCGAAAGGGCATTACGCTAGTCAAGATAGCACACAAATGCCCAACATAATTTTCGTTTATTATTGCACCGAAATTCAATAAAGAGACACGATTGTTAATATAAAAGGACCCTGATACAAGCTTTAAATAATGTTGCCATCTATTTTTGTATCTAACTTATTTTGACCATTTAATAGAGGTAAAAAAAATTACACACATATTTTTTGATTGGTGTCCCATATTACCGTTTTCTCTAATTCTCCATTTTCTTATATTTCCATTTTTTTAGCATGGACTTAGTAAATTTGGCATTTTCCCATAACTAAAAACAAAAGCATACATCTTAACATCACTTATCCCTGAGCTTACAAATAATTAAGAAACTCATCATCAGAAACATAAATAAAAGGTTTAATACTATAAATCTGGGTTAAATTAATGCACTTGTACACTTTAGAGGTTCATTATGGTGACGTAAACACAAACCTCATTCAACTCCTCTCTCTACGGTATGGCGGACTTTCCTTCACTTTGTTGTCTGAGGAACGCGATATTGCTGTGGTTGGTACAACATAATAATAATGATGATAATAATAATAATGCTAATAATAATAATAATAATAATAATAATAATAATAATAATAATAATAATACAAAAATAATGGGAATAGTAGGAGTAATAATAATAATACTTTTTGTTTACATGTCTGTGTTTCAGTAAACCCTAACTGCTAATTTCTCAGGCAATCAAAATTATATCATTAATAGTCATTCCTTTGAATACTAATTTCTTATAACTTTTAACTTATGAAGGCGATGAGTTGTCCTCTATACCTTGACCTGGCGGCGGGGGGCGGCTTCTGCCTTCGTGTCCACGATGCTCAAAATACGCAACACTTCCGGACTTGTTTGAATTATTTACACATGTCGGGAGATCGTTTTTTTTTTAGTTTCTCGTGTTGATCATGTGGTGTTGGTCCCTCTCACTCGTGTAGGCGTTTCACGTCTTTTACTGGGTTGCAGAGGAGTGGAAATCTACCTTATTTTATTCGTTGAGGAGTTTGTATCTCAAATCATTTATCAGAGTTTGTCCCTACAAGGCTGGGGAGTCATAGTTGTTTATCGTACGTCTCTCATCCATGCAGTAGGTATCTCAGGTCCCGCGTGCAGGTAGAGAGGAGGAGATTATATCTTCCCTGTAGCAGAGTTTGGATCATTCATACCATTTAGCAAAGATTCCTGCCTTGTCCTTCACTGTTCCATCATCATGATGGTTGAAAACTGCATGTTTCTTGTTGCAGGCAGCAAGGACCTTCGGAGCCTGAGCGTACCTGATGACGGTCTGGCTCTAGTAGGCAGAAGTCCCTCCCCTCGAGGCAGTCGCAGGGAGTCCTCCAAGTCGGCCCCGCTCTCCAGGTCCTCCAGCAGAAGGATTGGCACTGCAGGTAGTAAGGGGTAAGAGATGGGGTCCTGCTACCCGAGATTGATGATAAGTAAACCATACAGAAACCAATGGTGATCCTCCCTGCCCTTACGTTTACTGTCATCTGAGGCAACAGTTAACTAGTGGTGTCCCTCATCCCACGGTGTCGTCTTGTTCACTTGACTTATCCTCTTGGTCACTCGTCGAGCAATGGTGCTGATTATCCCGTACAGTTAACGTTAACCAACGGTGTAATCCCTCACCAATACTCCGTTCTTCTGGCACTGGTCTACCATTGCAGTCATGGTTAACTGAACGTATCTGCGCTCATCCTACATTACTGCCTTCTGAAGCAATGACAATGACCTCCCATTGCAGTTTGGGCTAGCCAGTTATATTACTTTACACTGCTTCCCTGTAGAGACACGGTACCTTGTCTCACTATAATTGTGAGCATGTGGTCCCTTTCCTCAACCTGCACTAAACAAACGGGACTCCACCACTGTCGCGGTTAACCAATGGTATCCTCCAATACCCTGCACACCTGTCGCCTAAACCAATGGTACTAACCTTCCAATACAACAATGGTCAGCTACAGGAGAATAATTTTGTTCGGAGATTTTTGTTTCATGTAGCATAAAAAATGTCAGCATAAGGAGAGAGTTCAAGTTTGTGTCAGTGTGACAATTGCACGTTAATAACCTATTTTTAAAAATGCTACCAAAGGAGATAATATACATATAATTATAACGTTGTAATATATATACTGAATGTTGGTCAGTAATGAACTTCGCCCCCCTGTACTACTGACATATTCTGTGGCGACATGTGGCCAGCCTCATAACAAGGGTCAGCCTAGGCCCTAGGGATTAGACTTTTATTATGTTCTATTATAATTTAGAAGTCGAGTAAAATAATAAGATTATAATGATATAATGTAGTTATTGCACATTTTGTTTTCACTTGATTATTTTGATAAAGATTAGGATATGCAGAGTATTGATGATATTCTTGATTTCAGTCAGAAGGAATAATGAATGTGATATAAGAAGAACCTCTGGTGTATGAGGGAAGTAACCAGGTGTGTGCTCCTTGTTGCAGTATTGGGAGTGCTCTACTGGCTGTTGGGGCGCATCAAGGCTTTCTTGCCGCGGATCCGGAGAAGATAAGCCTGGCAAGCAGTGTGTCCCCCTCCACGCCCACCCTGGAGGGGGCGGCGAAGGAGAACGATGACATGGACTGCATCATCTTACCAATCTCTAACTGGAGTCACACCATCGAGGCCTCCGACTCCGTCACGCTAGACATGGGCAGCATCGGGGACGACGACGACGCCTGGCGGGACGACAAGGCCAAACAACAGAAGGGCAAGTCCCCTTTCCGTCTGCCAGCGTCGCTGAAGGCAAGGTTAGCTGTTAGGAAGAAGCCCGTGATCACCTGGAAGCCTTACCATCGCCAGATAAGCATGTCCGAGGAGCTTCCTGTAGACCTACCATACAGATTCCCCATTGAAATGGAGTCTGTGCTTCCTGACGAGATCAAGGCCGTGTTGCCCAAAGACCTGCCTCCTGGCCGCTTCGAGGACGAGTGCGCCTTCATGTGGCGAACGATTGAGGACGATTCGGACTCAATGAAGACGGCCAATTCCACAGTGAGTGATGACCACCAGTCAGACAGCTGGCTCCAGGACACAGCGGCGTTGTCACACTACATAGGCGTGAAACCTCAACCACCTGAAGTAAAGGTAGATGAATATGGCCTGCTGAAGGTGCCAAGACCTCAGCGACTAGTGCTCCGTAGGCCGCTGGGAATACGGAGGGCGAGATATAAAACAAGGGGCCGCATGCGGTGCCATGCTTGCTCCATGCCGCTGCTCACTTCCCCCCGGAGGAACGTCTTACCCAGCCTCGTCAGAAGTCTAAGTGAAAACTCTGTGTTCCTTGAAGCGGTCGTTCGTCGCGTCAGTGAGCATTACCGATCTCAGGAAAAACCTTCTCCCAGTAAGAACCCGTATATGTTCCTGTCCCTTCCCTCCCCTAAACTAGCGGTGAATGGCAGACAGACGCGTTCAGGTGACCCAGGGTCCCTCGACTCACAGTGACTGGATACATAAAGAGTCGAGGCTCAAGTGTATGGTTGTGAAGTTCGTGTTTAACAGTATGTTGAATTGCATATTCCATTTCATACTGATGTAATCATTAAGTGTGTGGTAATCTTCGGTATAGCTTGGGAGGAAAAATCTTCACATGATTTGCTTCCTGATGCGAATAAGATCTTCTTGTTGACTTAACTGTTAATTATTCCTCATTGTTATTTCAGTTATAATAATATATTTCATAAAAGAAAAAGATGACAGGCATCGGCCTCTAAATATTTATATATAATACAGTTTTTTACTCCTCTAATTGTTTTGTTATTTCGTAACTCTGGTCGTGTGCAGAAAACGAAATTCTCGACTATGTGGACCAATCCTGTCACAGGTCCCCGCTTATTGGCTGATTACCTCAGCCAATAAGCGGGACCCTGTGGCAGGATGAAGCCCTCCACGGGTGCGAGAATGGACATCCCAAACACAGCCATTACAAACATTCTGTGTGGCGTTGTTGATCATGTTTTGTGTTTGTTGTTGTTGACAATGTGTGTGACCTACGACCACCTCGCGGACGCCTTCACAAATCCGACGTAGAGAACAATGTCTTAAGCTCATGTGCTTCCTTTAATACTTATAAATTTTTTTTATAAGTCAAAGTAGAAAATGGCTTCTACTGTCCTCATACTGCAACTGAAAGGACTTCAGGTAAAATTTGTGATATAGCTTCGTTCATGTTTCTGTTTCTAAATGCTTTGTTAACTACGAAACCATTCTTGTTGACGCAGCTAAACAAATTACCAATTAAGCTAAATATCACTACGACACGAGTCTTGAGGCAAAGGATGACTCTCTGAAGGAGCGAGAAACGTAATGGATAGTGCGCTCCAGTAAATATAATTAACCCATTCAACAGGTAATAGCCTCATAGAACGCTCTTCTGTTCGAGAGTTTCATATATTAGAACAACGGGATAGACCCACTGTTGGGATAAACTGAGCGTTGGTATATGTGAGCACAGTACAGCACAGTACAGTACAGTACAGTACCAGTAAACAGTGATGAGAGGTGACGTATGCGAGGCTCTCCAGTAACACAGCTGCTTTTATGTCGTGCAAGTGATGAAGCCGCCGGAGTGTGCTAGTGTTCTTCGCTCATATCAATAGCTGTTCCAATGAAGATACCATGAAATTAGACACACGACGGTAGTACTTATGTAAAATTTGCAGTTAAATTACATGCATGATGAGGTACAAGAGGGCAGATCGTCCCTAAGATGTTCTTGAGCTCATTAGATGTAGTACGGATGGCAGAACGTATGTCTATCGTAATATCGCCATTTACTTGTCAATTAAACATGTTATAAAAACATTAATATCAAATCCAAACCTACTTAGATCAAAAATTTCTTCGGGATTGGAGAGAGTTCGGTTAGCTAAGGTATATATGTATAAAGCCTACTTATATTGTGTCAGTTAGGTAGGTGTATTTGTATGTATATCATATGTACACCTATCTAATACAATATACATAAGGTATATTACATACTCGTATATACCAAGCTAACTGAACTCCTTCCGGAGGTAACATGTTTAACGACAAGAATCCTAACTGATGTAATCCCCATCTTCTTTACCAAAACGTTGAGACTTGTGCTAGTGGTTCACAGTTACTGAGCAATAAGCGTACATTAACGGGCCAGAGCGAGGAGGACGGGTAGGGAACCTGGCGACAGCTCGAGAGACCCAGGTCAGACTGTAAAGACTCCCAATTTAAGAGACTTTCAAATGCACTTTCCGTATTTTTCATTCGTCTGTTGTATGGTGCGTCACTTAATTATGACTTTTGTTCACACACACACACACATACACACACACACATACACACACACACACACACACACACACACACAATAAACATAGAGCATAAAAACAAAGTTAAAGAACATTATCAATGTATATTGATTTTTAGTAAAGTGTACCATAAAACGTATTCTAAGACCATTTTCTTTTTTATACTAGCTCTTACCATAATGTTTAGCAGAGACTGAACTATTTACACCACTTTACGTGCTTTTTACTGAATTTCTGTAAGTTTTGTTTATAAACATACAAGATGAGGAAGACATAGTCGTGGGTCTTCCCATCTTTACATACAAATGTTATGACGAAGGAAAGAGTACTATACAATCTGTAAACAAAGTGTAAAATGAGAAGCGAGTGAATCCTGTTATCAGATCAGTGACAATAATATATCGGGAGTGAATGAGGAAGCTTTGGTGGGTCTCTTGAGTGCTCGGAGGTGAAGATCCCAACAAATGGTAGACGCGATAAGTAGACGCGCTAGTGAGTTCACCACCAGTATAGACAATGTGGGTCTCCTGGGCGGCCTCTACCTCTTCTACTGTTAAAAAAAAAAAATAAAAACATTCCAGCATTTGCTCTCTAGGGCTGTTGATACTCTCAAAATAAATCTTTCTGGAGGAATTATATCTGTGTGGTTTTATTAGCCTCATTGTTATTATATGTAGACCACCTAAATCATTCAACCATCAGTGTGCCAAGGCTTTCGACAGTGTACCCCACGAAAGGCTGAAAATCAAACTGGAAGGGTACGGAATTCGGGGAAATGTCCGCGTGGATAGAAGACAATCTACATGACCACAAGCAGTGTGTGATGATAATGGCACGAAATCCTCATCTGTACCTGTCACAGGGTAGTGTATTGGGCCTGCTGTTGTTTGTTTGTTTCATGAATGACATGCCTGCCGTTGTACACTCCCCCATACAAATGATTGCCTATGACGCCAAGTTATTTCAGGAAAGCAAGAACCAAGCGGACTGTGAAGAGCTACAGAAGGACCTCTGTGGGCTCCAAGAATGGTCTAAGAAATGGCTGCTGAGATTCAAGGTCACGAAGTGTAAGAGGATGCACCTTGGGCGTACCAACGGTAAGGAGGCGAATATAATTTTACTTTTACTTTTATCCTCTTCGCCACTGATCGGCTTGTTAGCCGCTTGGGCGATCGGTCACGACTCTTTTCCTTTATATTCTTCACCAAAAGGTCGGCTCGCTAGCCGCCCGGGCGATCGGTCACGTCTCTGTCACGCACTGTTGGCAAATACTGGGCATGCACCGGCTCCTGAATGTACCTGAACCCGCTCCAGTGTTGGTCAAGTCTTCTCTTGAAAGAGCTCACACTCGGTGCCGTCACAACACTCTCTGGTAGATTGTTCCAAGAGTTTACAACCCTCACTCCGAAAAAGTTTGCCCTCACGGTTTTCCGGACTTGCGGCTTCTTCAATCTTGAGCTGTGACCCCTTGTGGGGCGAGCGTCCGCCAGCTCCAAGTAAGGACACTCAACTGAGTAGTGCCCCCTGAGATGCTTATAAACCTCAACTAGGTCCCCCCTTGCCCGTCTGTAGTATAAGCTAGGCAAGTTCAGGCGCTCCAATCTCGCAGGGTAGCTGAGATGCCGAAGTGCAGGCACCAGCTTGGTGGCCCTCCTTTGAACATTTTCAACCAACTGACAGTCCCTAGCATATCTCGGGGACCAGATGGGGTGACAGTACTCCAGATGGGGAAGCACTTCACTCCTGAAGATCGTCACGAGGGACGGACCGTCTAGATATCTGAACGACCTTCTTATAAGACCCAATAATTTATTTGCCTGATTTACCTTCTTCTCACAATGGCCCGAGAACTTCAGCTCATTGTCAACATACACACCTAGGTCCTTCTCACACACAGTCTCAACTAGTACATTTTCTTCATCCCGTTGGGACATATGGTACGCCTCCTTACCGTTGGTACGCCCCAGGTGCATCCTCTTACACTTCGTGACATTGAATCTCAGCAGCCATTCCTTCGACCATTCCTGGAGCCCACAGAGGTCCTTCTGCAGCTCTTCACAGTCCGCTTGGTTCTTAATTTCCCGAAATAACTTGGCGTCATCGGCAAACATTTGTATGGAGGAGTGTACAACGTCAGGCATATCATTTATGAAACAAACAAACAACAGCGGGCCCAATACACTACCCTGCGGTACCCCACTTGTTACAGGTACAGATGACGATTTCGTGCCATTAATCACCACACATTGCTTGCGGTCATGTAGAAAGTCTTCTATCCACGCTAGGACATTTCCCCGAATTCCGTACCCTTCCAGTTTGATTTTCAGCCTTTCGTGGGGTACACTGTCGAAAGCCTTGGCAAAATCTAGGTAAATATTGTCGATATTACCACCCCGTTCTAGAATATGGGTCCAAATATCCAATACCTTGAGCAATTGTGTCAAGCAAGAGCGCCCCGGCATAAAACCGTGTTGGCAATCTTTTACAAGGTTGTTTCGTAGTAGATGTTCCATCGCTGCATCTCTGATAATACTCTCAAGTACTTTACATATTATGCTGGTCAGGCTCACCGGTCTATAGTTGTTCGTGGAGTGACTATCGCCCTTCTTGAAGATAGGACTCACATAAGCCACTTTCCATTCACTGGGGACCATTTGTTCATCCAGGCATTTACAAAACAGAATCTTCAGGGGCTCTGCAAGCTCGTTGCACAGCTCCCTTAGCACTCTAGGATGCACCATGTCCAACGGTAAGGAGGCGAATCATATGTCCCAACGGGATGAAGAAACTGCACTATTTGAGACTAAATGTGAAAAGGACCTAGGTGTGTATGTTGACAATGAGCTGAAGTTCTCGAGCCATTGCGAGAAGAAGGTAAATCAGGCAAATAAATCATTGGGTCTTATAAGAAGGTCGTTCAGATATCTAGACGGCCCGTCCCTCGAAACGATCTTCAAGAGTGAAGTGCTTCCCCATCTGGAGTACTGTCACCCCGCCTGGTCCCGAGATATGCTAGGGACTGTCAGTTGGCTGAAAGTGTTCAAAGGAGGGCCACCAGACTGGTGCCTGCACTTTGGCACCTCAACTACCCTGAGAGATTGGAGCGCCTGAACTTGCCTAGCTTATACTACAGACGGGCAAGGGGTGACCAAATTGAGGTGTATAAGCATCTCAAGGGGCACCACTCAGTCGAGTGTCCTTACTTGGAGCTGGCGGACGCTCGCCCCACAAGGGGTCACAGCTCAAGATTGAAGAAGCTGCAGGTCCAGAAAACTGTGAGGGCAAACTTTTTCGGAGTGAGAGTTGTGAGCTCTTGGAACAATCTACCAGAAAGTGCCACTTGCCAACAGTGCGTAACAGAGACGTGACCGATCTCCCAAGCAGCTAACGAGCTGATCAGTGGTGAAGAAGATATAAGAAAAAACCAAAACAGAAGAAGAGCCACCCCAGATATAGAAGCAGTAAACCAAGTGCTCCAATTAAGTTAATAAAGTAATTAATAATAGATTACTGATTATGAACTCTTGCTCAATAGGCACTTCCAACTTAATCCTCTTCGCCCCAAATACTGAAGACCGACCGTCCAAGGGCGAAGGGGATATAAAAGTAAAGAAATAGGGAGTTTTATCTCATAATTTCTTAATTATTTATGTAATAATGTAATTCTTAACCTTGATACGCGCTTAAAGACCTTCATTGTTGAGGAGCAGTAATAACAGTAAAAAGTCATCATAAACAACAGTATAAAGTCATCTGTTTACAGTAGAAGACATTTAAACCTGACGTCATGATGTGTACCTCCCGCCATTGAACGGGAACAGTGATGTAGTCCTACCCAAGGCTACTGTAGTCAAGTCTAGTAAGAGAATGTACGTATATTAAGCCAAAGAAGCGTGGTGGTGGGTGAAGTGTAGCTATAATGTCTTACCCACCTAGAAGAGGAAGAATTAACAAACGATGTGAGTTGAGTTTTGGTTTTTTAATCGAGTGGTGAATTTTGTTCTACGAGTTGTAACATACAGTGTAGTATTTATTGTGTTTGATAGGTGAGTTAGTAGAAATAGCCATGATTAATTATTTATTACTATGTATACAGCACAAAGCCCAATACATTAGGCAAAGGCTGCCCAACATTACCTCTACACAATCTTGGAATCTTTACTAAAACAACAACACGATATAACCAATACAAGTGGAAATAAACTAATATTAGATTATTTATCTTGGAAATGTTTTGTTTTCTGTATTTTTACTGAAATGCTTGTTACAAGGGGCAGGGTATAGGTACAGCAGTCGTGTATGAAACGTCCATGAATATTATTGGTACCTCAGTTTAATAGGGTCCCACTAATTACCCAAATGTAGCCAAATATAGCCGGAATGAAGTCAAATAATGGTCCTAGATGAATAAATCGGACTGCTAATCACTTCTCGACTAGTATTTGGTGTCATAAAGTCACAAAAAATTGGTAAACTTAATTTAATCTGAGTTGTGTTAGGTTAGGTTACGTTAGATTAGGTTAGGTTAGGTACATGCACTTGATCTATTAACTCAAATTAAATTAAGTTTACATGCAATCTATTAACTCAGATTAAAGTAAGTTTTCCAATTTTTTGTGACTTTCTGACACCAAATACTAGTCGAGAAGTGATTGGCAGTCCGATTTATTCATCTAGGACCATTATTTGACTTCATTCCGGCTATATTTGGCTACATTTGGGTAATTAGTCGGACCCCATATGTGTGGTGAGCACACTATAATGAATGGTATTAAGATGGCCTTCTTTCTCATTAACTTAACCTAACTTAAACCTAACCTAACCTAGCATAACTTAACATAATATAAGGTAACCTATAAATTAACCTAACCTAACCATTAACAAAACTGTCCATCAATACGGCTGCTGTACCTGTATCCACTATGTCTCTCTTTTGCTTAAATCAATAAGAAGTTCTGATTGTTTTTTTGTTTTTTTAATTTGCTAAAGATATGGAACTCACGGCTTAGTGTTTATCGAGTTAATTCGGGTAGTGTCTGTTATACAATTGATACATGTAAATAGTCCAATGTTAACAGAGGTCATTACACATTTGCACTTCTTATAGGTAATGCTTCATATGGTACACTCTATCTGTACTTACGATGTGTTTATTTTAAATTTCAGAATGTAAATATGATGTTGAAGAAGACATAAAAAGGTACCACTTCCCGGCAGTGGTCCAGGTTACAGCTACCTAATAAAATATTTATCTAAAAGACAACTTATCTTTTACTTGAAGAATAAATCAAATTGGGTGAAGGAATAACACTTTCAATTTTATTTGATTTCCTCCTTTTTTCCCCCATGTTCTTCCTCCACTTGTTGTTAACAAAACTTCCCAGCGACTGACCTGTCTCTAAGCTACTGAACACTTCCTAGTGACCTCTTCATATGAGCTGAAATATTAGCACCCTAACCTACCAAATTTAATCTAAATTTAACCAAACCTAACCTACCTAACATAGCCTAATCTACTTAACTTCGCCTAATCTACCCAAATTAATCTAATCTACCCATATTAACCTAATCTTCCCAAACTAACCTAACGTACTTAACCAAGTCTAACTAATCTAATCTAACCTGCTTAACCAAATCTAACTTAACTTAGAAGTGTTCACATCTATGAAAAGGACAATTCTGGAAAGCATTCGTTTGTATCGGTAAATTGGTCGAGTACTGTATATTAATATGCCCATAAGCGGAACAATTGGTGCAGAACATTTCCAAGGATCAAAGATTCTGGCTAACGGGGTTATTACTTGTACACTGTATGTGGTACAGTACAGTACTAGAATTCAAGAAAGGGGAATTGCATATGCCTCATAAGCTTTGATGAATGGGAAAAAGCTGTGTATGGTTCAGAACTTGCATTTGATATTAGGAAATTATAGAAATTTCAATGAAAAAAATGCAGAATACTTTGTAATTAACTTTATACTGTATTGACAGATTTGGACAACAAGCATAGTTTGTCAAGGCAGGAGCACAGACGCCATGTGGGGTCCAGGGAGGACCTCGACACACAGCCACCGCCCAGGAGAATTCCACACTATGAAGAGGATCCATTTTGGTAAGATTATAAATATAAAGGCTAAGATTTCACTTTGTATATTTCATTTATGCATGTTGAAGATACAAGCAAATATGTGTGAGTATTTCTGGATGTACTCTTAACCCTATCATGTTGCTCTCTGTACCTGCCATGCACCTCTTTTCTATGTTACTCCCCTCATCTACTTTGAGGTTTCTATACACCTTGAATTGCTTGATACAGAAAAGGGGGAGATGATCAAAAATAATAGATAGATATTGGTAGATAATCCATCTTTAGATTATTTTAAAGTTTCATTTTTATACGTTTATACTGTAATGACTGTTGCAGCTTGTGTGTTGAGAAGTTATTCTTCATTTTAATTTCCTTAACCTATGGACTTTCTATTACTCATTTAGTATACTGTACATCCATACATTAAGAAATAGGCTCATTCCTCTGATCACATTTCTACTTACACAAAGGATTTTATTACCTAAGAATATTCGTAACATGATCTTGGTCTGAAGCCTTTTATCTTTCTTCAGGGAGAACAGACAAGATGATTCAAGTTACAGCAGAGACCCTCACACAAACACCAGATTCCGGGACTATGGGAGCAGTCATCACGAACAAGAGCGAGGACAGCCATCCAACCCCCGTGGGAATTGGGGTCATGGGAGGAAAGCCAAACAAGTGGGGAGAGGAGGACGGGGAAGACCAGTGGCAAAGGCTGAACCTCCACTGGTGATGAGTGGCATACCTCACTTAGAACATTCTTTTGTTATGAATAAAAAAACTGGTAATGCTGCTGTCATTGGGGAGGAAGAAGCTACAGGTGAAAGAGAAACTGAAAGTGTTTGTAATGCTGGTGCAGATACCCCAAGAATGGCAGATGAAAACAAAGGGGACTTAAGTTCTAGAGATTCAGAGAGATTTTCAGGTGAAAGAAATGAAAACGTATGTAATACCACTGTAAGTGAAGCTCTGACTAAATGTTCCAACCCTGCTGATTATACCCGAACATCAAATTTTGGACAAGATATTCAGAGTAGACATAATCTTGTTGACAATGAAGCTACTGATACCTGTGGCTTCTCAGGTAATAATAGCCAGGTTCCTGAACAAATGAGAGTTAAAGAAGATGTGGCCTGTGAATCTCTAGAAGTTACTACCTATAACAGTGAAAAGCAGCAGAATGTTGATAGGTTGCTTGAGGAGGAGAGTGGTGGTAGTGAACCATCCCTGGCACCACCTCACACTCACAAGTTGGCTGATCCAGCAAAACTAGAACTAGAGACTGAACGTTACTATGATGAGCTCTTAGGAAAAGAAGAATCTGAAAAGAAAATAGCTGAAAAGCTGTCAGCATCCCAGGTGGCAAAAATAACCGTCAGTTATAAAACTGATGAAGAACAAAAACAAGCGGAGGAAGATAGAATACAAGAGGAGAAGCAGAGAGAACAAGAAAGGAAGGTCCAGGTTGAAACAGCTTGGTCTATTCTGCATCAGTACTGGCAGTTTGTGAGAGAGAATCCATATGACTTCAATGGATGGACATATCTTATGAATCATGTTGAGAACATGGTAAGGGGTGATGAAATTTTTAAGTTTAATTAATTTTTTCTCAGTGCAGAACAACCCTCTTACCCTTCCAGTTTTATTTTAGGTCTTTCCCTCCTGTTCTCAAATTCATTCATCTCTAATAATTTGTCTGCCAAAGTACTGTACTGTACTGATGGTGCTTTATACAGTACATGATTTGGATGTCAAATTGTACATGTGACAATATGGTTACAGTACAGTACATATATCTTGACATAATATTACCCTTGGTTGTGGTTTTTGGAGTTGGCTAAATTTTGTATCTTACAGGATAACTTGGAGGCTGTACGCTCTGCTTTTGATGGGTTCTTGCCACTGTATCCATACTGCTTTGCATACTGGAAGAAGTTAAGCGACATGGAGTTAAAACACAATGAAATGAAGAGGTATGTCTGTAGTACAGTAATATATTGTTAGGGACATTATAAAAAAGATGCATAAATAAAGAAGTGTTTGGAAGTTAAATGATGAAAGTGGCGTGGGTATTAGGAAAGAATAATAAGTGTTAATTTGAAAAATTTTGTCTTCATTACTGTACAACTAAAATTTAAAAAAAGCAAATGAAGATACTGTATTATTTTAATTGTAACTTTTTTCTAATTGTAGAATGTTTATGTTCCAGATTCTCAAGATATTGAAAATTTGTAGATTAGTCCCTGATGTAAAGCTTAATGCATTTACTCTACTATATTTCTTTTAAGTATACATGTATTGTAGAATTGGTGTCTTGCTGCTTACCTAAATATACACGTGAATGGTCTCCTCCTTTATGTTCATGTTGGTCTCTGTGATTACAAACATTAGTAACTCAAATAGATAATAAAGATCCTGAAGTTACAGTTTGGTAAAGAATTTTCTCAACAGTTTTTGTAGTATATTTCCTTAGATTTTTTCTCAGGTGTTTGTCCATCCTATTATTCTGATATAATTTATGATGTGAAGCAGTACAGGTGTTCATCAGTTATCACACATGTTCCACTTGTACTTGCCAGCAGTAGAGGGAATTTTGGGGAGGAAAATATGTAATAGATTGAAAGATAATGAGAAAATTATTTTTTTTTTTTCTAGGTCCTTGGGTATCCTTCTGACTGGTACTGAATGTGTGCCATTTTGTACGGACTTATGGCTGTCACTGCTGAATAATATGATCACATACGTCAAGCAGAGAGATCTACCACCTCATTTGGTAAAAGAGTACGTAGCAGCACTGGACACACTCGTTTATTGTTTCACTTTTCACAATGAGAAAATAAAACTGATAAAAATAATAGCATCATTAATTGAACACCAAGCTTATCATCAACATATAGAAAATATTTAATAGCTCGTACTTCAACAATACCTTGGTGTGTTTCGTTTAAACTTTTTTGTTACTGCCATTCATTTATTGAGGACTAAGATAATCATTTGCTTGGCAGGTTGTATCAGAGTGGCCTGGACAGTATGGGAGGATCTTGGCACAGTTCAAGTCTGTGGGATGCTTGTATAAGTTATGAGCAGAATAATGGAGACCTCATAACTGTGATGGCTCTCTACAGGAGACTGATAAAGACACCAACGAGACTATATAATAAACATTGGGATCAGTAAGTTCCTAAAACAGAATGCTGGGTCAAACCTCTGCCCTTTGTTCTTCACTTAAGATAACTTTTATTGCCTCTACTGCTTCCTCCCCACCCTAACCTCCCCCCCCCTCCCCCCTGGAAAAAGAGTTATTCGTCATAAGTGATAATTGTAGGTAAAATTGAATTCTTGCCTAAGTAGGTAGTTAGATTATTGTAAGTATTTGATTTCAGCATTATAAGTGTGCTTGGTGAAAACTTGGGTAATTTTGTACACCATCTTCATGTGAAAGTTATATTGTATACTGAGGTAATTTTGAAACCAGCTTGAGAGTGCTGAATCTCACAGTGCAAGTGAATCATGGTATTGTATTGACCTTTTCATTTTTAAGTTCCCAGTAACTTAGGTGTCATCTATTTTTCAAGTTGAGCAAAATATGTTGTTGGTGTTGTTATTTTAAACTTATTACTGTAGATTTTATTGTGCATACTTCTAACACTGACCTTTATACATACTGTTAAGATCCATATATTAATAGTTTGAAAGTTTCCCAATTTTGTGGTACAGTACAGCACCTTGAATTATTACTGTATTAACCCCAGTTGGGAAGGACCCATAGACCCTCTTGCCTTCTGATATTTCTCTCTAGCTCCTTCATTAAAACTGAATTAGAAGGCTGGGTGCTTACTTTAGTTTCATTAAACAAGTACGTGCTGTACATATAGCTCCGGGTGTACCAGTTTAAGTCTTTAGATTGTAAGAGGGAGTTTTGATTCATTTTTTCCGGATTTTGTCTTTGTGTCTGTATATAAATAATTGGTTTCATGAGTGGAAGACATTGTATATTTATTTGGTTCATAATATATTTGTTTACCTTAAAGTGATAGATTTCTTCGTGCTGTCTGAGCGGGAGTTATGTAATTTATGATTATTAAAAGAGGAGCAAATAATGTCTAGGGACATTAGTTTTTATCAAGTATTTCATCTTCATTAATAAAATAATTGTAGGCATTTGTAGTAATGATTAATTACTTCATATTGCTTGTAGTTTTCTGGCTCTAGTTCGAGATCATCATCCACGTAATCTGTTGCCCGCTGAGGAGTATCAAGCACTACGCAAGCAGGCGTGTGAGGAGCTCAAGATTAAGTACACCTCAACAAGTCTTATGCCACCAAAAACAATTCAGAAGGTACCTTGAGGAAATATTCCGGTGCAGTTTGTACTTTATATATTAACCCCATCCTCTCTCTCACTATTTCCCTCTTTTCTTGATGATTCTGTACCCCATTGATCTACCCAACACAAGTATTGAGAGAGGTAAAGATGATACATACATAGATAAAAATTTCTCCAAGAATGTAAGGAAGAATTTTGTTGAAATTTTGCTCGCTCTTGTCTTAATAACCTAGGATGGATTGCTTCACTTTTGGTTACAATTATTCAAGATGGTAGTTACACTTGACAGTCAGATTGTCACTATAAAAGAGACTTATGAACACAGTTCTAGTGTCACTTCTGGGTGAGTGTAAACATTGTGCTGACACATAATTGTATACGGATATTCTTGTATGACTTTATCAGTTTGCTGTCAGAGAACTTTAATTTTACCTCAACATAACCTACTTCTCCCCCACCCCAGGTAGCATTAGAGTGTTTAATTGTCAGTTGGAGTAAGCTTAGGTGCCTAATCTTCTCATATCCAGTTTAGTACATGGAATGAAGAAACTATATCATCTTGTGTACTGTAAATATCAACAAGTACCATATATCTGTTTTTGCTTCACAGACTCCACAGCCAGAGGATAAACTGACTTCCCATCTTAAGGAGAAGGTTGTGGCACTTTACATCAAAACTCATGAGTGCAATGAAATGCAAGTGGACAAGAGGTGGAAGTTTGAAGAAAGAGTGAGTTCTTTTTACTTTTGTTTCGAGTGTTTGATAATATGTATATGGTGTGCCCCTCGAAAATGAGAACCTGCACAGAACCATAACTTCATTTGATAAGAATACTCAGGTTTTACTGTACTCTCCTGTTCTTAGTTAAGAGTGATGGCTTAACAGATGATGCCACTAATTGGTTTACTTGGCATTGAGTGTAATTTTTTATCTTAATGGCAGTGATTACATAATTACATTGATTACTTTTTTACAATATGTGTAGTGTGAATGTACAGTTGCAATGTCGGAATCATAGTGGAACCTTCTTTATAGATATTACATCTATCGCATTGCTTAGCACAAATTTTGAGTACAAATAGTACTGAAAAAATATATTGTTAACCAGATGCTCGGAAAGGCTATTGAGGGGTGGAACACTAACTATGAGAGTTACACAGAGAAGCCTTTTGATAGACTTGCAAGGAAGTCACTCTGAGTTTTTTTAGAATTAGCTGTCAGCCATATTCAACAGATATTTACAGCTTAGGGTTTCGTCCATAATCTTGAAATTATGTATTTTGTTCAAATTCATAGTGTAGTCATTCCTGGACATGCTGATTAAGGATTTTTTGTAAAAAATTAGATATTTGGATTATTACTTGAGTAAATGACTCCTGGATATTTTTAATTACTTTCGCAATGCTAATTATTCGCCATCTATGATTTTTCAAGGTCACTTGTTTGTGTTTATGTGTTATTCTGGATGTACTGTACTTAAATAGTTAGATACATTAAATTTCAATTCTGAGAGAAAACGTTTGTTCAGTCTAAAATTCTATAAATTTTTCTTTTATTGCAGATAAAGCGACCCTATTTCCATGTAAAACCTTTGGATAAGAAACAAATCAAGAACTGGAATGATTTCTTAGACTTTGAGATAAGTGAAGGAGATCCTGTGCGAATCATACCTCTGTTTGAGCGCTGTTTGGTCGCATGTGCTCTCTACGAAGACTTTTGGTGCCGTTATGCTACCTATATGGAAAAGCATGTACAGAATGTGATGGATGGAAAGTTTATAGAGGTAGCAAATGATGAAGACAAAGTTAATAATGAAAATGGAAAAGAATGTAAAGAAGATGGGGAGAGTACAGAAAAGTCCGTGTCAGATAGTGTAGAAATTATAAAAGAAATTAGCAGTTCGGGAAAAGTTTCTGAGGTTAACAAAATGGAAGAGAGTTTAGATGCTGTAAATACTGATGAAAAGGTAAATGGTAAAAGTGTTGATGTTGAAAGTGTCGAAAATAGTGATGATTCAGTAGTGCGGGGCTGTAGGTTGAGTGTTGAAAGTGATTTTGTGAGAGATTCTGGTGTTGAAAGCATAGAAAAGAATGACACTGCTACTGCAAATGATTCAGTGAAAGCAGACATGAAAGAACAAAAACAAACTGGTGAAAAAACTGATGAAAAAGATAATGAAGTACCAGCAATAGAGGAAGATAAGAATGAAGGGCACGTTACAGATATATCAAAGCCCCTTACCTTAGAGCAACTGAAGAGTGAACTGTGTTGTGACTTGAGCATTACAGGACGTGTGTTAAAGTGCCCCCCGCTCACCCCTCAGTGGATTAAGAGTGGGGTGAGCTGGGAGGACGTAAGACATATTTACCGTCGTGGTGCGTGGATTCATTGCCCCAGTAAACCCTGCCTCCTCATGCAATGGGCAGAGTTCGAGGAGACACAAGGTAAACAAAGCGACCCGGGGTTCAGTGGCCAGTCGGGGTCATCTGCTGCAGTAAGCTCTCTTTGTTTAGTGTGTGTCAGTCTGTTAAAAGGTTTAGCTAAGTGGCAGCTTACACTTGATCATTCAATTGGTTAATATATACAGTACAGTACATTAGCTTGTTTGTTTGAATGATATAATCTCATTCCCCCCCCTTCAGTAAAGTAATCATAGCTTATTTTAGGAGTTATTATCTTTTTAATTATAAGATTATGAAATTAGTGATAAGTTCTATGTAAGTCATTTCTAAGCATCGCTGTCAAGATGTGTTCTGAGAGCTCATTTATATTTAGATCCTAAGACCTTTTGCATGATAATAGTAACCCCTCACCAGAGAATAACATAGATCCCCTCACACCAACAATGCAATTTGTTTTAACTGTGTCTTTGCCAGGTTACGCCATACGCCCACACACAATTAGAATTACATCACATTCACATACGTTTGTGGTTGGATACAGTGTTTAGAAAATAAGGTTGGCCATGAAATTTTACAGATACACCACCTAGGTTTTAGTTGTTTATAAGTACCCAGGAAATATGGTGAAGCTTCATATATTTCCTGCCTTTGTAAGTGCTGGAAAAGGTTCGTATGTTACATGTGCTAAGGAATTATGTTATAGTACTGTATTGGTCCCTTACCATAAGTATAGGGTGAGTCCTCAGGGATTATTTTTATGTTAGGAGAGTGTGAATGTACCAGTTCTATAACATTTTCAGGGGATATGATATGAAAAGACATTATCTGCACATTGACCAAATTGTGTTCCTTTGTTGCCCGAGTTAAAATTTTAAGAGTTTGAAAGGACAGTAAACCCTCGATAACTTGGCACATATGGGGCTTTTGCCTTGCCGGGTTATCCCAAATTCCAACTTATCGAGGCACTTACCCCTTCCTACAAAAATACAATAAAAAATAATCGACCCATATATGTGTACATGTAATTACTAAATTAAAGAAACTAACACTTATCAGCACTGCTGGTGAAGAATAAAGCATCATAGTAGGTGACATAGAGGCATGGTAGGTGACAGAGGTATGGTAGGTGACACAGAGGCATGGTAGGCGACACAGAGGTATGGTAGGTGACACAGAGGTGTGGTAGGTGACACAGAGATATGGTCGGTGACACAGAGGTGTGGTAGGTGACACAGAGATATGGTAGGTAACACAGAGGCATGGTAAGTGATGCAGGTGGCCAGATATGCAGAGATTTTCCAAGATAATTTTACATATCTTGACATTTTTCGAGTTAAACTAATACATTCTGAGACCACATCCATGCCGAGTTATATGAAATTCAGAGTTATCAAATGCCGAGTTATCGAGGGTTTACTGTATTGTACACAGTTTATTTAATATTGACTTGAGGGTTTTCTTGATATAATAATGAATAAAAACCTAGAGAACTAATACCCAACAGGTGTCTTGTCATTTAGATGACACAAAGTAAAACTGAAAGAAAAAATTCCACCTAGCAACCAACTGGGCAGTGGGGTGTACCATGCAGAGTAGCTTTCATAACTCATCCAGTACCATAAATGTATTATTTATGTATCTTCACTAAAGAATATTGTTTTGTTCCTTTTGAAAAGCAAAGAGGTGAATATTGTGATTGAATTCTTTGATGAATGTGCATAAATTGTATCCAATTATGATTGAATAACAAATTATCTACTAAGATTTATTTACGGATTCTTCAAGACTAAGGTCTGGGGCGACTATTTGGTCACCATGATCTTTGCACAAAATTTTCATCAGCTATGGTTCATAGGGTCTTCTTCAAGGTCAAGGAAATAGTGCCATTGTCTACTGTGCCTCAGAACTCAGAAATTTCTACAGTATTTGGGTTTCTTTAGGTAAAGACATTTCCTGTGATATAAACTTTTGTGGACTTTGGGAAATGGGTGGTAATATATGTTGCATGAAAGGTCAGGTAGTCAGCTCAAGGCACCAATTGACCTTGACCTCATATCTATAGAACTTGTAACCCTATCATGCTCAAATTTGGTACGTACAGTTTTATATAATGCTAAAGAAAGGCCCTTTGCTAAGTTTTATCCAAATATACAAATAAAAAAGTAGGGCATTTTAGTTCATTCGTTTGTTAGGAAATGTCCCATTTTTGAAATATGGACAATTGATTGCAGGTAAGCATGTTAAGGTAGGTAACACTGACTTTTATTATTTCCGAAGTTTGATTGTAAGCTAACAGAATGGTAAGATTATTTCTTGTTATTCCTTAAGGACTACTGTACATAAATTGGAGTGTAATGCATGAAGTCCTGTGCTTTATGACTGTATGGGAATTTCTTTGAATTTCATGACAAATTAATCTTGAGAAATAAATAAAAACAAGGTGCAGCATTTAGGAGGATAAGTTGACACGGGAATAGGTTACCTACTTGGAGCTTGAAGAAAAAGGGGGAAAGAACCTGGATGTCCTTATTTAATATGAAACAAAACTGAAGGGTAAACGAGATATGAGTTGGGGACAAATGAAAGGAGTAACATTTTAGAATAGATGTGTAGTCTTGTTGTGTGTTAGATTATAAGAGCAGTGAGAGAGGTGAAAGCAAGAGTAATGGAGAGAAATGGACGCAAGAGGAAGAAGCAAATTAAACGTGAGAGGAGTGACATGGCATAAGTGGTTGGGGCATAATGGAAGTCTGGGAAGTGAGAGATTGTTAATTAGAGGGAGAAGGGGAATGAGGAAGGAAGGATGGGGTGAAGCGAAGACTTAAAGAAGGAAAGATGGTAGTGAAGGATGCACTAAAGATGAGGGGGGTTGGTCATATAGGATACAGCAGTGTGCACGAAGGAGTGACAAGTACGGCACTGAGTGAATTTTTTTGGGGGTGGGCGGAAGTAGGCTATCAGTACATGCTGCTGGAGGGTGATACTGGCTTGTGTGAGGTGACGTGGGTAAATCAGATTTAGTGTCTTGTGGAAGGGAAGAGCACCATAGAACACAATGTTTCCAGTAGTGAGAATGTGTTTGCTTGCTTGTGTTTCTGGTCACCATACATTAATTAGGAAAAGGATAGAAAGAGAAAGGAAATTTAGGGTGTTGTTTTTACACTTATTTAAAAATTGTCTTCCCTTTAAATGTGTCTATTCACTTCTTGCTAGGACATACCACTCACACCTCCCCCCTGTTGACATTCATCCCCAGGTGTTGCATTGTTGACTCAACCATTCCTAACATACAGATAAATTATTTTTGTTCATGTTTTATGTTACCTTTACAGTATCTCATTGTGAATATATTTTATATTTCCATCTTTATAAAGTTTCTAAAGGAGTCCAATTTTCAGGTAACTTGGATACATCAAGAGAGCTGCTCAATACTGTCATTGCCAAGTACCCGAAGTTGCTGAAGGCTAGGTAAGGATATACTCTACTGTACTGTATCTGTAGGGCAAACCGAGTTACATTAAAACATTTTGTTGCTGGTTATTGTACGGAAGAGTTCATCACTCATATATATTATTATTGATGAACATAGAATAAAGTTTATCATGTGCACAAGATCATTTTCTAAAGGTAACATATCCTGATATACCTTAACCTAATCCATCCAACCTAATTTATCTAATCCAACTTACCTCTATTAACTTTTCTAAATAATCGAACCTAAACTCACCTATTTAACATAAACTAAGCCCACCTACCTAACCTAGTACTGTATAACCTAACCTAACCTAACCTTTTTATCATGAATCAGGATGCAGCTGATAGAGCTTGAGCGGAGAACCGGAAGTTACCAGCGAGTTGAGGAACTGTATGTGGAGGCATCTCGTGCACTGACCCAACCATCCCAGCGTTCATGGCTGGCTATCAGATATGCTCGATATCTCTTTAAGGTGCGGTGTAACCATTTTTATTTATTTTTTTAATTAGTCTTGTTTCTTCCTATGCTTGAAGGTTACAGGTGCACTAAGACTATAACGGATTTAATTTTTCCCGCTTGTAAGCTCTTACAACTGTTTATAACTTCACAAAGCGCCTGTGGTTAGTTCTTCATTTGGGTTTGGGTCTCAATTCCATTTTGCAATTTCATGTGGCATACATTTCTTAATGTTGTATAGTTTTCAGATTTTACTGGAAGCAGACAGGGCCCTGGCAGTCTTACGTAAAGCTCTGAAAAAAGACAGAGGTAACGTGCACCTTTATCATCACGTCTTTGATATATGTTATCAACGACAACCTCTGGATTGTCAAGGAGTGCTGGCGTCTGTGCTGCTGGCTCTTGCTTCCAAAGAACTTTCGGTGCATGACAAATACTGGTTTGCATACAAGAGAGTTGAGTTTCTAAGAGAGCACGGAGATATAATAGAGTAAGTCTCAGATGTAGTTCTTTCAGGTGAATCTTATACAAGTATAACTATCACCTGTAATATTTTTTTAGTAGTAGCAGACTATTACACCTCCGTATTGAGTCATATTAGTAACTTGACTAATATTTTACTTTTGACAATCCTTAAGTTTTTTAACATTATGGGAAAAATAGAAGGCAAAGAATTTAAAAGTGGATATCTCTAAATCTGTTGATTGAATTTTTCAGACATTTTCATGGATGAAGACTATAAGTAATTCAACATTGCATCTTTTATTATTGTTTACTGTCATTCTTGACTTAGTCATGAATGCAGTAAACCCTCATTTTCCACTAATGTTGGGTTTCTGGAGAACACTATGGCTGGAAAGCACTATGGCTATGATATATCTGTGAAAAATGAAATTATTATTTAGATCAAAGACTTTTTATTCTGTACAAAACTTACTTGGAAAGCTTTGAAAGTGATGTGACCAGTAATTATTGATTTTTGTGTGATTGATACAATATAGGCTGAAGAGGGCACAGCAGGAACTTGCTGAACTAAAGGAACTGGCTGAGAAAGATAAGTTGGCCGCTAAACAAGAGAAGGAGATCAATCCGGAGAATAATGAGTCAAAAGCAAAAGAAGTTTCCCAGAAGGATGAAACTGAGGCAGAAAATAAAGGTACCTGTACTTATTTATCTAATGTGTCCAACTTAAGTCTAATAGCACTTTAGAGATTGTACCTCTGATAACCTTCCTTTCATAAGTGGTTTATGGGGATGGATGAAACTATGTTATGTCAAACAACAGGGAATGACCAGATAAATGTCTTGAGGCCTTGTTTTGGAAGGTAGCTCCACAACACTCTTCCTGAGAGGGACATTCCTGGACTGGGGTGGGGATGACTTATGTCACTTCATCCCTTTGAGATGTATTAATGTTTTTTGTATCTCAATAAATGTATCAATCAATCAATCAGTTCCACAACAGAACATTTATATAGCAGTTAGAGGAAAGGATATTTTAATTATATTGTGTAAGGGTAACTATTGATCAGATATTCATCCACTTTTCAGATGGTACAAGTGGTGAGGGCAGTGAGACTGCCGGTGCACCAACAGCAGAGTCAGCGGTTGCAGAAGCTGCCTCCACGGGGGTGTTTCCCAATCCTGGTCCATATCAAGACCCTCAACAACTCAACCAGCAATTTCCTGTACCATATTTTGCAGCTGATGGTATGTTCCCTTTAGTTTGATTATTTATTGACATATGTTTTGTTTTTTCAAATATGTATATCAGAACTACAGTTTTGAGAAACCTTTTCATAGGAGTTAGAAGTTGAAACTGTTGACACCAAGTACAGTATATATCTGAGATGACATCAGAGAAGATGGGGAGATAAGGTGAGGGAGACATGATAGGGGATAGACATTCAGGAGGGAGTGATAGACATGAATGGTTGAAAAGTTAGACATGAGTACAGTACCTGTAGTAATTTTTTTTAGATGGATTTAATATTTTAGTATAATTTAAGTTATTTTTTTCTTCTGGACATAACTCAGACACTGCCCCTTTACTTGTTTACTGCTTAAGTAGTCCCCCAGTCTCCATGCGATTCAGTCTTATTTAAAACATGGGCTTCACCAAAGTGCTTTTTTCTTACAGGTGCCATTACGTACAACCCAATGGCAGGTTATGGTTATGGACATTCCGATCCTAATCAAGCTCTACCCACGGCTCAGGAGGTGGTTCAAGGTGGTGGGCAGGACACACACCAGCAGAAGTCTCAAGAAGAGTACCATAAGGTCCCACCATCTTGGGAATTTGAAGTCCAAACTGGCTCATATGGGTATGGCAGCATGATGTGATTTATTGAGCTCATGTGGCTCTCTGTTGAAATTTTGGCCTGAAAAGAGTCTTTGCTTCTAGGTGTTCAAAAGTTTGGAAGATAATATTTTATGCAAAGATTTACAACTTATTTTCCTTTCTTCTTCCCTTTTTTTTTTTGTCCTTTTTTCATTCTCTATATCATGTATGTAGACTACCTACTGTACATATCACTGTATACTCTATGCACTTCTCACTATGTACCATTGGTATCTGTGAAAATGGTAACCTTGTAACATTAAAAGGATACAAAATTCACATCAGTAATTTAGTTCAGTGCAAGTGACTGTACATCCAAGAACTTATTATATATACTCGTAAATTTGCAGATATGAGAATTTTAAGTGTTCACCAAGTATACATTCCAGAACTCACATGGCTATTTACAGGTATGGGAAGTCAGAGGAGCACAGGTGGCATCAGGAGGCTGGGTACCACCAGTACAATGATCTTGTTGCTAATGGCTATCCTCAGCACCTCAAGGATAAAGAGGTAAATTCATTGTTTCATTAATTTATCCTAGTGACTGTTGCTTCATTCTCTGTAGAAACTCTTTCTGACTAGCTGGCCAGATAAAGTGTTTTCTTAGTTACTAAAGGAGGGAGATGTCTTGTTAAGTTCAATACCTTTATGGTTATCATATTGTATAATGTTTTTTAATTGTTAAAGGTTCAGAAAATTATTCTGTATGTATTGTAGCTGCTAGCAACTGACATACTCACTCATGCTGACATATAATGGGGACTTGAAAAACTATTGTATGTTTACATTTGCTGGTCGACTGACTTTGTTTTATTTTAAATTATTAAACCTGTAAAAAATTATTATTTAAATGTACAGTACAGGGGTATTGAAAATATTTAATGCTTCTCTAATAAATGAAACATTAAAGACATTTATTGTTCTTAGACAAAGGCAGTGTGGATATGCTAAAGTGAGTAATACAATTAAGTTAACGATTCTCACTTTAACACTTATTCCATCATTTCTAACAAATTATAACTTTTTCTTGAATCTCAACAACTGCTTCCTGGACTGCAATTGTTCAGACTCGAGGTGTCTTTGTTTTACTGGCATAATTGGGTGGTGATATTTGCTAGCAAGTTCTGTGCTGCACTGTCTATGTAATCCCTAGTCAGTCATAAGAGTTATAAACATCTCCAATAGACAATCATTTTAGTGCCGATAGTTTATCCGAGCCAGGGCTTTACTGTGCTTTATTAACTGAAACAGATACTACTATTCATCTGCATCAAGCACCCTGTAACTGTGTAAGGAAGATAATTTATTTTCAAATTTCCTGTTGTACAGTATTTATATGAATAGTATGTTTTTTTTTTTCAGAATGACCAGCAAATGTAACCTAAACTGACTGGCTAGAACCTTAACCCTCCTCCCTTAATACTTTGATTAATATGAAGAAATTGTTGAGTTATTCGTTTTATCGTTATATGGATGGACCTTAAGAACTGAACCCATACAAATAACAAGGACTTCCTCTAATGTAATTAGGTTTGGATCTTAGACTGAATATGTAGAAAACTTGTCTGTCTCACATGATACGCAGATCTAGTTCAAATTTATGAATTCAATTGGCTTTTAAGTCATTCATAAAGACAAAATATTTTTACCCAAATATTTTTACTTTTTATACTTGGGATTGTGTGGGGCTGCAGTAGATTTGTCTTATTCTAAACAGTCTGCCCCACTTCAGGTTGAAGAAGTCAAGATGCCTTTCACCATCAACGTAGACCATATGCGTCGACGTCCCAGGGGTCAAGAGACACCTCAGATGCCAGACATGAGCCAGCCTCCCCCATCAGCAGCAACAGGGAGTCTCCCACCCATCTCTGTTGTCCCACCCACAGCCTCAATGTCCTCCACCTTACTTCCTCACCATAAGTTTACAAGGTATTTATTACATGCAGATTGTATCATTGTGTTGTAAGAAATAATATGATATGAAAGTTGGGACATTATAGCAGAACACATTTGTTACCTCAGTTAAAGTGAGTACAGTACTGTGGCAGATGGGAGAGTGTATTGTTCTTGGTTCTGACCATCCTGCTCTATAGAGGCAAAAGGCATCCAAGTCCTCCGTTTAGTGGTAACTCTTGTTGGCAGTGTTTTCATACGTGTACATTTTATACAGTACATTTAATTTTTTTTACACCATGTAAGATAGAAGAAGCCTGAAGACACTGCTAGAAGCTTTAAGGTAATGGACCTTGAAACAATTGAAAGTATTTATTTATTTATTTATTTTTACAGACCCCCACCATTCCCAGGTATAGGCCCTCCAGGGCTATTCCCTCCTGGCTTTGGAGCTCCACCTGGTCCAATGGATGCTCCTCCTCCTCCTGGAGAGGGACTGTCTTATTCTAAAGATTCTCAGCGGTCATTCTTTGACAGTCCTCCTCCATTTGCCAAACGCAGACATCTTGATGATTTCAGGTATTTTGGAAATTAATTAGTGGTTTGATTAAGTCACTTTGGACACTCAGTACAGCAAAGTCTCATTTAATGTGAGTACCGGTAATATAAATACAAAATCACACAATTGTAAATCCGTTATGTTAGTTTTACTTAATAGTCACTACAACTAGTGGTGGTCATGACAGGAGGCTATTGGCCTGTGTAGGATTCCTCCACCATTCTTGATAGTCCTATCTAGGACTTTTATGTTAGCCAGTACTGTTCCTGCTTCCAAGGTTTCAGTTGGTAGGGTGTTCCATGGGTGTACAGGGTATTGCCTTTTGTGTGAAGAAGTACAGGTACTTCCTTATATTTGATCCACATAACACCTTAGTGAGTTTAAATCTTCTTGTGTTGGTAATACTGTTCTTGATATTTTGATTGTGTTTACAGATAATATATCCTGAATAATTTGTAAAACTCAAGGATGTGTAAAAGTTAAAATATGTAACTACTGGATTATTCTATAGTAAATATTAAAATTTTGTTCTAGTCTTCAGCTTCCAAAAAGGGTTATATTAAATTTAAATGTTGTGGGAAGATTCTACCTGTAGTCAGCTTACTGTTTAAGGAGAGAATAGTGACTCAGATATTAAGGATAGATCAAATACTGTACATTTAGATATGTAGCTTCAGCCACAGCTGCATTATTTAATTATTATTCCATATTGCAGCTTAAAAGATGAGCCGCCGTACAAGATGCACTGCACAGAAAACTTTGATCTTGCCCGACAATATCGACCGGAGTATGATAATAACTACACAGCTTCTCCTGGTCCTAGTGCCCCACCAACCCACAGAGCAAACTTTGGATCATATGATGCCAACTTCCAGTCTTATTCTCCATATGGACAAAAGGATGATGACCATCTCAGGGAGCAGTGCGATGATAGGCATCAGTTACCATCTCAAAGAAATAGTCCAGAGCTCTCCAGGTTTAATGAGTCAAACAGATATTCTCTTCGTGAAGCAAGTAGCTTTGACACTCCTATACCAAAAGAGGTCAGTTGTTTTCACAGTTTTAAAAAACATCAGTATCTGTTGCTTTGTCTATTTAGACGACAGTATTAAAAATGATAATGTCTGTAATCTGTATGTATGTTTACAATGGGTAGGGTATCTCTTACAATAACTTCTTATTGGCTAATGCCATTTTGGCTTACTTTACCTACTTTAAGACCAATTTGAGTTGTGTCAGTCTCTATTTTATTTAAGTTCTTATAATATTTTCAGGAAAAAAATTTCGTGCAAATGGCAAGTTCAGATTGGCTGACTCAGTTTTGCCTTATTCTACCTTTCTTCACTTAGTAAGAGAACTGGATATATGATTTATATACAATTAAATGAAAAATAAATTGTACAAATATCAACTCGGAGAGAACAATACTGTGTCCACCTTGCACCACAACAAGGGCTCTTTAGTGTGGAATAAAAAAGGTTTAGAATGCTATAGTTGAGACAAATTGTTTCTGACATAAAAGGAAATGTCGGTAGTGTCAAATAATTTGCAATTAAAGTGTAGTAAAATTTCATAATATAAAGAAATTTGGCTTAGTGTTTATAAAAGACTTATTCTTACCACTGAGTGTGTAGTGTTTTACTGACAAATTGTATAAATTAGTTTTAAATCTAAAATAGCAGGAAATGATTATAAATATTTAATTGCAAAACAATAGCATTAGATGGAATAGACTACAGTACACTGTTCACCCAGATGGGAGATGAAAATCATTAGCTAAGTATCCAAGGTGTCTAGGCCCCAGGGTTGACAAAGTATTGATCTCAAATATCTGATGAAATTCCTTGAAAATTACACCCTTTAGAAACCTTATATATTTAATAACTGTCTCCAAAACTCTGGGTATTATAAGGATCTTCCAGTGATCAGTGTCACAAATAACTTTATAATGCTAAAAAAAAACATGATTCCTGTCTTCTTGAAATTCATTTTGTACTATTTTTATCTAACATTTATAATGGTTTGTACAGGTGGAGATGAAGGATGCAGAGAGGCTGTGTGTTAATGTTCCTGACTGGCTGATACAGGATGGTGGGGAGCTGTGCCTTAGTGACACTGACCGGGGTGTCTCACTTATTCGTTACTGGCCAAATTTCATGACCCAGAAGGGAGAGAAGGTAAAAATCTTGTTATCTTTTAAGCTTAATTATAGCTTAGCTTAAGTTAAGTTAGGTTTGCTTAGCTTAGCTTGTTAGGTCAGGTCAGGTCACATCCAATCCTCACCTCTCCATATGATTTCTTACTTTATTAACCTATTCCTTATTTCCATATTCTCAATTTCCTCATCTCTCACCCTTTCCAAACTTGCAATACGTTTATCAGAATATCCATTGTAACGACTGTACCGTCTTTATTAACATGTTGCAACAGTCTTGTGTTTAAATATGATGTAGTTATATTGGGGATGACACTTCTCCTGAGACTAGATATGATTCAGCAGTATGGGCTGTTTCCTCTTCACTACTCTTTCTTAAACTTTGAGAGCTCACTGGCCATTCTTTGAAGATCCTTAATGATAGAGATACCTCTTATTCCATGATAATTGCTGGAAGTAAAAGTCAGATACAGTATTAAGGCTTACATATTTCTTTCATAGCAGGAATAATTCACTCTTCCTCAACCCCAAACACATGTAACATTTACCTTGTGTCTTATTGTTAAAGCTAAGTCATTGTTGAGTATCCTATCAATATAAATGCTGTAATCCCATCCACAGACAGTTTTCCGTATCCTGAGGAAAGGACTGAAGTGGCACCAGCGGCGAGCAGTTACTGATGGGCAGTGGCAGAACCTCCCTCACCTGCTCTCCTGGATTGGTCCGTGTGACTACTCGTACTCAGGCGTCACCCTGGAGAGAAACACCAACTGGTTACCGGAGATTGTTGATCTTCTTCACAGGTGAGTTTGGAGTTTGAGATGTTTTTCAGCACTTGTGCGTTTTTTAAATTTGTTCTGTAAACTATTTACTATAAGATTTTACATCCCAGAAACTAGTTCTATTGAAAATGTAAGACAAGTTTGTTTTGCATTGACCTGCAATTTGAAGATAACATGCTCACCTTGGCCACATGAACATAGAAAGATTAACAGGTTAATCTTGGCATTATTTACTGTGTGCAGCTTGTATGTGGGCTGTAAACAGTGGAAAGGTGGTAAGAGTGGATTTAATCTTTGCAAATGTTTAGGATGTGAGGTGGCATAGTGATAGAATGAATGAGAAGGAGTGTATAGGTTATGTATGACAGGAGAGAGAACCAAAACAAAGGCAAATATTTTACTGCATAGTTCTCCTATATAAATGGAAAGGTGATAAGAATAAAAGCAAAAAATTATTGAGTATCAAGTCCATTAAGTTTACAAGGAAACGTGTATGGTAGTTGTTATTGAAAAAACTGTTGGAAAAGTTAGAGTGTATGTTATGGCATTTATGAATCTGGAGAAAACATATGAGAAAGTGAGAAGGAAAGTGATAAGAGGGGCTTATTGAAAATGTACAGGATAAATGAGAAGAGTTTTTGAATGCCATCCAGAGTTTTTATAGACTGTGAAGCCTGTTAGGAGGAGAGGAGCCCAGGAAGAAGCAGAGCCTGTAAACAATTGATCAAAGTGTCTAGTGGTGTTTGGGGATGTCACGGTAGTAAGAGTGAGTGAATGACCGTAAATTAAGACTGTTGGTACTTTTAGTTCTGTTACCAACCACTTCCACACCTCCAGTTGTCAAAAGATAATACTGTAATGCCCATAATTATTGAAAAATTTTACCTGTTGGTTTAGTATACTGTATATAGTGGTAGTAATGTCTTGTTTGGGGCATAAATTGTGAGTCAGTTCCCTTTCTCTCTTGACAGGTGTGTGGTGGTAAAATTTGATTAAAAACTGAATTACTGAAGTTTAACATGTGTGTTTTCTCTCAAGGTTGATTAAATACACTGGTAACCAGTACAATAGCTGCTTCCTGAACCTTCACCGTAATGGGTACGACCATGTTGCCTGGACGGAGGAAAACCACCCAGCCCTCCGTGATAACCCCTCGATTGCCTCTGTCTCACTGGGTAAATAATCATTATGATTACTGTACCTTGAAATATGAATTGTACAGTATTATGGTTTAATGAAGTGCAATTGATTGTAGTTTATAGTTTCCTTGTTTAAGTGAAACAGTTCATGAAATACAGTACCCTGTACATGTATTTAGAAATTGTTTGTTGAATTTCAAAAGCAAAATGTTATAAAATATTATACTGATGTAGTGTTTGTTTGGTCAGGCACAGCCAGGCTGTTTGAGATGAGAAGAAAGGATGGGCGAGGATTTCTACAGTTTCCCCTTTTTCCTGGATCTCTGCTTTTGATGGAAGGAGCCACTCAGGAGGACTGGCAGCATCAGGTGAGCTGCCTTGGGCTACATTATATTACCGGTTACACACTTCTACTGGATGCCACAGTTGCTGCTTATTTTCACACCACACACAAACACCATAGTCTCATAAAAAAAGGTTTTCTTTTGAAAATGATGCAACATAAAACTATAGAGAAAATACATACATATAGTTGTAAGAAATGACATTAGAGTTAAGAAACTGATGAGAAAGGCTGCAAGAGATTGTGCAGCATAGAGAGCTGACAGTGGGGTATGCTATAACGAACGTAATTGGTTCCAGAACCTCGTTCGTTATAGCATTCGTTCGTTATAGGATTAATCCGTTCCAGGCCCCCAAATACAACCGCTTAACACTGAAAAAATTCTGTGGAAAATGTAAAAAATACGGTACTTTATCTTACCTTAGTGTTATTCAGCATGCAGGTACCCCTAAACACTGGCACATTACTATCACTTCCACTGGGAGTCTTGGCTTTAAGGTCCTCAAACAATTGTTTAGCCTTCTCACAAATTATAGCTTCACTAATGTTACCACCTGCCATTTCTTTCTCCTTTATCCACACTAAGAGTAAATTTTCCATCTCTTCAATCACATTACACCTTGCTTTGCTAAGTCTAAAGATTCCCTTAGCCACTTGCACAGTTTTTAACTCCTCTTTATTCTTCAAAATCGTACATATAGTCGATTTAGCCATCCCATATTCATCACTAAGTTTCGCAATGCTTCTTCCATTCTCACGTTTCTTTATAATTTCTTTCTTAGTTTCAAGGGTTATTAGCTTTCTCACTCGCTTTGGACGACTCATTGTTACAATTGTATACTTGTATAACAAAATAGTTATACAAATAACGCGAATTTCCACATCAAAAGACGAAATTTCAACAATAACAGTGGTGCACTGGCTACACATTGAGACAAAGATGGCGCCTGACGCTCTTGTTGTGGGTCGCGGAACAACAATATTCATGCGCCAGGCGAAATAGTCCGGTATTCATCCGCGTTCGTTGTAGGAGTTACGTTCGTTATAGCATTCTCAATTTTATAGGTAAAACCGTTCGTTATAGGAATATTCGTAGTAGGATCCGTTCGTTATAGCATACCCCACTGTATATGTGGGACATGTTCCGAGAACCAAGGATAGGGGGTAGTTGCCGTCTCCTCCCCGAGTCTGGGAGAGATACTGCCTCCTAAAGGTTCCCCCCAGACTGGGACACTCGACCAACAAGTGTTCTATAGTCATTGAAACCAGGCAGTCATACATATTGACATATTTATCAGCACAAAGGGCCCATTACAGAGCCTGGCCAGGGCTGTCTCCCACCTCTGTGGCATTCAGGAATACATTGAGAGCCCGAGGGGTTCATCTCTGTTTTGGTTTCCTAAAGCTTATTTGGACCAGCAGGGGCATCATAATACTGCCAGGCATTACAAACAGAATTAGCATATTATTATTTACTGAATCTTTTTATAATAATTGTATAAACAATGACTGACTTATTGTGTTTACTCGAATGCATAAACAAATATTGTAACTAAGATTTTTTGAGAGAGTTTTCAGTTTCATTCAATTTTATTTGTTAAAGAACAATAATACATGCTTAGATACAAATACTCTACTGTATAGAAATTCTAAACAAAAATATAAATTTATAAACAAAACTTAGGTTGCATATTTCAAATAAGAATTTAATGAATTTATCAGAACTTTAATATTGATTATAATTCTTTCCTTACAGTTTCCAAAGGAACCCAACGTCCCCGGCGAGAGAATGCACATGACCTTCCGCAAATTGTACATGATTGAGGGTCTGACAGTGTGACGCTTGTGTTCTATATTTGTTGTACTGTGGCCAACACCATCTTATGGAGTCCTCAGCATGTCGTGACAGAAATAACCGAAAAATATTACCATTTTCATATATTCACTTCATAAAGGAAGATGATCTTTAATCCTTACACTTAAATGAACATAATATCTGAATTGGTTGGAATAAATAAATAAAAAAATATACTTGTACTGTAGAGTAATACCTGTATTTCCATTCACCGGAACTCTCCAATAGATGGAATGAAAATCAGGCCAGAAAGATTCCAGGGAAACTTTCCATTCAGGGTCTGTGAACGAGTTTCTGAGGATGAAAATCGGGCGCATTTTCAGGAGAAATTCCATGAAAATGTTTCCAAACCTCCCCATTCTGAGTCTAGGAACAAATTTTCTGGAAGTTCCAAGAGACTGCATCATGGTCCAATGGGAACCCACGTGCTAGGTGCATGGGTGGGGGCGAGCTGCTTGGATCGTTTACTTCATATTCTGTATTTTAAAAACTCAGAATACTAGATCTCTGATGATACGATGCTCTTATTAACCTGAAATTATGAGTTTATGAATAACCATAACATAACTCCCCCAGCTCATCCTGCTAACTATTGCTGGTGCACGAAGAAATGTTTATTCCATTTATGTTTTTGACCTGATGATATTTTTTGGGGGGGCGGGGGCACAGTCTGTGTGTTGGATTGTGTGGGCATGTAACTAAATAAAAAAACTATGAGGAAAAGTATATTTATCTACCCAAAATTACAAGTTAAAAAATAACTATAACAAAACTCCTACCTCAGCCTGGTAGGGAGACCGCTGGGGGATGTGCTGTAACAATTGAAAGCGGAATTACTAAGGAAACTACTTAACTCACACAAACAACTTATTTCACCTGAAGATTAACTATCCTAATGCTACCTGGTGGGGGGCTAGGTTAAATTAAGTTGTGTTAGCTTAAGTTCGCTTAGATGGACGGGTCATCCACAACATTATGTGGTTGAGGGAGGGATCATCCACCTTGCTGCTGTTGCTTCTGGTTGCATCATTCCCTTGCTCCTCTTTGCTGCTGTTGCTGACCGAGTCATCCACCTTCCTGCTGCTGCTGACTGGGTCATCCACCTTCCTCTGCTGCTTCTGACTGGGTCATCCACCCCCCTCTGCTGCTGGGTCATTCACACCTGCCTCCCATCACCTGTGCTGTTATATATATATATATATATATATATATATATATATATATATATATATATATATATATATATATATATATATATATATATGCAAGTAAATCACTGTAGGTGCGCGTGATCTAGGTATATGCTGATATGTATGTATTTATTTATTTATTACTGTAAGTAAACTTACAGAATTTGAAATTGTTTCCCCATATGAAAAAAAATGCCATTTTCTTCTTTAGAACAGAAAATGGACGTTTTGGACCAACTATTTTAAACCTTTACCAATAAAATTCATAATACGAGACCTCCGATGTTTTCTGAAAGGATTAAAGTTCACTGCAAATTGACAAAGTAATAAAGACGTTTACTTTACAGGGTCAAAATTTTTAATAGTAACCCCGTAACTAATATTTATAATAACCCTGAACACTAATAATATCTCTTGGTAGACTCGGGTACTTATGAGTTTACAGAAACCTAAGAACTTCGTGGTATCAGGAAAGGATCCTTGCCTGACGGACGATCAATTAATGTGGGCCTTCATTATACACATTCATTGTATACAATAATACCATTGCAAGAAAACATTACGCAATTTATTACTCACGAAGGTGTTGAAGCAGAAACATGTATCTTGAATTTGATATGAACGAATTATATTGAGTTGTGTAAAGATGTGTACGAGAGTTTGAGCAGTGTGAATAGCTAAATTTATTCCAGTATACTTGAGTCTTGACTCAGGACAACTTGGCCGAAGTAGCCTGAAGGCGAAGTGGCCAGTAATCCCCAAAACAAGAACAGCTTCGGTCAGCTGATCTTGAAAGAGGAAAAGCTGTAAGGTATGTAGACGTTGCGCGTCTGTGTGGGGCAAATTTGATTATGAATTACGATACGTTATGTGTGCTTCAGTGTACATGGTCAAGAAATTTTGCCGGATTAGACAGCATGTCATCCTTATGATTTTACTCGACTTGTCTCCGTCCATTATGCTTTTTTTTTAAGATTTGGTAACAAATTTAGGTGCAAGTATTAGATTGAAGTATTAATCATTAAAAAGAGGCTTCGACCATTTACTTTCCAGTGATAGAAGATTATGGATAGATGAGATAACGATTTTTTTTTACATATATCAGCGTTCATCTGGGTTACTTCATGGCAAACTTGTCCACGCTTTTATTGATGGTTAATTCCCTTTGTGTGGTGAATCGGCGTCAGAGCCAGTACCAGCACCTGTGATCACCTGTCTGAACTCTAGTCGCATGACGTCTCCCAGTTTGGCAGTTCTTTGTGAAATTATGACGACACCAACTGACTAGAGGCAGGTTGGCGGCTTAATCTTGGTAGTGGGGAGAGTTGGTCTTGGCATGAGTTGACACTTGATCTGACGGGATGTAGTTTAACTTGGCGCCAGGTAAGTCTTGGAGGGGGGGAGGTTAAGTAGTGTTTAATTGAGACACCTGACCCCATCCTGGATCCTCCATTGACAGTTTCTTCTTTACAACGCCACTCACTCTAACCTAACCTAAGCAAACCTAATCTTCTCTCTCTCTCTCTCAGCAACATACGACTACGGTTCCTAAGTCTTCCGGGGTTGGTTAAAGTACAGTGAGGAAGTTGTGTTGTGAGGACAGGCGTGGTGATGGGCGATACAGTCAAGACCCCCGCGACAGCTCACCACCCGTGGGCTGCCATGAACCAGGAGGTGAGTATATGTTGCAATTATGTATTTTATTCTGGCTAACATCAGGTTTGGATTCTCAGAAGATCGTACGTCATATTCCCCTCGTAAGTGGAGATGTAAGTATGCACTTTTAATTTGTTCACTTACGTTAAAACTTAAGAATTATACAAAAATAAAACAGAGTATCTGCACAAAATGCGTTTCCTTCCAAAGAGTCTCAACTTTTTATCCCCCTAGTGTTGTCTGCGAAGTGGATTTATTTACACAACTGAGGGTGTCTGATTAATATCGTTATGAGGATGACAACTGCACACCCGCGGACATTATTCAGGCTAATGTTTAGTGAAACGCTTGGCTGTGTTTCAGACAGTGCACAGTCGAGTTGCATAAACGAACACAGAGGTGCTCAACAAGATTTTAAATATATTTTATTTTACGTAAGAATGGTAATAAAGTAAACGTACAGGAGCTCTATTGTAACTATGAGTAACTGTACAAAATATCAGGTGTCCCTAATTGTTCTCTATTTCATTCCCTTTGTCCCTAAAAGGTGTGTTGGGACGCAGAATTGTCCTACATTTTTATGTTCTATTTATCTGTGTTAAATTGTGGCAGCAGTGGTGGACTTTGCGTGTTGTAAAGTTTGCATTAGAGGAGATACTGAGAGTGAACCAAAGCCGGAAAGTGTATGGTTATGGTGGAGGTGGCTGACTGATCTATACACTGAGTAGTACCGGTTAATATTGGCTGCTGGTCCACTAGGCTTGATATTTTTAGTAAACAATTTCGTTAGAAAAGGGTGTAATTAAGTTATTATTACGCTTCTGCAGTTTAGAGGTTAACCAGTTTGACCTTTACCCAGCTGCGGACGATGTGTTTGTTTTTGGGTAGTAGAATGGAGTGTTTGTTAAACATACTTAATGGTGTTATAACAATCTGACCAAGATGAGAAGTTAGCCCAGACCCAATTATATCTTTTAAACACACCACATGTCCACAACTAAAACTGTTAGTTGGTATTATGTCTTTTGTTACGTGTAATGTCTTAGAACTTCATGTTGCAGGGGGAAGAGAGAGAGGAAGCGCCAGTGTGGCGGGCGTCGTGTGTTGGCAATCATTTTCCACAAGTATGTGGTGGAAGAATTTTGATTTAATTTTATTACTGCGCTTCAACAACTAAGGTCTTTAAGCCGTAACAATTTTAGTAATTATACTATTACATCAACAATTACAAATTATGAGATAGAATGCTCTGCGTTGTTGTTAAGACATGGCACTTCCCTCTGTGTGTTGTTCATCATGGTACAGTGTCACAAACAACAAGTTTAACAAATTTATTGACAAGGCCTGGAGTGCAGTTTGCCTATTCTGAGTAATTCAGTCAGGTCTTGACACTGAGGGTGGTATCACTTTTTTCACTGCCACGCAGGACAGAGGTTCATACACAAAGGAATACATCATGTACATTAACAGAGGCAGAGGGTGTGCAGGACGAGGATTGAGGACCCTCGTCTTGTCAACAGATATTATGAGACCACATTCCACAGTCAGCTGAGCAAATACATCCAGCAAGGCTTGGAGCCTGAGCTTGGTCTGTGTCATAATGCATATATCATCAGCATAGCATATTACAGCCTCGTTTGGCTGAACTGGAATGTCGGCAATAAGCTTATGCATCATTATATTAAAGAGCATAGGACTTAACACTCCTTCCTGAGGCGTGCCAAGCTCAAATGCTCTCATTCTGGCACTTTTGACTCCCCTAAACAGAACACTGGCATACCTGTTGGACAGATAACCCTTTATCCTTGTCAGGAGGTTACTTTGGATGCCAAAATTAGCTAGTTGCTCAAGTATAATGTCACGATTCTTGATGAGGGTATTTCCCACATTCCTCTGAGTAGTAGTAACCCAACACCTCTCTGACACAGGAGCTGGAAGCGGAGTACTCCCCTTCACGGTGGTCTAAGAGACACGGTGCCCAGCAGATCATTGGGATACACGTGAAAGTCGCCACTGATCTCTCCCAGGTGGCTTTCTCCCTCACCCACCGCCTCAACATCCCTTACAGCGACCAGGGGCCAAGGGCGAAGCTGGACGTGTTTGGCGAGGATTTACCCGCAGGTGAAGCACTCGTTTTGTCTGTCTTCTGTCTTGTTTTATTTCCTCATCGTTACCATTGTATTTATGTCCTCTTCTTTCTTCGTCTGGTATTTTTTTTAAATAATGATATGCTCTCTCTCTCTCTCTCTCTCTCTCTCTCTCTCTCTCTCTCTCTCTCTCTCATATAACCTCAGAGACCCTCACCCTTCCATCCCGTGTCCACAGAGAACCTGACACTTCCCTCCAGTACCCACAGAACACCTGACACTACCCTCCTGTACCCACAGAACACCTGACACTTCCCCTCCCGTACCCACAGAGCACCTGACATTACCCTCCCGTACCCACAGAGAGCGTCTTACTGGTATACGTGCACGGGGGCTACTGGCAGCAAATGAATAAAGAAGTCTCATCATTGTTCGTGAAGCCGCTGTATCATGCTGGAGTGGTGACGGTGGTGGTGGGTTACGACCTGGCCCCTCAAGGTAGGGTAGGGGGGAGGGGCTGTCTCAAGTCTCTATTGACCATAAAATACATTCAACACAGTCATGAATTTATTTAATACATTCATACACCCAGAATTTGTTTTTTTATCTTTTGTTTGTAAATGTTAAATGGGATTTATTTTTCGTTGTGTTTTTACAGTCAGCCTCGAGAGGATAGTGTCAGAGGTGAGGGCGGCGGTGTTGTGGGCGTGTAAGCTGGCTCGTGAACGTGGCAGCAAGGGGGTCGTGTTGGCTGGCTGGTCTGCTGGAGCCCAACTTGTGACACAGGTGAGAGAGAGAAAAAGAGAGAGGGAATGAAATCGAAGAACGAAGGAAGATAGCAAGATAATTTAAAGGATGGGTAGAAAGAGAGAGGGGGAATGAAATAGAAGACGAAGGAAGAAAGATAGTAAGATAATTAAAAGGATTGGTAGAGAGAGAGAGAGAGAGAGAGAGAGTGAGCAATTAAGCTGTGTTTCTCCCAAGGTTCTCTCGACGCCGGAGGTAAAGGGAGACACACCCAGCAGTACTGACCTCACTCCCTACAAAGACCTGATTGGTGGCGTGGTAACCTTTAGTGGCGTCTTTGATCTCCGCCCGCTGGTCAAAACAAGCGTCAACGAACCTCTTCATTTGACAGAGTGAGTTGAATCCGTGTAACCTAAAGACATTCATCAAATCGACTCTTTATAACTTATCCTCTCTATCTATTGTATATAACTGAAACTGTGACATTTTTAGAAGGTTATTATTTTCCATCAACCTTTTGCATAGAAGTTATGTTACATAGATGAATAACTGATGATGTAGTGGGGTCGCTTGAGCTGTAAATGAACTACATAACTCTTGTTGGGGAAGTAGAGGACGCCAAGTTCAGTAAGGATCACGTTGTTTCATTGGGTGGAGTACCGGAGGCGTGATGTAAAGTCTTGGATTCCCTTAAAACGAGTCATCTAATCCTCCTCTCTACCCTCTCACCACCACAGTTCTACGGCTTGGGCTATGTCCCCTCTAGCCAGCGTGGGCGTGATGGGGCGGGCTAGGCCATCTCTCAGGCTTCTCATATCGGTGGGCCAACACGACTCGCCAGAATTTAAGAGGCAATCCAAAGAGTACTGCCAGGTGAGAGATATATACAGTACTGCCAGGTGAGAGACATATACAGTACTGCCAAGTGAGAGATATATACAGTACTGCCAGGTGAGAGATATATACAGTACTGCCAGGTGAGAGATATATACAGTACTGCCAGGTGAGAGATATATACAGTACTGCCAGGTGAGAGATATATACAGTACTGCCAGGTGAGGGTACTGCCATGAGAGATATATACAGTACTGCCAGGTGAGAGATATATACAGTACTGCCAGGTGAGAGATATATACAGTACTGCCAGGTGAGAGATATATACAGTACTGCCAGGTGAGGGATATATACAGTACTGCCATTAATATTTCTGGTATTATCCCTTTCATCCATAATTATATGACCAAAGTATCAAATTTGTTGTTTTCTGTACATTTGAAGTGTTTTCTAATCACTTTTATTATTATTATCACTACTACTACTACTACTATTACTACTACTACTACTACTACTACTACCGTACTATCATTGTATACTTGTGATGCAGGCATGTGTGGAGGCGGGAATGAGAGCAGAGTGTGTAGTGGTGGAAGGGATGGATCACTTTAGTATAGTGGAAGATCTGGCGCAAGAAAAGTTTTCCCTCACCCAGAGAATCGTGTCCTTTGTGAAGCTGTGCACCACTAGCCCACACGCTGATACACCGAAACACGACAAGAAGGATCACTGATAAATACGATATAAAAGATGTAAGGGGAGTGGTTATAATCACCCACAGCTATAAAATATAATACGTACCACTAATAACGTTTTGTGAATTCATTAGACTTTGTTCTGTTATCGATCCTTGGTGTTTAATCTTGATATTTGTTTGATATGATGGGGAAAATGTGTATTGTAATACAATGGGAAAATATAAACATAGATGTGTGTGTTTTAACTTTCCTTATAGTCTACATATGATATAAAACTATTTATTGGAAACTATTATCTTTTATCTGAGTGATTACGGCCAAATTCTTCATGACAATCAGACGATGTTGTTTGGGGGATAATTTCCATACTTTCTTACAGCTTTCCCGTATCTGATGAAAAATTAAGCAGACTTTATTTACATCACTCATATTCTCCTAAACTTATATTGTCCATTTCTTACTCTTGTTTCTCTGTCATCCTTTGTCTTGAGGAAGAAACAAGGTACCTCCTTCCGGCAACTACCACTAAATTCTGGGAAATACCAACCACGAAGCACGTCCCGAGGTCTCACCTGCATATAAGGCGGTAGCAATGAGGGCATGTTTTAGTCTGGTGGTATAGCGTCCAGGTGAGTGTTGCTAAAACTGAGAGCAATATCTAGTACGTTGGTGTTAAATTATTACCAGGTTTTTCCATCCATTTAAATATGATTATTCCAGGATGAAATTGTTACTTCCTGAATGTAGTTTGTGATTATTTGATATTAGAAATGGAGTATAAGTACTAGAGGTACAGATAATAGCAGTGGTGTGTAGTGTTGACGATGTAGTGAACAATTGTTAGTGAAAGCTGTAGTTGTAGCTCTCGTTACAACTATATTTCTTAGTAGAATATTATCATGAGCAAAGCTGGTACAACTAAAGATATGGTCTTTGTCATACATGCCCATGGCCTTTGAAGAAGTGAAACGGGCGCCAGAGATGAGAGCTGGCCAACATTTCAACCCGTGTAGCAAGTTTTTAGGAGACCAGTAGTAGAGCCACCGGGCATGGTTGGGGTATTACCCAGGTTTCTCCTCCGCGACATTGTAGTGTTATATGTTGTTGCTATTGGTATCTATCACTGAAGATGATAGGTAATTAATGAAATTTTACTCAGTAACACCCAAACACGGTGTAAAAAAAGTCTTAGTAAGAACATATTTCTGTTCTTTATGCCTCAGATTACGTCAAACTTCACTGCGTACTATTTTTACCCTGAACTTGAATGTTAAAGTTTTAAAAATTTGAAAATTCCGTAGAACAATCATAGATATCTATTCCCAGGATCATTCAGAGATATATAAACCTGGACCATCCAAAGAGTTCCATTCCCCGGACCAATCAGAGAGTTCCATTCCCCGGACCAATGAGAGAGCTCCATTGCCTGGATCAATCAGAGAGCACCATTCCATGAACCAATCAAAGAGTTCAAATTCTTGGACCAATCGGTTCCATTTCCTGGACTCATCACAGAGCTCCATTTTTTTAAAATTTTACCACATTTTCAGGGAATGGAGCTGTGAATTTCTCTGGTGGGATTTCGTCTGAGCAATATATATACCTGGGAAAATGTGCATCATTCACAGTGGAGGAAACTTATCCAACCTATCTGTAATGTCCAGGTACATTATTTTTGCATGCCTGCATTGTGTATGTATATTGTGTACCTGTATTGTCTGTATACATGTTAAATTGTATACCTTCATAGTCAATACACATGCTGAATAAATGTAAAATTTTATGACGATTTTACTTAATAAAACTGAACTGAACCACGTCTTTGTGTTACAGTACCAGCCAAGATGAGGATGATGAACGTGGTGGTGATGGTGGTGCTAGGGTGTTGCGGCCTCACCTCAGGACAGAGCGTAGCAGTAGGTTCTTTATCTTGACATTTTTATTGGCACAGGATGATCTACCCCAGAGAGAGAGAGTTTACATACTCAAGTCTTGATCTTACCACTGTATTCGCCTGCCTGTTTAGATTCAATGTTGTATTCAAAGATGAATATTGTGTAGTTGTTATTTGCATCTGTTGGTTAAATTTACTTTAAGAAGATGAATTTCCCCTCCCACAGGATGATGTCAGTGTATTTCTCCTATAGGACCTCCAGGCGATCTTTGAGCAAGCTATCCAGGGTTCATCTCAAACCACCAAGAGACCCCCAACTCCACCCGCAGTCTCTGGTGGACCTAGTGGACAGTTTCCTGGTTCCAGTGGACAGTTTCCTGGTAGCGGTGGACAGTTTCCTGGTTCCAGTGGACAGTTTCCTGGTAGCGGTGGACAGTTTCCTGGTAGTGGTGGACAGTTTCCTGGTTCCAGTGGACAGTTTCCTGGTAGCGGTGGACAGTTTCCTGGTAGTGGTGGACAGTTTCCTGGTAGCGGTGGACAGTTTCCTGGTAGCGGTGGACAGTTTCCTGGTTCCAGTGGACAGTTTCCTGGTAGCGGTGGACAGTTTCCTGGTAGTGGTGGACAGTTTCCTGGTAGCACAGTTTCCTGGCCAGTTTTCCTGGTAGCAGTGGCCAGTGGACAGTTTCCTGGTAGTGGTGGACAGATTCCTGGTAGCAGTGGCCAGTTTCCTGGTAGCAGTGGCCAGTTTCCTGGTCAACCTCAAAGACCAGGTCGACCAAATAGACCAGGCCGACCTAATAGGCCAATTGAAAGTGGCAGTGGGCAGGGGACATCCTCTGGTAGTGGAGGATGCAAGTTCTTCTGCCAGGTACCAAGTGGACAGTGGGTGCCCTGCTGTTGAGGATATGAAAGTGGTACGTGGGTTTTATTTGTAGTCCTTTTGCCCTTAATTTGAAAAAAAAATATATATAACTGTACTTATGGTATGTTTCAGATTCACTTGGATTACATGTCTTTTAGAATTCATAATATCTGCAAAATTTCAAAATGTTCTCATTTTACTCAATTTACTTCAGTGGAATACTGTACAACATTAGAATGATAGCAATAATAGAGAAGTTTGTGGAAAGTTTGGAATAATTTAATTTTTATCATAAGTGAGAGATGCATTCAAACTTTTGTAAGGATGAAGGAAATATAAGTGAACTGATTAACCCTTATACCATGACTATGGGAGAACCTGACTGCCTTGACAGCTAGGTGGACCGGGTGTGCACTCACCTTATACATAAGGTGAGTGCCTCATCCACTGCACCCTAATAACATCATACATTATAATGGAAACTACTTTAGGTGAATACAATACAGGAAACAAGTATTTACATTTATTTTATCTCAATGTATTTAATATTTACATCAGAAGAATCCACCTGTCAATGTTTAATCATTGGAAAAGTACCAGTGGTGATACAATTAAAGTGTGTAATAATATTAATACAATAAAATACCAGTCTCCCAACTATGAATAAATCTATGTAGTGGTACTGTTCTGTACAAGACCTAACACCCATAATGTAATAATAAATACTAAATAAATGTTTTGCACTGGTAGTTCAGGATAGAATTCCATGTGAAAACAACAAATGAAAAGTTGAATCTATAACATTTAAAGGTGATGTAAAGTAGCAACAGTCTCCTGATGGTTGGTGTTTTCACAGGGGACAACATCCAGTTAATTTGCACTTTTCCAAAAAAGATAACAAATGTTGGTGAAGACACAGGTGTAAGGTACCACAAGTCGTCACAACTTATGCAGGTTGGGGGAAGAGGGATACAGTACAGTATATGCTAAACCAGCTATGTTTGTTATTCTTCTTCCCTTGCGACTTTTGCTGCCTTCCTCTTCGCTCGTTCCAACAGACGGCGTTCTCGTTCATATTCCTTCAATCTCAACACATAACTGAAGTAGAAATCATCCATTACAAGTAAGAAGAAATTGTATCTTACTTCACAGGTTAATAATGTTGGTGAATCAAGTAAATTCCTGTTTCTACTACTATACTTGAAAAGAAATATAATTTTCAAGGTTTAATGTTTAAGAAATAGTGAATATGTGACCGACTCATGTGATGAATGAGAACATCACCACAGTTTTTAAAGAGTACATTTGGTGAGAATGAGTGAGATTGAACCAGGATGATACAGAATACAAACAGTCAAATTGATGTTTACTGATGCTGTTTTATGAGATGAAAAAAAAAAAAGGATTTGGAATACAAGGTAATTGAAATAAAAGCAAGACTGATGACGCAAGAAAGTAATATTGGGCGAAAAAGTGGTTAATGTAGACCCTTGATATAGAGTAACTTGAATTTGTGCAGCTCCCTAAATCCTTCCCAATGAAGCATTAAAATAATGGCATTTACTAAACTTGGGGAAATTGAAATACAGTACTGTACTAGAGGACTGCAGAAAAACTGTATGGCAAACCCTCAACATCTGAGGGTGTTACATTTTGGAAATCAAAGATGTGAAAGTTAATTAAGTGAACTATCACCCTAAGCCTATGGGAAAAAGAGGGTTAGGTAGACTGTTCCCATAGACACCTGACTGAAGGTTCACGGCTGACAAAAAAATGTGTATAAATGCAATAAACTTTTTAGTTCTGAAGAATAAATTACTTAAAAATGACAGAAAAATGTACTGAAGTAAAACGTATTAGCAGATAGCTTAGTTCTGTGAGACCTTCATGTGGTGAAGGTTAGTGAAAGAGTGGGAGAGCCTGGTGTGCCTACATCCAAAGTCACACACCACAAGATGGGGTGTTAGTGCCCAGCATGGAGGGATGATAACATGGGCCTTTAAATATTACAAAGTCTGCATGCCTTTCCCACACATTGTTGTTCTTACCATGAATTTAAAGTGAAATTCCTTAAAAAGAGATACACCAAGTGCATAAATTAAATACAGTACCGGTACAAATAGGGATCCTAATTACTGACCAACAAAGTTCTCTGTAGATAGCATTTCAGTAAAATATTTTTAAAACACTTAATAGTATATCTAGGGATAAGCTTGAGAATATTCGGTAATTTACGTACACAGGTCAACTACGACGACTACCTAACTAATTACTCAAACAAATATATTGTATTCAGGTGGGGGGCCTCCTTAGTGATGGAGGGCCTTGTGCAGCTGCACATAGCTGGAGCCAGCCCTGGACATCCACTGTACTTATCAGAACTATGGCATCACTGAAGGGAGTCCACTGGATAGCATATATAAAAAATCTACTTACTCGTCATATTCACAATTAAGATACTCGTGCTTTTCGTGTGCACACTGGTAGGTGAACGGCCACACCCTTTCCCGACACGCCCGGTGCTTGATGGCCAGATGTGCGCAGTAGTCCCGCTTATCCAGGGGCAGCTGCACCGACTCCATTTGCTCCTTTGTGGCTAACTTTACTGTTGATAAAGCAATATAACATAATACCAGAAATATGGAAGATAATCTAAATAATTACATGCCATCTCCATGGATATTAGCCCTCGTTTAACGATCATTTCACTTAATGATGAGTTTTTAGGAATGCAACCCCATCGTTAAACAAGGGATACCTGTACTTGATATCCCAGCCTTTATAACAAGAACCATCTTTAGAGTTGACAAATTCAAGGTATTATTTCCCAGTTCTGACACTAGATCCATAAACTACAAATAAATACCCAAGATTGTTAATTATTGGTGCCTCTGTACTTAACATTACCGCTTAATTTTATAAAATGTTCGGTAATGACCAGTAGAGAGCATATCTTGATAACAGAACATAAAAACATCCGAGGAGCTTTCTATATATTTATTGCTATCTGTAATAACTGGCCACAGGGCAATTATGGTCTTGGTTTATGACATCAACCAAAACCCAAACCAGGAAGTTTAAGTCTGGTAAGTTTGAGTTATTAGTAATGGTACAGACCTGCCTGCCAGTATAATAGACACTGTTATATTACCGGCCTGGGGCACAATAACCACCACTCCTAACACACCTTAACACCAACACCATAGTAGTAAAAACAAACTACTTTTATCATAAACACAAGCTGAAAGTAATGTTCAAAAACTTCTTCATTCTCTAACTTTACAATGATACTTGACTTTATAACTTATGATTACATTTGATAGTATTTTTAGCATTAACTACGGTCTTAGATGTCTTTACCCCTTTCCTTCCTGCCCTCAGAGAAGCCATAAAGAGGGTCAAATGTTGGTTCCTTAGTGTAGTCCGGCGTGGTCGCTGGGTCACCTATGTAGTGGGAGAATACATGTCCCATCTTCGGGGGGAAAATTTGGAGGAATATCCCTGATGTGAGAGGCTGAGTGAGATAAAACAGCTGAGTTATGATGCACCGAGACCAATGTGTCCTCTACCGGTCTCTCTCACAACCTTCCTAATAACAAGAGTAAAGATATGCGCAAAGTTTAATAATACACTGTAAAATGAGTTTATTATCTATTTATATTGTTAAAATGATCTATTAATCTTTTTTAGACTTCATCATTAATCTCAGAAAGTTGGTGAGATAAGCATAATAAATATTTTTGGTTATGTTTTAATACTTGAATGTTGTCAGAGAGAATGTAAACAGTGTGTTGTATCTTGTGAATTATTTACGTTAATATATGTTGTGTTTAGCTCGTGTAGGAGATGAAGGGAGAAGAATTACCTCTAAAATATATACATCATCATTAGTTTACCTCTATAACGATGAATAATTACGTGGCTCTCCAGGCTATTGGTAGAGGAGCTTATGGGTAAGTTGTTGAGTGAGATAGATTCATAAGTTTCTAGCGTTTAGAAAATATTATTGAATTAAAATACTCAAAGACACTATTCTTGGTAAGGTTGGTTCATCTGATCGTCAATTATATAATGTTTGATATTTCTTGTGCATTTATATTGTCATTAAGACTTGTAAATAACGTTTCCACAGTTATGTCCATTTCTATCAACTTCTGGCGTTAGTCTAAAAAAAAAAGGCCTACCTAACCAACAACCAGACAAATCCACAGCCATCATGACCACACGTACATGATTTGTTACTTGTCATGGATCTCTACCTCCTCTTTCCCTTGACAGCAATGTGTACCTGTACCGACGCTTATCAGATCATAAGCAAGTGGTCATTAAAAAGATCCCGTTGGAGTCCATAACTACAGCTGAGTGTGAGGTGAGTCATCCAGGACTTAAGCTTATTTTAGTCATATTGTTGAAAGATTTTTGTAGAATGAAGTTATGATTTGGTAAATTTGTTTAGTATTGAAATAATGTTAAATAAATCTCAAATACATCAATATTCACTTTACATGTAGGACAGTACTGTACAGTATGTTAAAACAATGTGATTACCTGTATACTGTACTGTTCTTGTTTATGGTAAAAACCCAAGCAAGACTAGGGAGTCACGTGCTTACCCTACTGAAGCTATCTGGAGTGTAGGTCAAGGAAGTATTGTCACTCAAGTGGAAATAAGTATCTAATGGTTGTTATTTTCAGTTGACAAAGAATGAAGTCCGGGTGTTAGCAATGCTTCAGCACCCAAATATTATAGAATATTATGAAAACTACCTGGATAACAACACCATGATGATTGTGATGGAGTATGCACCTGGAGGTAACCTTTATGATTATCTCCGCTCTCATGGAGAAGGCAACTTACTTCAGGAGGAGGTTAGTTTTGGCAGACTAATAAAGCAAGTTGTTGTTTGTGAAAGAATTACCTGGTATATAATAAAAGAAAGAAATTAACTGTGAACATAATTATCTCTCTTGATTTCTATTTATAATCTCTGAATCTTTCTGTCCATTGGTATGAGCATCTCTATTGAGCTGTTCTCATCTGTATGGGGTATAAATTAAATAATGAATCCCATATAAAAATCACAAGTGTATAAATAAGAACTGAGTAAGTAAACCTTAAGAGATGTGCCGGCAGCATGTTAAGTGTACCTCGGCAAACCACCAATAAAAAGCTGGGCTGTATTATTCTCACCCTCAGTCAAGATGTTACCATGTGCCTTACTGGCTGTATTACGGATCTTCAGTCTTGATATGGCAGTAGACGTTAGCATCTTTATGGATTGTATAGATTAGGAATTTTAAGTCAAGATCATGATTTTTATTTGCGGTTTATTAATATTTATATTTTTTATTTATATCGTATAATTTTTTTCAGAATGTATTGCACCTGTTCTGTCAGCTAGTTCATGGGATGCAGCACATTCATGAGAGCAACATTCTTCACAGAGACATCAAGTCTAACAACATTCTTCTTGATCGATCACATCGTATAGTTAAAATTGGTGACTTTGGGATATCTAAGATTCTGAGCAGGTGAGAGTAACGAGAGGTTTTTATTTCCCATGCTGGAAACTGAAGTCACTTTAGGCTTGTAAAGTCCCAAACAATATTCCTGTTGCCTCTTCTGCTGCTCCATGAACCCCGAGATTCAGACTCTTGAATCTGAAGCATTTATGGACAGAATAAGACATCAATGTTTACTGCTTCGGGTTCACGGGTCAGACTCTCGGGGTTCGTGGGGCAGCAGGTGAGGCAATAGGACTGTTGTTTGCGACTCTCTTTCATTTAGCTTTTTGTTGTCCAGAAAAACATTATGAAAACTAAAGTGTCTTAAATTATGTCACTCTTAGGTAACAGTAGTCACTTTGTAGTCATCCAAATAATGAAATAACAGAAGCAAGGTTACAGTATGTTCACATTGTTCAAGGGTTTCATACATTATACAGTATCTGTAAAATAAACACCTGGTACAGTAGCTAGCTAATCTCCATCAGTCATTATAAACACACTGGCCAGGTGATTTTTTTTGAGATTGTGATGTTTTGAAAATAAATGAAAGTTGACTATATGCTGTACCAACCTGCCTCACACACACTGTATTGATTGTGAGAATACTGTATAAATTATGGTTGATTAAGGGCTTACAAAATTGTGTGGATAGATGATTGATTAACAATTTTAGCACTGTACTGTTTATTGAATCACTGTGGGTATTGCACTTAGAGACAACTTATATCTCCATTATTTCTGATTCATTAATACAAGTACAATAGTTGATAGTTAATGTCTTTTAAATTGGCAGTAAGAGCAAGGCACACACTGTTGTTGGCACCCCGTGTTACCTATCCCCGGAGTTGTGCCAGGAGAAACCATACAACCAAAAGAGTGACATCTGGGCGCTGGGGTGTGTACTGTACGAGATGCTGACATTGAGACGAGCGTTTGAAGCTAAGGTAAGTTAGTGTGCCGCCTAGATGAGAGGTACAGTACAGTTGTGCATCAGTGTCTGTTTGGATGTTTGTTTACCAGTTAGTGTTGTGAAGTTAGGTAAGTTAGATTTTATTGGATGGGCTATATACTGTAAGTGTGTGAATGTATTAGCACACTTTTGAATGAGTCATCAGTCATGAATTGGGACAAATATATAAGATGGATGAAATAGAAATTACTGTCTTATATTGGAATTTTTTTTAATGGTTATAAAAATAAATGGACCCCAAACTTCCAGGTTAATCATTATTGTGTAATGGAATATATAAAACCTAACACTAGATGTACTTAACAAAAATACAGAACTGTACTGTACAGGGGTCCCCGAAATACATCACAATTAGGGACCAAATTCATGCGACTTAAAACATAATGACGTTAAGCGTGGAATTTTCCCGCATAAGAATACAGTACGTGGAAATACAGGGGAATATGGATCATAAGAGCATTTACATAGCCAATGCAACACAAAGCATAGCAATTTCTCCCATAACAGATAATGTAATAAGGTAAGAATAGGAACCCAATTTTTAAGTCTTTTTTACTTATAGAATAGAGAAGGTTTTTGTGATATTAAAAAATGATGCAAACAGAAAAGCAATTTTTAGTCTACATACAAGCATTTCTAGTGGGAAAAAATTTATTGGACAAAAGCAGATGATTTTAAACACTTTAAAAAGATTTAACATTAACCTTTAACCTCCAACTTATAAATTTGTTTATTTTACTTTGAGAAGTGGATGAATTCACCTTGTTTACTACACCTTATTGTGTCCAATTTAATAGCCAGCGGAATACTCATACACTTTTCTCTCCCCTCACCTCCTGCACATGTTCTTGTACAGTACTACTCTTGTCACTCATTATTGAAGACTGCAAGGATAAATACAGATATAGTTGATGCTGAGTGTGAAGTTCAACCACTACTCACAGTGTGATGGAACACAATGGGAGCAAGAATCAAATTCCGATGATGTTTATAGTCCTAAGTCAAGTGAGTCAAAAGCGACGCAACAACGTTAGTGCAGGAAACTTGTATTTTGTGTTCTTCATTTAGTCAATGGTGCCAGTGTGAAACGTGTAGTGGGGTCCCCCTGTATACAGTACAGTACATAACATAAAATGGTGTTCTAATTATATCATATCATCTGAGACCCAACAGCAAGTTATTTTTGTATTACGGAAAGATTAATGAACCTAATGACCTCGTTCTGCTTCAGACACTGCCGGCCCTCATCATGAAGATTATGCGTGGTATATTTGCCCCCATCCATCCTCACTACAGTGCCGAGATGAGGTCCCTCGTCCATCTACTGCTCCACATGGACCCGACACAACGGCCCAATATCCATCAGGTCATTAGTCAGCCATTAATATTCCCAACGCTATTTACTCTCCATAGAGATCTTGGGATGGTTCGCTGCGTCTCTAGGTCAGTGGAATATTCACCTGAACGTAATACTATATTGTGTATGGTGCCATTATAAAATAGAAAGATCCCCAGTGTTAGATCCAGCTCTTACTGTCTGTGCTGTTAAAAGCTTACCATAAAATTGACTGTGGTTATATTCACTGTATTCAAGTTCTAGGAGTCAGGCTGAGACATCTTGGAGTTGATCCCAGTTGACGTAGGTAATGTGAAGGGAAGTATCTTGCTGTAGAATTGGAATACAGTAATCTGATCATCACCTTGCTCAGTAGTTTGAGTTCATTGTATTTTATTTAGACCAGATAACTGAAGGAATGATACAATAGTAAATATAATGGTTGGTAATATATGTAATGTAGTACTGTATAGTAATGAGGTGAGAAGAGTATTTGTATAGTATAGTATTGATCAAGAGGAAGTTAATAGTGAATGTGAATACAATTAAGTTAATGAAAATAAGAAAGATCGAAGGCAGAGATATAAATATTAGTTTGAATGGAGACAGGGTAGAGCAAGTGATATGTTCAGATACCTGCATGTGTTTGGATTGTTTAATTTTTTTAATTTGGATAAACTTTTTAATCCTAATATTCCTTGTATTTATAATTATTCCAGCTTCTTGTCTTCATCATTAAAGCTTCTAGAATTTTCAGGAACATATTTATGAGAATATGTATTGTATAAATTAAAGCTGTTAGAGATTTTATATTTTAAATTATAAAAAATCTGTAACAATTCATTGATTGAGTACAAAGATTAATTAAAATAACATAGAGTGGTTTAATGAGATATTACTTGAGCAAAATTCAGTGTTGATGTTTTTATGAGCTCGTGTTTGAGGATTCAGTATATTGTGGGTTATTTATACTCTACTTGGTGTACTGTAGGCCACATCGCTTGTCATCGGTGGGCACACGGGCTCGGTCATCACGTGGAAGTGAGGATTCTACAGATAAAGAGAGAACAGAGGGAGAGAAGAAGACTTCAAATGAGGAACTTAAAGCCAGTGAGAAAAGGTTACCACAGCCAGATCCACAAATTACTGCCTCTGTGTTTTGTTGGTCTCCTCTTGGCTCCCCAGTGAGGTAAGGGGCCATTTAGTAGACTGTTTGTACAAGTTAAGGGTATGTGGAAGTAGGTGTGTGTGTGTGTGAGAGAGAGTTTTGCACTGCACCCCTGTAACATTCTCCCTCCCTTTCTTTGGGTTACTGTGTCCCTTGATCCACACCACAAGAGTGAAAGAGGAGTAAAGATGATTCTTCACTTGATTGCTAGGATTTATTCTTCACCTTATCATATATTAGATATATATTTTGTGGGGTCATCTTGTTTTGGTTTTTTTGTACTGTATTTGAGCATAAAGGATGAGTTTAGTTTTGGCTCCAGATATGATAGAATTGGAGGGAACAACATTTTAGAGAGATACTGTACTAAGCTGCAAGGGTTCAGGAAAAGTGGAAGTACCTGACTGTGAAGTGAGAGAGTTATAATAATTGAAATAAGCTCATAATTTCATACAGATTGTCTATAGGTGATTGTGCAGGAGAGGTGGTCCAGGTGGCTGCCAGCAAGACTCACCTTGCTGGGGTGACCAGTGTGGGACATGTGGTTCTCTGGGAGGCTCAAGAACAAAAGTCCAAAGACATCAAAGGTGAGATAAGATGTGAACAGAGAATGGTTTTAAGACATGACAAGTTGAGATGAACAAATAAAATTTTAAAAGAGAATAAATAGAAAATCAGTTAAGAAAGATAATGGGATAAATCTTTAAGGAAACTGATCATTCACAGTACGTAGGGGTGAGTGTATGAGGGAATTCAAGAATGTAAAAATTATAAGACCATGGAAAATCCATGTTTTTAAAAACTATCAACTCCCATTTTTTGTGTTCAGCACATTTCAGGTTACAGCCAACTTGGGAAATGAGTTGACAGAGTTGGCCACTCTGTTATAGTGTACCGCTGTAGTCCACACTACCACTTAGTTATTGTTTTTTGCTGTCGGAATGCATGACAATAGACTTGAAAGACTTGACGCTAAATCAGATGTGCAGAGTATTGTACTTACTAAAAATGTATCTAGGTAGGACTTTAAGTACTGTCATTTCTTTTATTTACATTTGTTATTTTACTTTCTCTGTCTTTTTTATTTTGAATACCTCTGTATTGGACATTTATTGCAGGTGCTGGTACTGGTAATGACGAAGTTCCTTTTATTTCGTCTGTTTTGAGGTCTCCAGCATTTGTCAGTGTGGTGCAGGTGGCGTGTGGTGATGGCTTTATAGCATGTGTCACAGGTCAGTGGTGGAGGTACTGTATAGGGAATTAACTTAGTGTTACCGTATCAAGATTATTTTGCAGCAGTATATTTGATGTAGAGGTAAAAGTGAAATCTTGTAGGTTTATTGATAATTTCATAAGATATTGCTATCTTCATACCTAACCAAGTTCAGCTAGTGTTATGTTATGTCAGTTAGTCTCATATTCAGACATCTCAAACTCTCCAGCCATATTTATCTCCCAAGGAAACTATTTCTCAATGAAATGCAGGGTCCATTTGAACAACTAAAGGAACTGCATACATAATTTATATCCTTATAAGTACGATATAAATATATTTACCCATGTTACCATTTGTCGTGTGTGGAGATGAGGGTGTGGGAATGGGAAGCATAAGTTGCGTGAATTAGCCAAATTTATCACCCATGAGGTTTTCTTGTATTACCTAAAGGATTTTCTTTATTTTGACAGACCAAGGTATTCTCTTAACCAGTGGTGTCGGGACTTCTGGAAGCTTAGGTCACGGCAATACGAGTGATGTGACACAGTTGAGGATCGTAGAATCACTTCTGGGTGTTTCTGTGAAGCAGGTTGCCTGTGGATCAGCACATGTAGTAGCAGTGTCTGTTGACCATCAAGTGTATGCTTGGGGCTGTGGCAATAATGGTAAATACAGTTAAATTCAACCATTTTGAAATATCAATTAAAGTAGAAATTAAATATGAAAAAATAAGGCTTCATCTAGGATGGAATCTTCCCTTCTAGAGATGGTAGTTTTGTGAGTAGCCTCTAATTCCCCAGATCTGTCTGATATGCTCCTGTCACATCACACAACTGAACATCACCCATCACCAGCATGGATATATTGTACATTGCAGTATACTGTATAAATTTATATATACAGTAATCTTTATTATTAATAGTGACTTTTAATGCATATACTGTGTAGGTCGACTAGGCATAGGATCCCGCATGACACAACTGTGGCCACAGCATGTAGATATTCAGAATTCAGAACCACAAGTGACGGGTGTTGTGGCAGGGCATGACTGTTCCTTCTTGACAACTACATCTGGTGTTCTGTTAGCCAGTGGCTCTAATAGGTCAGTAATAAAGTCTATTGTATTGGAATTTATTTTACACTAATGATCCTCTTTCATGCAAGCATAGTCCATGCCAAACAGGTGCTGAGATAATGAATTTGTTGCATTAATAATCCTTCATAAAGAACCTTTCCTAAAATGTTGTCATCAGTAACAGTTTTTGGTATTAACCTATTTTTTTGAAGAGTGACAATAGATATTCACTGTTATTAATTTTTCTTAGGATTAATAAGTTGTGTTTGGATGAGACTGACCTGGCTGGATGTGAGACCCTGAAGCAGATAGAAGATGTGGCAACATTTGTGCCGGTGTGTTCAAAGCCTCTTGCTAACTCTGTCATCATCAAGGTTGCTGCTGGCCTTAACCATTCCATCTTTGTGACGGGTGAGACTTGAGGGAAACACACCACATACCCCTTCACTATGAGGATGCCACTTTTAATATCTTATTTAGTTAATGCCAGACAATTCTATTCAGCTTGAAGGTGACCCCATGCACAACGGGTTAAGAAGTTCACAGTATGAGGGTGATGATCTTTACCACTTCTTGCTCCTCAGTTTTATTGGTTCTCTTTAGAGGTATTTTATATTGCAGTTCTGAATTATCATAGTTTTTTCTTTTTTGTACAACTTTCTTTATGTTTGAACTTACTGTATTTACTATGAGTGTAGGAGGAAGGTGCACATGCAATAAAGTGGCTCTTGTGTGACTGGTTTATTGCCTCACTTGATAAATTAAGTGTTAACACAGCCAGTTTAATCTTGTACTAATATTTTAAAAGTTTATGTTTACTGTCTTAATATTTATAACTTGTTCAAAATAATGAAGTGTAAATTTTCCAAGAAAATATTGTTTTACCTGCTATGATAAGCATTTCAAAAGCTATATTTTTCTTCTTCTCATATGAATTTTTGTTGATCCATGGTATTACAGATGCTGGTGAAGTTTTTTCTGCTGGAAAGAATACTTACGGCCAGTTGGGTCACCTCGGGTCACAGAACCCACGGGTGCCTGCCCGGGTCATGGACCCAGTTGCCCGTGCCCAGGTGGCACATGTTGAATGTGGTAAAGATTTCTCCGTAGCTGTAACACAAGGCAAGTCATATAATCTTTGTCAGCGAGTAAGTTTGACGGAAGTGTGTTAGATTTACATTACAGTATTATCCTGTGACTCAATACCTACCAGCAATCACTATTGCTTAAGATTCAATGTTAAATTATCTGTTTTAAGTTCCCTGTCACTGCAGTCATTTTTTTTTTCATTGTAAAATTCTCTTGTTTCTGTTGATTTCCTGGCCATCAATTTCTAGTGTTACTACGGCTCTTACACTGCCATCATAAACATGCCTTCACTTTTCATGGTTTCTGAATCCAATTCCACATCATCATCATCATCGTCATCATCATCACCACCATTTTATACTTATTTTCCACACTTGTGTGGGTTGATGTTAAATAGTACACTGTATTTTACATCACAGTAATAGAGTTTGTTGTAAAATTTACCTGATAGTGTCAGTGACTATCATCAACCAGAGCCAGAGAAGTAGCTGAGAAATTCAAATCAGGTGTTTTACATTGTTAAGTTTAGAATTGTGGTGTTCCCTGTCTAATTATAATACTAGTAGAAAAGTAGGAGAGAAGTAAATGGCTGAAAGACACAAGGGAGGGATGACAAGAAGAACAGAGAATGGGAGAAAAGCCATTTTTTTGAATATATTTTAAGAGATACAGAAAATATTAAACCAAATTATGGTGCAGAAAGAGAATGTGGTCCCCCCTCCCCTGTAAAAGAAAAGAAGCTCATGTAATAAATTTTGTTTTCTTAAATGTCAGTCAATAAGATGAGAGAGGCAACTAGGAGGGAAGAACCACCCTTAAGAAAGTCCCCTGTTGAGTCCAAATATGATTATATATCTACAGTTGTGGAAGAAATAGGATTCCTTAAATGGAAATATTTATTCATGCAAAGGGATTTCTTCTCTTTCCATTTTTTACTGAGATATGCCACCTCATTTGCTATGTGTATGCCTCACATGTTATCGTCTTTGCAAGTTTAGTTTCAAGGCATTGCTTAGAGAAACTATGACTGCATGACTAACAGTATTTGGATTATTTACTTTTACAGTAAGAAAACTTTTGTAATGCTGGCCAGGTCACAGGGACTAATCAGGAAATCAGCTAACGTTCCCTATATCTCTTGTGATGTTTATCATATATTCTTGTTGTTTTGTAACCAACACCACATTTGATTTGTGTTGTGCATTACTAGTGTGATGAACTATACTCCCTTTGGGCTTAAATGATACTTTAACTCTCATATCTTGGGAACCTTATTAGGCCACCCTTTCACTTGGCTCATAACACCTTAGTTTCATCATTTTGCTGAATTTTTAAAGGAATAGATATAGATGTACCTGTTGTGTAATGATAACTTTAGAAAAATTACAGCACCTCACAATAAAAAGCAATATTGATTAGGTTTAGGTGTAAAAGTTTCAAAGTAAATTATATTATACATATATAGATTCATCGAATGTCTTGTGTTTCATTTGCTATATTTCTGTCCTCAGACGGCCGAGTTTACTCCTGGGGCGGTAAAAGGGAACTTAAGGCAGCTGTTGATGCCCCAAGTAAAAACAAAATGTTGATGAGCGATCCTGTGGGTGAAAGTGCTCGTCCTGTGCTGGTAGAACTCCGGCATATGATCAAAGGGAATGTGACAATAGCTGCTGCACAAGATACTGTACTTCTTTGTCACAAAAGATAACCACACATCATAATTTCCTACATTAAAAGCATAGCCTCAACAGCTATGCTTTTAATGTAGGAAAGTATACTGTGATGGAGATAGATTATTTACCTTGTACGATTTATGACAGACTGCAAAGTAAGATTGAATTATGATTGTACCCAAAGGAAGTAGAAGATTCAGAAGTTAGAAATTGTATGGTTGCTTGGTTGTGTAATTACCTACCCACCATGACACCGTGTAATTGAGGAAATTGTTTCTTTTAGTCATTGATGCATAATATGTTTTTGCACACCCAGTAGAGGAAAGTGAAATAAAAGAGAATTCAGAGATTTTTTTAAAAGTTGTTTTAGAATTTTATTGAGTGTAGGGGTGTGTGACTAACATATTGCCTAACACAAATTTGTAAGGATAATTTTGTATCGACCCCACATGTTGCTTAATATATTTTAAATATAACATGTATAATTATAGAAGGATACAATTCTGTTTATAAAGAAATTCAGTTTGTGATTTTATTATTATTTTAGAGGCCGCCTGTGTTTATCTTTGTGGAGTTTCTAGTTAAAAATTTTATACATCATCATTGTATTAACACAGCCTCAGTGGTATAGTGGTTAGTGAATGAGTGAGTTGTTCTACTCTACTGGGCAGCGTGTCATCCCATGGTGCACTGAGCAGGTTCCCATGACAACCTGGTCAAGTGGTGGGGGTAGAGAAAAACTACACCAAACTGATAGTCATTTAGCCAGCCATGTGAGTAGGAAGTATTACATGATACAGTGTATTGTATTGACCTGAGTTGTATTATATATTTGTATTGCCATATCTAAAATCAAATGTGCCTTAGTAGATTATCTCCATTAACTACTTCACTCTGATGACACTACTTTTAATACTCTTTTATTTTGCTTATGCTAGACTGGGAAAAGCAAAAAATACAATATAATATTTTAATACAATGATCTTGTATTTATAACATATCTAATGAATGTTGACTGATTGTGAATTGTGTGTGAAGCAACGAGGGCGTACCAGATATTGTGGAGGGGGAATATTATCTGTGAGAGCACATCAGGTACAGTAGTGAGAATGAAAGAATAGCAGAGATTAAGAGGAGAAGCTCCGTGTGTGTGTGTGTGTAGTGGTGACCTGTGGTGTAACGGTCAGCATGCTTGTCTCATGAGTGATTGGACCTTGGTTTAATCCCCGGGGCAGGCGCAAAACTATGGGCAAGTTTCTTTACATCATTAGCCTCTGTGTACCCACCAGTAATTTGGGACCTGGATGTTAATTGATTTGCAGAGCATGTGCTGGGGTAATGGTTAGCCAGTGCAGTGGACGAGTTATCTGGTCTTCTTGGATTATTCCTTGACACTGGGCCACACAGTTCATTAACTTAAGGTGTGGTTGTTGTGTTGGTGAAAGCTTCTGCACTTTAAACAATTCACACCAAGGTGGCCCTAGGACCGGCCATCTTCAAACATGAGGGGCAATCATCAAATTAAAATGTATGTCTGTGTGTCCACTTTTGATTCTGATTACTCTGCATTATAACAGTCAATGGCATTAAAGAATAAAAAAAAATCCTTCCTATTGATTTGTTGTGTTGTAAATAATAAATGATTCTTTATGTAACAAATGAAATGTCACAACTGTAAATTGAGTAACTGTATCAAATGTAACTTGAATTTTTTGGGGATAGACTTGGAGCTTTGTAATAGTGTTGCTTTACATGTTGAGAGATTATTTACAGTAAAGAAAGCGCTTAACTAGATCAGAAAAAAAGTTAACTTATACTTTTGACCTAATGAAGAAGACTGGTTTGAAGTGAAAATGTTATCTCAGGGATATATACCGTACACATCTATTGAAGTAACATGATTTATTAATGGATGATGATGACGATAATGATGGTGTCTCATCCAATGAACCATTCTCTCAGGTGGTGTGAACTGGCTGTCAGATGATATGAACCGGTTGAAGAGCCAAGCGGATACAAGAACAAAATAGGGTCGGTAGGTCCTAACAGCGAAAGTGACCAGTCTGGTTTACACCCAGTTAGTGGACAGGGAGGGAGGGGGAGGGATGGAAGGAGGGTGAGAGATGAGGGGAGTGGGAAAAGACAGGGAGTAGGAAGGAATGAGGAGTGAAGAAGGGATGGGAGGGAGGGAAGGAAAAGGGAGGAAGTGAAAGAGGAGAGAAGAAGATTGGGGGGTAGGGAAAGAGAGAGAGAGAGGGGCAGCTAAGGATTAAGAGAGGGGGGGAAAGGAAGGGAGAGTGAGAAAAATGAAGGTTATAAGAAAGAAAATGGAATGAAACAAGGGAGAGAAAAGTAAATAAATTTTAAGAAGAATCGAAATGAGAGAGAGAGATAAAAGTCGAAGAGATATAAAGACAGAAAAGCTAATTTTGGGTATAATAACACTTGACATTTTGCTCTAACCTAATTTATCTTAACCTGACCTTAACAGACTGAGTGACAACACCACTCAGGACACACCTCAGCCGACCCAATTGTGAATGGGTTCCTGATTTTGCATGTCCTGGTGGGGTGGGGGGTGAGGGGGGTGTTCATGGGATACCAGGCTGATAGGACATACTTTCACCACAACCTAACCTAAGCGACCCTTACCTGCTCTAACCCACCCCCTGAACTTAAACTAAACCTTACTTAACTTAACCTAACCAAATCTACCTTAACTTTACCTTTGCTTAACCTAACCTACCAAATACTAACTTAATATTATCTTACCTAATTCAACCCAACTTTAAACTATCTCATTCTAACCTAACGTAATCTAACCCTACCTTATGGAACTCAACCTTACAGTCTTACACTCGCCTAACCCCGAAGTTTTTCCCTACATATGGAACTAACAATGACAAAAAAAAAATGCAGTGAATTTTTAATAACAAGCAAGAAGAAAGCAGGTAGGTAAATAGTACGTAGGAAAGTAGTAGGTTGGTAAGTGGCAGGGAGGCAGGCAGTAAGTAAAATAGTATAGTAAGCTAATTAGTAAAGGTAGGTAAGTATTTCCCAAGTAGCAGTCAGCAGGGTGGCAAGTACTAGCCAGGTAAGCAGCAGTAAGCAGGTAGGTAGCAGCTAACCGCCAGACAGAACCCAACAGCAAGTAAATGAAAAACCCGAACCAACTCTGGGTGTGGCTAAGTAAGGTAACGGTACTGTGCCTGCCTCCTGCTTGCTGTTCAGGTACCCCCCCCACCCCCTCCACCTCCTGCTTGTTGTTCAGGCTCCCCCTACCTCCTGCTTGTTGTTCAGGTACCCCCCTCACCTCCTGCTTGTTGTTCAGGTACCCCCCTCACCTCTTGCTTGTTGTTCAGGTACCCCCCCCTCACCTCCTGCTTGTTGTTCAGGTACCCCCCCTCACCTCCTGCTTGTTGTTCAGGTACCCCCACCCCTCCACCTCCTGCTTGTTGTTCAGGCTCCCCCACCTCCTGCTTGTTGTTCAGGTACCCCCCCTCACCTCCTGCTTGTTGTTCAGGTGCCCCACCCCTCCACCTCCTGCTTGTTGTTCAGGTACCCCCCTCACCTCCTGCTTGTTGTTCAGTACCCCCCCACCCCTCCACCTCCTGCTTGTTTGTTCAGGTACCCCCCCTCACCTCCTGCTTGTTGTTCAGGTACCCCCCCTCACCTCCTGCTTGTTGTTCAGGTACCCCCCTCACCTCCTGCTTGTTGTTCAGGTACCCCCCCTCACCTCCTGCTTGTTGTTTGGTACCCCCTCACCTCCTGCTTGTTGTTCAGGTACCCCCTCACCTCCTGCTTGTTGTTCAGGCTCCCCCTCCACCTCCTGTTTGCTGTTCAGTACCCCCCTCCTGCTTGTCGTTCAGGCTCTCCCCACCTCCTGTTTATTTGTTCAGGATCCCCCCACCTCTTGCTTGTTGTTCAATACCCCCACCTCCTGTTTGCTGTTCAGGCGCCCCCCTTCACCTCTTGCTTGTTGTTCAATACCCCCACCCCTGCTTGTTATTCAGGCTCCACCCACCTCCTGTTTGTTGTTCATGTACCCCACCTCTTGCTTGTTGTTCAATACCCCCCCCCCTGCTTGTTGTTTAGGGTCCCCCCACCTCCTGCTTGTTGTTCAGGCTCCCCCGCTTCCATCTTTTGTTCAGGCGTCCCTCCACCTCAATTAAGCCGTTCTTATTTATATTTCTCTTTCTCACTCGTGTGAATTTATTACAAATGTTTGTAGATATTTTTTTAAATATTTTGAAGACGTGTGTGATTCCCGGGTGTAAGGGTTGGGAAGTGTGTGTACAGGGCTGGTGTTATGTTTCAACACATGCCATTGAGCCATCTCTGAGAAAAACTTGTTTAAGAACGCATACACAGATGGAAGAACGCACAGACGAGAGAACGCACCAACGGACGTACGGAAGAATGCAAGGACGAATTGACGCACGCACGCACGCACCTTGGACGACATTTGTACCTATATCCCCTTGTTGATAGGCGGGTCAGGGTAGGTGCAGGTGAGGTATGTGCAAAAACAAGTTAAGAATATAAATAGAGCTGTTGTTTAGGGTAGAGGCACAAGAAGACTAGTGAAACGAGTGCTACAAGAGGCCCTGACTACTGAATTGATATATAAAATAGCAGTGTAATATGGCCAAATAGAATAGCGGTATGGACACAGAATAGCGTTTTAGTATGACCACATTGGATAGCGTCGTAGTTTGGGTATTATTGACCTATTTCTCACAATCTGGATTTCAGGAGTTCAGAGGGCATGGCAAGATTCAGTTGTTTCTAAAATGACAAAAGATGATCACATATATTTTGGTTCCGTTTAAGTCGATTCAGAGCACTCAATTTCCTGATCTAATTGTTTTATTGAATATGAAGCTTGATGTATATTTTCTCAAGTACAGCTTAACGCAGTCGATGAGCAGGTCTTAGTATGGGGAATGAGTAATATGCTAAAAGGAGAGCAAAAAGTTATTTACTGGTTTATAATTACATTACAAAATTAGTCTAATTGTCTATTAATTCATATTTTGCTCGAATGTTATTTCTTCATATTTATTTCTATGCATATTATTAATTACGGCAGTTTTCAGATCCGTTTTCTGTAATACTGTTTACTGTACTGCTATTCCCGTTTTTTGTTCTGTAAACACAGGTGAATCAACAGGTGTCATGTCAACAACTATCTGTGTGCCTATCGTTCATAAAGTTACGCGAATGTGTACATAACCTGCTCACACCCTTAATAGACTTTTAAGAAAACGTCTGAAAATGTGAATTGATCTGTAAAACGAAGCAGAACATAGGACAAAAGGAAACTCGGACGTATAATTGAACTTGAAGGTCCTTTGCTGGATTTCAATGGACGGAAGCAGGTGAGTTAATGATTCTGTAACTATTTAGACATACCGACATACCTAACAGTATTTATTTCCCTTCATAATCAATGTTAAGCTGGCATTCATATATATTATGTTTCGTCTGTTGGTTTGATATGCTTCTCCCTATGATGTCTTAGAGGGAGAGGCATCATGTCTTTCCTCAGTTTCTCTATAATTTAAGTTAATAGATACAGTGTTATGTATAATTATTATTTAATGAATAGAAAAAACATTGCATGAGAATATTTGTTAAGCTGGGAGGAGAAGGTGAATGAAAGGTAAATGTGCATTAGGGTTTTATTTAAAGAATCTTACTAAATGACAGGTGTTGTAAGATGTTGGTGTTGGTGTTTTAAATAATAGTTCAGGTGTGGAGGGGTGGTTAGTGAAGAGCTCATTACGGCAAATAATAATAATTATAATAAGAATAAACAGTGAGCACATTCCAAGTACAGTACAGGTAAACTAAACAGGGTGTGGTGGCATTAGTGTACATGACTTGCTGTAGACATCAAAGCCGAACTGTTCACCGTCAACCCCGGGCTACCCACAACTAGTTTTTATCGACTATTTTTGTCAGCCTCCACAAGGA